GAAAACAGTGGAATGCATGCAAGAGTTTTTTTCTGGAGGACTTGTATTGACTTTTAATTCGTTTGTAAAAAGATGTTACTATATGCATATTATCAGAAAATGTCTCACTTTTCCAAGATAAAATAGGTACTGTAATTGAAAAATTAGGGACTTTGCTGAAAATGAAAAATGAAAGTTTTTGTTTCGAAATACTGATTCTGAATTTGCCATTCTATTGCCTGTAAGGTTTACACTAAATCAGAAAAAAATAATAATAAAATAAAAGCAAAAAGTACTGATCACTAACCATGTAACATGTTTTTTGTGGTAAAGTTGATTTTGATAGTGATCGTCAGATTTTACAGTACTTAAAGATTTGGTCCCCCTTGAAGACCCGGGTCAGGTTGGTCTTCAGCAACCCATGCTTGTCGCAAGAGGTGGCTAACAGGATCGGGTGGTCAAGCATGCTTGGTTGATGCTTAGATGAATGCTCATGATGTCAATCACTGGATTGTCTGGTCCAGACTCGATTATTTACTGCCTGGGGTCATACACCTAGTATGTTGCTAAGTGTGGCATGATTGCATCTGAATGATTGGAGGAGTTTGTTTGCTGTTATATTTGGATGAAGCTGATGGATGGACATCACTTGTATTCTGGAGGTGTAAATCAATGATTGAAGTCCTAGTTTGAATAATACAGGCCTTGTCTCAACACAACTGATTGTCATGATATAGCTTCAAGCACATACGCTTGTGAAAGTTAGAAACACATGACTGGTTGTCATAATAGCTTCAAGCTGCAAGCCACCAGTGAAAGTAAGAAGAGCTCAGGGAAAAAAACAATTGAGGGAAACTGCCTTTATGCAACGCACGCTTCTTGAATTGTAAGATTTAAAAATGGAAATGCGTTTTTGCCTATTTGTTGGAGGAAGAGATCCTGGATTAGCTATGAGCCAGCCATCTGCTTGGGTGCTGTATGTTTCTCGGGGAACAACTCAAGATTTTCAAATGCCTTCCATGTTTCACAGATGTGACCTTTGAAAATCGTAACAAAACTAATGGAAAAGAGGGAAGAAAATGTGAAGTTCATTTCAACCTTTAACATGTTTAAACCTGTTAATGATTTATAGACTTTCTTAAGTCTTTAGAGCTTAGGGCAAAAGCCAGAATTTTGGCAGTATTCAAATTTGAATTACATTTGCTCTAACTGACATAATATGATCTCAGTGAGCAACTGGTAGAAATTGTCAATGTTAGGATAGACTAGAAACCTCATTGCCAATGTGGGGGCACGGGTGGCCCAGTCGTCTAAGGCCCCGCGATTCGCTGTGCAGAGTTGCGTCCCTTGGGCACGCCAGAAACCTATGATTGTGGGTTCGAATCCTGGTTCGCCCCGATTATGTTTCTAGGTTTGTCAGCACCATACCTGTGCTCGTGGGTTTCACCAAAGTGGTAAACGTCTAAGACCTGCATCACTTCGGGCTTTCCTACCACATTAAGCTGACATGCCGCGATATAACTGGAATACTGTTAAAAGCAGTGTTAAACCCAACTCACTCACTCACTCACTCACTCACTCACTCATTGCCAATGTCAGTAAAACATTCTTGTATGCCGACATTTTATTTTCTGCCTGGAAACTTGAAGCACAATCACTGAGTGACCCTTCTGTTTCTCTGTTCCTTTGGTTTAATGTTAATACATGCACCATGCCCATTGCCCATGCTAAGTTTTCAAACAACATTGCCTGAGGGCCTATTGCTTGTGTTAGTTCGGACATGATAGTTTATTGTATATTCATTATTAATGCAGAAACGAGATTGAGATGGCCCCCACGAGGCCACATGTTTGACAGAGATGGTTGCACACTTGAATAGTTCCATCAGCCCAGCTGGAAGTGCCAGAGTTTAATGTGAGCGATGTTCAGCGGTGATACATTGCAGTCTACACCAACTCTACACAACATCTTGGTGTCATCAGTGCATATTGAATTACACTCGCACTCCCTGGTGTCAAGAACCACGGTCCTGTAGGATAAACTTTGCCTTGGTTACACTTTAATTAAAGAGAAATCCGGTTTTCTCTAATGATTTGGAGATTGTTTTTTGGTCCTTCCTTTTCTCCCTTCATGTGTCTGCATGGGGTGCAGTTTGCTCAGTCATCTAAGGTGCTGCAATTCGCTGCGCAGAGTGCATCCCTCAGGCTTTAAGATGGCTGTAGGGTCAAATCACAATTCGCCCTGATTGTTTCTTGGTTTATCAGCACCATACCTGTGCTCGTAGGTTTGACCAAAGTGGAAAATGCAGAGATCGGCATCACTTCATGCCTTCCCCCCATGCAGGGATATAACCGAAATCCTTTTCAAAGAGGCATTAAACAAAACTAACTAACTCACTCACTCACTCAGCAGAAATGTATTTTGTAGGTTGTCTTCATGTGTTGGTTAATGTCAAAACCACCTAACAGTGTTATGCATTTACAGTGCTCAGATGATAAATTATATGTTTATTGGTTTTGGTTGATTTTGTTCTATTCTTACGATGTTGGTGGTTGAAAAACATTTATAACTGAATTTATGCCCTTTGACAGCACACATGAGGCACATGAATATTGCCATTTTCCTGCCTTGATGACTGCACAAACAGATATGTCATTCCAAAGGGCTTTAACTCTTATTGGTCTACATCACTTCAAACTTTGTTGTAAACATTTCGCTATGTATTTCAACTATGTATTATTTCAGTGGATCCGTAAACCAAAAACATTATTGTCGCCTCTTGGAGACAGAAGTAAGCTTTAGGGGGTGGTCATGAAAAACAAGACATTGACTTTAATTGCTGTTGTCAGCACAATCATTGTAAGCAATTACATAGTTGTAGCAGAGTAGGACAGTTTGACCTTTATCTGAATCAGGCTTGTTTGACAGTAATGTTGGTGGATGATGAAGAGATGAATCATCATGAATAATAAAGCATCGAGCTGTATTAACTGGATGGGTTATAACAGTCATATTGCTCTGAAAATAGATTGTGAGATGGATGTACTACTGTACCAGTATAGCCAATATGAGTCAACCTGGTCAATGATGTCTGTGAGAACATTGTTTATTAAAAAAATGAAAAATATTTGTTGATGGGTATGATTCATTTTCTGAGTAGATTTACATGTTGATGGTGGAACTTGTAATGTTTGTAAAATGCATTACTGTGTGTCTAATTAATTGTTGATTAATAAAACAGCTGGTATGGCTATTATCTATCTGGAATGTTTCCTGTATGGTTAAATTAAGGCATAATTCCCAAGACAGTTTTAAGAACCGGAGCTTTGGAAAATAAATCTTGATAAAAAAAAGTTGGCCTGTGCTGATAACCACAAGCCTTGGCATCAGTCCAGCAGTTTCCCCAATGGGGATTCTTGGTTAGAATTGGTCCCCAACAACCTACGCTGGTCGTAAGAGGCATCCAAATGAATCGGGTGGCCAGGCTTCGTTGATTGTGTGTCCTCGTACCCTGACAGTGTGGCTCTTAGCTCAAAATATCAATCACTGGATTGTCTGGTCCTGACATCAGTATTCACAGGCCACCGTTATGTATCTTGATTATTGCAGAGGTTAACAATAAGCGAACACTAAGGGAGGGTTTAATTAGACCCGAGAACCAGGTTCGATTCCCCAAGTGGGTAGGTACACTGGATGAGCCCATTCCTGGGGTCCTAGGCTGACTGGTGTAAAACTGCTTTCTACCACTCCTGTGCAAACTCGAGCTGAGTGTCCCTGTTTATTATGTCAGTTGTGGAGGACACAATCTGTGTGAACAGAAACTGAACATATGGTCTTGGTTGTCTGTCACACTCTGTTTACCACTCTCCTGTTGAGCTTGAAGAAAGGATGGTTGTCTCTGAACCATGTGAAATTCTTGGGCAATTTGTTGTAGTAAAGACTGAGTACACAATTTCATAAAATTCCCCAACCAGCAGTTGAAATTAACAGCTTTAGCCCACTAGTCCTGATGATAACATATAGCAAAACCTTCAAAAAGGGCAAGTTTCTACGAGCCCTTATACTACCTTAACTATTGGGCAGTTTGGCAAGGACTATAGGACTAGTGCCAATTTCTAACGCTGCCAACAATATGCATGATCCCACTTATTTTGTTCAGTATATATTGTATTCTAGCTTCATTCTTATAAGACACTCTGCACAGATTGACAAGGTCGGTATTGCGAAAATGCTCCTAATTCAGTAACATGAGCTGAAACAGTTCACTGATAATTTAGCATGATTAGTGTACTGCAATATCAAACCAATAGTATGGTATGTGATGTGTGTCATTGTGTATTGATACATATTGTTTTGTGAATTGTTTTAGACCTTAACACTAAAATCACTGTTACAGATTACTTAATTTTATTTGATGTGACCCGTGAAGATCTGGGGTAGAATAGGTCTTCAGCAATCCATGCTTGTCGGATAGATGTTCATGATATTAATCACTGGATTGTCTGGTCTAAGCTCCATTATTTACAGACCACCGTCTCATAGCTGGAATATTCCTGAGTGCGGCATTTTACAACAACCCAACCAACCAATTATTTGATGTTGTCATAAAATACCAAAATTTGACATCTAAGAAATGATTATGAACGTAGAAGGGCTTTTTCCTTTAAAGTAATTACCTAATTATATAAGAAATAAAGCATGCATGTTGTATCATAGTTTGCTGTTTAACACCACACTCAGCAATATTCTAGCTATGTGACATCAGTCTGTAAATGTAAATCCAGTCTGGACCAAACAATCCAGTGTTTGACATCACACGCATCAATGCATACAATCCGGATTCGATGACATGCATCAACCAAATCAGCTAGCCTGACCACCCGATCCTCTTGGTTGCCTTTTAAGGCAAGCATTGTTTGCTGAAGACCTATTCTAACCCGGCTCTTCTCAGGTTGTCGTATGATAACCTGGTAAGTTGAATGTAGTGTTTGAGCCCTAGTGACTTTGTCCTTGTGTTGCAGGTGGAGAAGCCCCAGACTGTTGGTCTGTCCTACAACACCAAGGACCAGTGGGAGATCCCCAAGAATTCCCTGAAACTCATCCGCAAGATCGGCCACGGCCAGTTTGGTGAGGTGTGGGAAGGCTTGTGGAACAACACCACTCCTGTCGCCATCAAGACTCTCAAACCAGGTGGGTAGCATTCACAGACACAGTGGACAGTAGCCAAAAATTAGTCAAGTAGTTGTTTTTGTTGCAGACAATTCACCAGATGAATAAATTATGTTTTTATGTACATCAAAATGATTTGCACGCTTCAAGAAGAAGAGGGGGGTGGGATGGGGTGGGGGTGGTAACCTGGTTGTTAAAGCTTTCCTCATCACGCGGAAGACCAAGGTACAACGCGGGAAGAACATATCTGGTTTCCCCCGCCGTGATATCGCTGGAATATTGCTAAAAGGGGTGTAAAACCTCCGCTCGCTCACTCACTCACTCACTCAAGAGGGATAGTTGGGGTGCCCCTCAACACACATACACCCTCGGGATCTGTGTATGGGCAGACGGCATTGTGCCTCTGGTGTAGTAAATCATTGAAACTTTGAGACTTGTATTCGTTGACTCCCCACATACTGTTATTCAGTGCAGTACTCAGTGATCATCACGATTTGTTATGAAGAAACAGTAGTTCTCATTTCTGATTTGCTTCTACTCCTAGACCCACCCTATCAAATAACACATTACTTATTGTGTAATATTCTTGCTGAAACACAATGGTAACTTGGCAGCATGAAAACAAATGTCCCTTCAGCCCTAACTAGATGTTCAGAAATATCAAGATCAGTTTCAATCATACCACTGGTTTAATGAAGTGATAATAAAAGGATGTTAGTGCTAGTACTCTGGCTGTGTATTGGCAAACAAATTGTATTGCAATATTTCATGACCTATTGCAATATGTATTGCCATATATTGTGAGATAACATGTTTGACAGTGATTGACACTCTTTGACACTATTTGTACAAGCATACTAAAATAAATATTATGCCACAATGTTAGCAAAGTCAGTTGCCGCCATTTTGTAGACATACAGGGGAGATAATGCAAGAGAAAACTCAATGTTTCTGCTTTTTTGTCAATCAGTTGTTAATGAATTTCTGTTTAGATTTTATGCAACGATACAAATAATAACAGAACTTGTTATATTATTATATATTTTACTCAATATACACAAAAAAAAGAAGATAAATTTTGCAATATGTATCAGTTGAAAAGCGAATTGCAGTATACCGGTTAACTGGTAATACCCTGCACCCTGAAGTGCTACCACTGTTACGAAAATGTTAATGCTAAGATTATTTAAAACTCATGGATTATTTGGTCTATTTTTTTTATCACAGGAAGTCACATCTAACATGTTGTCTTGCTCCCTCCCTATGGTACATTCATACCAGGAAACACTTGTCTCTGAGATACATAACACCTCGCTCCATGCCTCAGTCCATGCAGTGCTAGGTGTGCCTATATCGTCCCTGGAGCAGTCATGTTACCTGGTGCATAGTGCAGGCAGATCACCTGGCTTTCATACCACACGTGTGTGAAGACCTTTTGTGTTGCCAGCTTGCCATTTGCCTATGATACAGTCTGCAGCCTAATAGACTTGCCCACATTTAGTAATATTCTGTTCGGTCTAGTAATCCCATCTAATAAAAAAAACATATGTTCTGAACAATCTCTGAAACTGATGACTAGAGTTGAATTTGGCAAGTAGACATCTTTTTGCCCAACTGGTTTTATTACAATCATAGTATAACAGTCAACACACACATTATTCATTAAGTGAAAATTTGCATTAGTCCTATCGTCCTTGCCAAACTGTGCAATAATTAATGTATCATAAGGATTAGTAGAAATGTAATAAGGGCTTTTCTATATGTTCTCATTATAAGGCCTCATGGACTAAACATGTTAGTTTCTATTGCTGATTATCCATCTTGTGTCCCAGGCACCATGGACCCCAAGGACTTCCTGGCTGAGGCCCAGATCATGAAGAAGCTGAGACACTCCAAGCTGATCCAGCTGTATGCCGTCTGCACTCAAGATGAGCCCATCTACATCGTCACCGAGCTCATGAAGAATGGCAGCCTGCTTGAATACTTGCAGGGTAGGTGCCACCTGACCAGTGTTCAAAATAAGTGTTGGCCCGTGGCACACAGATCTTGTGTCAGGCCCATAGTTTCAAATGTGTGGGGGTCCTTATGGCCAGCAGTAAATTTACATGTTGATTTATTTGTGACAAGAAGCTGCAGTTTTTCAAAAGAGGGCCTGAAGAGTTTAGTCAGGGTCTGCAGCTTCTAAAGTCTGTGGACCCTGATGGCAGCCTGGAAATGTTTAACTTCCAAATGCTAGTTGGAACCTGCTTAACCTATATTCTGCCATGATATTCCAGACTTGCTTGATTCTGATTGGTTTAGCTGAGAGTGGCATTAAACAACAGACATACAAGTGATATTGGCACTTTTATGATAATGTTGCTGTGTTTTCAGGCAAGGGCCGAGTGCTGAAGCTGCCCCAGCTGATTGATATTGCTGCCCAGATTGCTTGTGGCATGGCCTACCTTGAATCACAGAACTACATCCATAGGGACCTGGCAGCCAGGAACATCCTTGTTGGAGACTGCAACAACGTCAAGATTGCTGACTTTGGTCTGGCCCGAGTTATCAAGGTAAGTCAAGTACCACATGCCATTCTGTAGCTATCAGAGATTCATCAGATTGCATTAATTATTGAAAATACTTAATTTCCAACCTTCCCAAGATGGAGGTTGCTGCATCATATGTGAATGTCAGTGCTCTTGTATGTGAAGATGTGACAGGAAAGATAAAATGTTTGTATTGCAGATAACGTTTACCGATTTAAAGATTTAAGTCGGGGGACGGATTCCCAGTGGTCCCAGGTACACTCAGTATGCTGACCACTGTGTCTTTTAGCTTCAACAGTTTGCAATATTTGCCCTGACTATGATTTTTGGTTTGTGAGCACCATACCCATGCTTGTCTCACGAAAACTGTAATTGGACATTCATTTTTCGAGGCTTCCTTTATCATTCAGACCTGAAATACCATTAAAAGTGACATTAAAACACACATTTCTTTCCCTCATGTCATCAGTTTTTTTTAACTTTGATTATTGAACGGTGTAAGCTGGGTTTGTCTGAGATTGCAACAGTTGTTTTATAACAAGTCAGCAATATTTCAGTCCTGCAGCAACTCTGTATTAAAGTTCTTGGAGAAAACTATACATGGAACAAAGATAGAGAATGACATTGAGTGTGTGAAGTGAAGTGATGCCAGTAGTCCTATGATAACATGCCCATTGCACGTGTCCCCAGGAGGATGAGTACGAGGCTAGAGTTGGAGCCCGCTTCCCCATCAAGTGGACGGCACCCGAGGCCGCCAACTACAACAGGTTCACCATCAAGTCCGACGTCTGGTCCTTCGGCATCCTGCTCACCGAGATCGTCACTTATGGACGGGTGCCTTATCCAGGTATGACAATGTGCATTATTGATAATTAGGCACTGGGACTTCATTTTTTTTTTAAGACACTCTATTTTGTTTCCAATTCAAAACAAAATACTTCATAATATTTAGAAAACAATCTGGTTTAAAAGTATGTCAATGGCTGCTTGCATGCTGGAAATGATTGTACATGCTTCCAGAGACTTGTCTAGGTTCTTGTTTTCTCTTATTCATACAAATAATGTGCCACTCTAAGAATATTAATCACAAGGACTAAATTTTCATAGATACCAGTGGTGGAGAATGTCATTATTTAGCCTTGTGCCATCCGCTATGAACGTGAGCGCTTCTTGTTTGGGGGTCTATTTATAGTGTTGCATGTACCCAATCAATACATTCTATTCATATTATCAGAAGTTACTGAAGTTGAAATAGAAACTAAGCGATAAAATTAACAACTGGGTATTGTGATTTAGGGAAGCTTGCAGCTGTGTAAAGAGTCGTTTTGAAACCCCAGATCCTATTTCTCACTAGGGGACAATGTGTGAAGCCAAAGCTTATTGTCCCTTGCCATGATCTTGAAAGAATATTGCTTAAAGCAGCCTGAATGTTATCACTCTGCCTTTGTCAGATGTCAGAAATGAAGCAATAATAATAAAGGGCCACTTGCCTCGAGCAAACTGGCAGTCGTAGCAAATTTGATTCAAGTTGTCACACGTTGATCTACAAAGTCAAAGATTATGATGTACATCGATCTAACAGCTAATGAGACAAATGTCACACAGGCAATGCTAGAACATCAATGCCTAGACTGAACATGGGCAAGTCTGGGTTAGAATTCGTCTTCAGCAAACCATGCTTGCCTTTAAAAGCAATATGCTTGTCGTAAGAGGCAAGGTTGTGTGTAAATTTAACAATCTCTACTTGAGCATTTTTGCTGATTGTGTTGTGTATATTTCAGGAATGACAAACGCCGAGGTTCTGCACCAGGTGGAACATGGCTACCGCATGCCCTGTCCACCCGGATGCCCCAAGACATTGTACGATATCATGCTGGAGTGCTGGAGGAAGGACGAGCTGGAGCGACCCACTTTCGAAACACTGCAGTGGAAACTGGAGGAGTTCTTCCCCCTGTCAGTCGACCCCTCCGAGTACAAGGAGGCATCGTATGTGCGATAAGAACACAGATCGTATGGACCAAACTTAATCTCAAATCCGCTCAAATTTGTATGAGGCTTGACAGGACAATGCGTTGTGGGATATATTCAGTGTGTCGGAGTTGATTATAGTTACAGCTTGTGATGTCAAACTACGGTGAGCAGTGCTGTAAGAAGCTGAAACGTTGGTGTTTTAAGTGTGGATCTGGACACAAAGATGGTGTAAGGTGTAGTGATATTGTCTGTGAATCAGTACAGTGACGAGACATTGTTGATTTTCAATGGTGCTGAAGGAGACGATTGTACAATCAGTACTATGTGCCATTATTGACACCCACACTTGCATTGCAGCGGTTTCTCATTGCGATTCACATTGCAGTGGTTTCACCTTGCAATAGACATTGCAGCGGTTTCACCTTGCGATACACATTGCAGCGGTTTCACATCGCGATACACATTGCAGCGGTTTCACCTTGCGAATCACATTGCAATGGTTTCACGTGACGATTCACATTGCAGCGGTTTCACATTGCGATTCACATTGCAGTGGTTTCCTACTGAACAATTGCAGAGAGAACTGTTTTTAACTTGTTGTGACTTTGTGTCGTTTTGTCTTTTTAATTGAAATTTCTAGAACAAATCAGTAGTTATCACTTATCGGAGACATACTGTGTGTGCTTTTAGTACTTAAGTGCTTTTACATGACTAGCGAACAGTTGTTGACCCCGTGTCTGATATAGATCAATCACCTCTATGTCTCTTCCGTCATGTGACCTATCATGTGACTTTGTCCGGTCTTTCATGTTGTCCTGAGTGATAGTGATAATGGGAAATGCTGGAAAATGAGGGGGCATCTCAAATTTCAGACATTATACTTATTCAAAGTATCTTAAAGATAATGTATTTAGTTTATTTTAATATTAGATAACTAGTGTAAAGATATTCTACAAAAGATATTTTTGGTGAGGATATAAATTGCTCTAGTTATATTTACCGTTCTAATATGATAGTCTGAATTTGACATGACCCCTCTATTGCTTGTACATAGAGTTGTAAGTTATAGCCCTTTCACATTGTTGTATTGCACATGATGCATGCAAAATGCTGCTCCATTTTACCACAGCCTAGAATTTTCTCCTCAGAATTTGTGCTTCCTGGATATATAACCAGAAAATTATTCCAGAAATTGGCAAATATTGCTGAGAGAATTGTAGTCATAATCATGATAAACACAAACATAATATTTCTATTTTCACTTCTGTCTGCACTATTTTTCTACCATAAAAACTTTAACTCTACTTATGCATATATATGTCACCTTGGCATTGTTCTCAAATCTTGTCTACAAAACATTTGATTTACTTTTGATCCAGGTTAAAGCTTTTTTAACATTAAGATCATGTTTTGTCGCCTTGATACTCTAGAATATTCTTCAGAATGAAATTCTAATATTGATAAAAAAAGAAATTCGCACAAGTAAAATCTCAAGAACATTCCACTTCGAACCTATGCCATGAAATGTCTCAGTAGGACGAATCTTTTCCTATTCTAACAGTTGTATTCCTAAATGTATGGAAGCTCTATCAGGGAATATACTCCAATAGAGCCCACATATGCAATAGTGGTCAGAATTTGTGTTCTGCCTTGATAATTGCAACAGGGTAACGACATAGCCACGGAAGTGACATTTTGTACTGACTTTCTACTTCTGACATGTCTCTGTAGGTTTCTGTTTCCACTTGCTGTGTATGTCTCTTTGATGTCCCAACTACAACGTTACTGGCAAATTGTGATGTACTTCCTAGTCAATCACCTGCTCACTGATCAACCCGGAGTTCTATTGACAAAATCTACTTCTCGTATCGTACCACTAAGACAGTTCATGCCAGGTGACCTGCATGCTGAGCAAACACTTACCTGAGCTGAGGTGTGTCTCATACTGAATGGGCCTTTCCTTGAATAAGGTGTGTCTTATACTGAATGAGCCTTTCCTTGAATAAGGTGTATCTCATACTGAATGGGCCTTTCCTTGAATAAGGTGTGTCTCATACTGAATGGGCCTTTCCTTGAATAAGGTGTGTCTCATACTGAATGAGCCTTTCCTTGAATAAGGTGCATCTCATACTGAATGAGCCTTTCCTTGAAAAAGGTGTGTCTCATACTGAATGAGCCTTTCCTTGAATAAGGTGTATCTCATACTGAATGGGCCTTTCCTTGAATAAGGTGTGTCTTATACTGAATGAGCCTTTCCTTGAATAAGGTGTATCTCATACTGAATGGGCCTTTCCTTGAATAAGGTGTGTCTCATACTGAATGGGCCTTTCCTTGAATAAGGTGTGTCTCATACTGAATGAGCCTTTCCTTGAATAAGGTGCATCTCATACTGAATGAGCCTTTCCTTGAAAAAGGTGTGTCTCATACTGAATGAGCCTTTCCTTAAATAAGGTGCATTTCATACTGAATGAGCCTTTCCTTGAATAAGGTGTGTCTTATACTGAATGAGCCTTTCCTTGAATAAGGTGTGTCTCATACTGAATGGGCCTTTCCTTGAATAAGGTGTGTCTCATACTGAATGGGCCTTTCCTTGAATAAGGTGTGTCTCATACTGAATGAGCCTTTCCTTGAATAAGGTGCATCTCATACTGAATGGGCCTTTCCTTGAAAAAGGTGTGTCTCATACTGAATGAGCCTTTCCTTGAATAGGGTGTGTCTTATACTGAATGAGCCTTTCCTTGAATAAGGTGCGTCTCATACCGAAAGAGACTTTATTGAGCTCAGGAATGTCTTGTATTGAAGAGATACATTCCTGAGCTGAGACGTGTGACGTCCAATACCAAAAAAGAACTTTCTGACATGAGACGTGTCCTTAGTTTTTCTGTACAAAATAAATTAATGTTCCAATGGAATTAAAATTAATTACTTGTTCAGGTTTGAATAATGATACATAAGATCCTAATTATTCTAATACACAACCAGATTGAAGGATAGGTTTCCAAGAGAAGTGGACATTAGCTTCAGCTTGAGTTGTATGATGAGGATTTGTTCAAGTCAAACGTGCAAAATAACTTTGTGGTAGTCAGACTGCATTGACCACATGTACAGTCCACATGACACTGGTAATGTAGATATATAAGGCAGGATAACCAACAAGAATCTGCAATGCTGGGTTTCTCTATACTCCGCCATCACACAGTTTAGGGAAGAATTGCACACAGCACATCTTCATGGCCCAAAGTGATGACTGTGCTACAAGATTTACCTCCCTTTGTCTGTTCAGACTTATAATTTCACACCCAAGTTTAAGGAACATATTACGGTAATAATCTACTATGGATCAGTACAGACATACAAATTGTCACTGATTAGGTCACCAGTCTATACTCTCTGTGACACATAAGTTGGGCCAACTGTTTTCTGAAGTCCCTTAAATGATGTTTATATATAGGGATCAGTGCTATTAGTGTGACTGAACATGTGTTTGAGTCTTGTCAAGAATATTTTTGGGTTCTTATTAAACAAAATTGTTTGACATACTTGGCTTGAATTATCTGCACTGGTTCAGTGGTAGATGAGGTAAGTTAATTCAAGTTTTCATGGGTCTCGACAAGTCGTGTTTAGAATTTTATTTTAGATTTTGTTGACATTGTTTTATTGTTATCTTTACTGTTCGAGGGTGAGATAATAGATTGTGACTTCATTGTATTGCCACATGATTCCTTTTTACACTTTTGATATTGATTTCAAAATAATAAATGTTAAATAATATGAATGCCATCTCATGATCTATTGAATCAACTTTCTATATGCTAACGGTCTTCTTTCAAACTTCTGTATTCATAAACTATAGATTTCTTGCACATTACGCTCTCCATGAGTTCTTTATTTGTAACAGTAATACTTATAAATAACCAGTTAACATGAATTTCTCTAAAATGGCACCACTGTCTCTTTAGATGGCATTATTGCATTAAAAAGTGCTTTAAAGGCACACTGATGTTTAATCAAGCTATAAAACTAAATGAACGTTAATTCATGCTGTCCAGTGCTGGAATTAAATGGTATTTTTGCATGTTCCCCATTCCGTTGATAGTATCATCGTCTCGTCCAAGTTGGTATGGTGTGAGGTAAAGAGAGGGATAAAAGAGTTTGTAATTTTCTATGATGTAAATAACTGCAGTATAATCTTGTCATATATAAATCCATTTAAGCTTCAACAACCTACTAACAAAGAGAGTGGATGTGATGATTTGTTCAACCATGTATTACAACCAACTACGTTAAACTATTGTCCTGGCAAAGAGGGACCGAAATGTATGGGTGATATCTGCAGTAAGTTGGAACAAATCGTGACTGGCTCTGAGAGACACCAGTGTGCTGGGTGCTATGCCCACCATGTATAGTTGTCTGTTTGTTACTGTGTTGATGTAGACGTCCTACTGCGGAACCAAGTGCAATCTCTGATCAGGTACACTGCTGCTGTTGCTGCCGTAGCCACCGAAGCTTACTGTGGTACGTCAGCCAGCTCTTGTACAGCTTGCTCCTATAGCAAGGTCAGTCTCTTTTTATGTAATAAAATGGCATTATGAACTACTTGAGTTGTGTGTTCTGTCAGACCTGTTGCATCAATAGTGAGTGAGTTGGGTTTAACGTCGCTTTCAACAGTATTCCAGTTATATCACGGCGTGTCAGCTTAATGTGGGAGGAAAGCTCAAGGTGATGCAGGTATGGTGCTGACAAACCTAGAAACATAATCGGGGCGAACCAGGATTAGAACCCACAATCATAGGTTTCTGGCGTGTCCAAGGGATGCAACTCTGCACAGCCAATTGCGGCGCCTTAAGACGACTGGGCCACCTGTGCCCCCGCTGCATCAATAGGTTTATGTTGCGTTTGAAATTATTGCACCTACATAGCGACTCTTCTCTGTCTGCTTGTAATAGCCCAGACTAATTCAAGTGTTATCAGACTCAGACACAGCATACGGACATCAAGCTGACCAGCCCCTTAATGCTAAGCGCCAGGCAGGGTAACAACAAGTGCCATCTTTTAACTTCTTTTGGTATGATGCGCCCAGGGATCGAACCCTCGACCTTCACTAGGCCACGGAGGCGGTCCTGCATCAACAGTACACTGCAATATTCCAGCTATGACACCATCAATCATGACAGCAAAGCTAGGGACCTATTGGAACTTGACCTCACCACAGGTGTAGAGCAGCACACTGGGGGCCCAAGGCCCTGCTTGCACAAAGCAATCTTAGTGCTAAGATGATCTTAACTCCAATACTTTAACATAGGCTTACAATAGTCTTAGCACAAAGATTGTTTTGTGCAAGTGGGCCCAGGAGACCAGTCATCTCAGGTGCTGCAATCGGCAAGTTGCATCTCTCAGGTGTGTCATGATGCTTTGATCACTCTTTAGGACTGATGGCATCTCTTGTGGCTTCCAGGGGCGGACGGGTAGCCTAGTAGTTAAAGCGTAAGTTAGTCACGCGGAACACCTGGGTTCGATTCCCGCCATGGGTACAATGTGTGAATCCCATTTCTGGTGTCCCCAACTGTGATATTGCTAGAACATTGCTAAAAGCGGTGAAAACCAAACTCGCTCACTTTTGTGGCTTAACACACATTAAGCTGACAGTGACATGCTGGTATATTTAGTAGCTCTGAATTCAATACTGTTCCAGCTGGTGTACATACCTCTCACAAGTTGAAGAACACCTGTTCTTTTCATATGACAAATTAACTATAAAAATATGAAAACGTCTTTAACTTCTTTTGAGAAGTATATAAAAAAACTGACTCAAACATATACAACAAAGTGATGACTCAAATTTACAATTTATTCACAAATTGTGGTTCCTGTTCAAAATGTTTGAGTATGAGCACTGACATACAATAGAAATAGTTCTGATGAAGGATTTCCCATGTTTACAAAACAATTGCAATAGGACATTCATTGTAAGTAAGTCCAAGTTCTTCAACTCCATATCCCAGTGTACCACTACTACTACTACTACTACTACTATAGCAGCAGCATGACCTGGGCAGTACCGATACTGAGGTCTCAATCCTTGGGGTACTGAAAATGTTGAACTATCCACATCTATTATTTCCCACATGTGGAAACAATGCTGTCTTAATGATGTGATGGCCTGTAGTAAATGGCTTCCTACTACCAGCAGTGTGATCTGATCAGACAGACAAAGTCATGTGAGGTTTCTTCAGAAACTCACTCAGTGTCCTGCTTTCAGTGTCATAATATTTGGTAACCCAACTATGAGTAGTACATGGTGAGACATGGTCAACCGAGCTTGCTTCAAAATCAAACTCAGTGTTTCAGCCACATGTAAAACTGCTGTCCAGTCCCAATCTTAATCTGCTAGGAAAGCAAGCATGTGTCTGGAATGAAGCCGATCACCGGAGCTTGACGCCACGTTTAATGCCAGCTCGGATACCCGTCAGTTCCCCAGCATACCTATTCATCTCTGTCCTCGGTTCACGCACCTGGAAATAAATAATGATAATTCAGTCTATGTTTTTTGTACAAGAAAGAAGGGGAAAATATATGACCACATACTGGGGCTAAAAAGAATAATAGTCTTGGTTCTCAGGCACTGCCCACATCATCTTAAAGTTCTTTGTACGTTTCGTTTTTGTTTCCATTTTCAACTCTTACAGGGGCTGCCTAATCAAAACATGAATAGATAGAGAGGTAGGTTATTAATTCATGATGCTTTGCTGCATCAGCAATTCGTGGCAGTACTGCCACCCTATTCAGGGCTAGTTTTATTTGGACTGAAGATCCATGTTTCATAGATGTGCCTAGGGAGCCCTGAGCCCTGATAATGATCGTGTGTTCCTCGTCACTTACCTGGCCCTTCCTGCGGACCTTGGCCTTCTCAAACTTCTTCCTGTGTTTGACCCTCGGGTTCCTCTGTTCCCTCTTCCTCTTGGTGGTCATACCTTTGTTCTTGGCAATCTACCAAACACACATCCGAATAGACTTGTACAAGTGAAATACACATCTAGCTTAAGGTGAGTTGAGGTGACATGAGGTCTAACATTGAGTTCAAAATTATTTCATGTATATACTGACGTGTGTGCGTGCATGTGTTTGTGGTAGTCCGGACTTGAATCCAGTTGCTTATAGCAGTTCAGCTAGCCCACTGGGATACCAATGTGCAGTTTATCATGGATACCCAACTCAGACACATCATACTGACTCCAAGCCGACCTGTCCTTGTCTTATCCCATTAATGCTGAGTGCCAGGCAGGGATATCAAGTGCCATCTTTTATGTTCTTTTGGTATGATGCGGCCAGGGATCAAACCCTCGACCTTCCGCTCTCCTGGCAGGCACTCTATCACTAGACAACAGAAGCAGCCCCTGCACCAATAGCCAGGCCAGGGGATCAAACAACTGACCTTCCGCTTTCTGCCAGCCACTCTATCCACTCCACCATAAAGGTAGTTTTAAACTTAAAATACCAGATGTCTTGACTGATATATATAGTGGTTTTAACAATGGTTGACCCCATAAAATGAAAATTGGAAAATATGTTTGCAAAACATTTGATAAAGGCTATTTACAAATGATCAATGCATTATCTTATGATAGTTTTTGTTTTGTTTTTGTTTGTTGTTTAACGCCGCACTCCGCAATATTCCAGCTATATGACGGTGGTCTGTAAATAATCGAGTCTGGACCAGACAATCCAGTGATTGATATCATGAGCATCGATCCACGCAATTGGGATCGATGACATGCATCAACCAAGTCAGCGAGCCTGACCACCTGATCCCGTTAGTCGCCTTTTACGACAAGCATAGTCGCCTTTTACGGCAAGAATAGGTTGCTGAAGACCTTTTCTACCCCGGAATCTTCACGGGTAATCAGTCGTGATGATACATAAGGAAATTCCCAATAACTTCCCCGAGTTACAACAGGTCCCCAGCAACCTATACTTGTCATGCAAGGAGAAGCAATGGATCTGGTTGTCAGACTCCGTGACTTCTTTGATTGCTTATCATCAAACCCTGACAGCATGATCACAGGTTTGTCTGATCCAGTGACTGAGTTTGGTTTTATGCTGGTTTTAGCATTATTCCAGCATTATCATGCAATATCATTGTACCCATGAAGGGAATTGAACCCTGGCCTTTGGTTTTACAAGCAGAAACCTTCACCACTGGGCTACCACACTGCCCTTTATCAGGTCTTGACTTGATTATTTACAGGCTGTCGTCATATAGCAAATATTGTTACATGCAGCGTTAAACAAAGAGCAAAGAAACAACTGTTTTCCTGCCCCACTATGGCACACCACTATGGCACACATACCTGGTATGTTATTGCTCTCTTCCCTTCCTCCTCCTCCTCCTCCTCCTCCCCATCATCAGGCTGAGATGGCTCCACTGCACCCGCCTTCCTGAACAGCCAGAAGTCAGGGGTTACAATCAAGGGATTTGAAATGAGGGAGTCATACAAATATCATAAAGATTTATACAATGTGAACTACTGCTTTGGAAGGTTCAGTTTACTTTATGGCACAGCACAGATGGCCTCGAGATCTAAATTGTCACAATTCACTTGCAGAGTTGTGTCCCCTAGCTGTGCCATGATCTGCTGATTTTGGTTTGAATCTGGATTCACTGTGATTATGATCTCTGTCTGCACTGAATTCGTTTATGCATTTCACCCGAGTTGTGAATGTGTTTGACGAGTCAATATCTTTAAAGTTACATTAAACATACCTTCACACTCTTATAGTCATTAATTCTTTTATGAATACAGTATTTGGATGAAATAATACAAAATGCAAAAAAAACACAGGCCATAGAACGAAAACCAAACAATTTAGCATGCAGTGTCATTAGCAATACCATCAATATACACAACGTACTCATCATCCTCGTCCTCATCATCTTCATCATCATCATCATCATCATCATACATGTTGCGACCTTTCTTCATCATGCTGTAGTACTCCAGGGCATCCTTCTCAGCCTGGGTCTCGAAGCTTCCATTCTGTTTCTTCACCTACAACACCAACAGGTACTGGTTGACATAGCACACCTTCCATTGTAAGAAAACAACTACAGTGTACAGCAAGCAACAGTCCCACCTAAAGTTGTGACCATCAGCAGCGACCCAAGCAATTCTGATGACAAGAGCGCAGCCATGAGCGAGTCAGATTGCGATTAAATTTATCATGAGACGACCCCTTTTATGCTGTCCATCACTGTACCGTTATGTAGCACATGTTGTATGCTTTGCTCTGTTTCTCCTTCTGTTGTGTCCGCCTCCGTTCAAGACATTAACTTGTACACATAACAACATAATAGTTTCTCAAACAACTTTATCCAGTGATGGGAATGAAAATAGCAAACAGCAGAGCTTGCTGGGTGCAGGGTATTCATTGCCGTGTACAGTATTGACATTTTATAGACTATTCCCGATTTTGAGTTATTTTGCAATTCATCGTTCTCATTTGAAGCTCAACGGACTGTAACACAAGAACTGTATGGACTGAATGTGCATAAACTGTAGCTCTGCTGTAACACATGCAACACATGTAACAGACACAACTACTCTCACAATGAACCTCATTATAAAAAGACGTTCTTTTATCAATGATGACTCAATATACTAATAATTATATTTTCATCCATTTTTACTTAAAATGTGATGTGGGCATTTTTATTCTTTACATTCTATGTGTGATGGACTATGTGTATATGGTATGTTTCATAAAGTAAAGAAAGAAGAGAACAATCTTCATCATCTGTACTTACTAAAATGATGCACGGTTGGGGTGTTTGGAAGTGAGGTCGGCAGGCAGTTGAAAATCTTATAATTAATTCATATAGGCCTAATCTAAGATGCATAGATACAATTTTGAAAATACCTGAAAATGCATATATTTTTAGGTAATAGGTTTTGAAATGTGTGTACCAGTTTATTTTAAATACAAGTGGGGGAAGCAAATCTGTGCCCTTGAGACTTTTGTCAGCCTTACCTTTGCTGGGGGTTCAGGGTCTTTGCCTCTCGTCTTCTCCTTCAGTTTTCTTTTGAGTTTCTCAGCCTTCTTTCTGAAATATCAGGAAAACCATTCACAACACCATAAATCTAAGGTAGGATGTGCCATAACTCTCAGGTAGGATGTGCCATAACTCTCAGGTAGGGTGTGCCATAACTCTCAGGTAGGGTGTGCCATAAATCTCAGGTAGGATGTGCCATAACTCTCAGGTAGGATGTGCCATAAAGCTCGATGGGGGGTGGGGGGGAGGAGAGGTTGTCCAAACTAGTATGTAACCAAATAACAGTTGTGTACCATCAACCTGGGAAAGTGCCTCTCTACATAAAGAAGCTTACAAACTATTGCTGCTGTGACCATAACACAAGATGCGCAGTACAGCTGTGCACATGTAAAGGGAAGTAACTGTGTGCTACATTGGATCACATTGGGTTTTTTTAAAAATGGTTATGAAACCGAAACGTGCAGCAAACTTTCTGATGCAGGCAGTGCCTGAGAACAAAAGACAAATATTTTCTTAGCCTAATCACTTAATCACTTTAGTCAACTCTTAGGACAAGCATATGTTACAAGGGACATTATGATTAACGTAAGGTACAAAGAAATGCAATCAATGGATGGAGCTTAGGTAGCTCGAGACCTGTTTCTACACCAGCATCCCACCAGGTGGCGTCAACTCACCTGACCCCTGCTGTTTGTTCAGGGGGAGGGGGCAGGTGAACGTCCTCCCCATTCTTCAATCTGTCCAGAATGTCATCAATCTCGGGCTTGAGTTTGGTGTCAAGAGGCTCCAACTGTTTCATCAGCTGTCAACAGGGACATGAAATGATAGTTGATGTTTCTCAAGATGGAGTCACCAAGTTAAGATTTAATGTCACATCGGCAATATGTCAGCCATACAGGGACGAGAGGAAATAATACATTCATAAAAGCATGCGTCAGACTAATAAAGTCTGGATTGCAGCTCTGATGGGTACTCGATAACAGATCTAGTTTAGTCAAGGGTACATTTTAATATCTTTTGGTATGACGCAGATGGGGATCGAACTCCCCTGCTCTTCAGGCAGATGCTTAAACATGAGGCCACTGAGGTTGTTGATGACAAAATGGAACTGGGCTTATACAAGAGAGATAGTGTATGACTCATGTTTCTGTACTGCACCAGTCTCTTGATGACGGTGAAACTGGGCTTATACAAAAGAGATATATGACTCACATTTCGGTACTGCACCATTCTCTTGATGATAGGGTGAAATTGGGCTTATACAAGAGATATATATATGACTCACATTTCTGTACTGCACCGGTCTCTTGATGACAAGGTGCAACTGGGCTTATACAAGAGATATATATATGACTCACATTTCTGTACTGCACCGGTCTCTTGATGACAAGGTGCGACTGGGCTTATACAAGAGAGATATACATGACTCACATTTCTGTCCTGCACCAGTCTCTTGATGACGGTGAAACTTGGCTTATACAAAAGAGATATATGACTCACATTTCGGTACTACACCAGTCTCTTGATGACAGGGTGAAACTGGGCTTATACAAAAGAGATATATGACTCACATTTCGGTACTGCACCAGTCTCTTGATGACAGGGTGGTTCCCGGCTGCGATGTGCTTGGCTTTCAGCATGAGGTAGAAGCTGACATTGATACAGTAACTGCAACACACAATGATCAACCATCACACAATCATCATCACATTCAGGGTGTCATCTCTTTTCAGTTCTGAGGCCTAAGGGTTGTTTGTTTGTTGTTAACGGCAAACTCAACAATATTCAAACTTTTGGACAACAGCCTGTAAATAATAAAATATGGACCAAAAGACAATGATTGAAATTTTGATCAAAAGTCCACTCGATCGATTAACAAGATAGTTTTGTTGTTGTTTTAATGCCGCACTCATCAATATTTCAGCTATATGACAGCGGTCTGTAAATAATCGAGTCTGGACTAGACTATCCATTGATTGATATCATGAGCATCTTACGGCAAGCATGGGTTGCTGAAGAACTATTCTCTACCTGGAATTTCACGGGCCAACATGATTAAGTCACCTCATACAATCAGTTGCTGGGAATTTATTCCAACCAGGAATCCCCATGCTGGCTCAGGCCTAATGTGTCAAGGTGAGCTCATCTCATAATAATCAGCTAGAAAAAAATCTTGTGACAATCATGATTCTTCATCATGTCTGACAGCTGCAGTTCAAATACATCACAGCTTCTTCTCATAAGCACATCATTGTGAAACAGGACACTTACTTCATTGTGAAACAGCACACTTACTTCATTGTGAAACAGCACACTTACTTCATTGTGAAACAGGACACTTACTTCATTGTGAAACAGGACACTTACTTCATTGTGAAACAGGACACTTACTTCATTGTGAAACAGCACACTTACTTCATTGTGAAACAGCACACTTACTTCATTGTGAAACAGCACACTTACTTCATTGTGAAACAGGACACTTACTTCATTGTGAAACAGGACACTTACTTCATTGTGAAACAGGACACTTACTTCATTGTGAAACAGGACACTTACTTCATATTGAGGTGAAATCGTGTCCTGACGTAATCTGCAGCACTGCCATGAACTTTGCCTTCATTGACAAGGGTCAGCAATGGTTGGAAAATGTCCTTAACTTCTGTCATCTAAACCCAGTAAAAGGGAACAATCATTTTCCAATAAACAAAGCCTCCATTTACATTCACTTTATTCTCTAAAATTCTTCAAACTTTAGTCATCATTTCTTTTCTAAACAACAAAAATACTGCTGTAATACACCACAACATTACACTGAATTGTACATGGCACAACACTGTGATACTTTGTACAAGGCACAACATTTTACTACACATCACTATTGTACAAAAGCACTGTACAGTGTTCTGCAGTACATGTCTCAGTACTGCACAACACTATACAACATGTCTTAGTACTGTACAACACTGTACAACGTCTCAGTACAGCATAACACTGTAAAACATGTCTCAGTACTGCACATCACTGTAAAACATGTCTCAGTACTGCACATCACTGTACACATGTCTCAGTACTGTACAACACTGTACAATGTATCTCAGTACTGCATAACACTGTACAACATGTCTCAGTACTTTACAACATGTCTCAGTACTGTACACATGTCTCAGTACTGTACAACACTGTACAATGTATCTCAGTACTTCACAACACTGTACAACATGTCTCAGTACTGCACAACATTGTACAACATATCTCAGTACTGTACACATCTCTCAGTACTGTACAACACTGTACAATGTATCTCAGTACTTCACAACACTGTACAACGTCTCAGTACAGCATAACACTGTAAAACATGTCTCAGTACTGCACATCACTGTAAAACATGTCTCAGTACTGCACATCACTGTACACATGTCTCAGTACTGTACAACACTGTACAATGTATCTCAGTACTGCATAACACTGTACAACATGTCTCAGTACTGCACAACACTGTACAACATGTCTCAGTACTGCACAACAATGTACAATGTATCTCAGTACTTCACAACACTGTACAACATGTCTCAGTACTGTACACATGTCTCAGTACTGTACAACACTGTACAATGTATCTCAGTACTTCACAACACTGTACAACATGTCTCAGTACTGCACAACACTGTACAACATGTCTCAGTACTGCACAACAATGTACAATGTATCTCAGTACTTCACAACACTGTACAACATGTCTCAGTACTGTACAACACTGTACAATGTATCTCAGTACTTCACAACACTGTACAACATGTCTCAGTACTGCACAACACTTACAATGTGTCTAAGTACTTCACAACACTGTACAATGTATCTCAGTACTTCACAACACTGTACAACATGTCTCAGTACTTCACAACACTGTACAACATGTCTCAGTACTGCACAATATTGTATGTGTCTCAGTACTGCACAACACTGTAAAACATGTCTCAACACTGTACAAGACTGTACAGCATGTCTCAGTGCTGTACAACACTGTACAACATGTCTAAGTACTGCACAACACTGTACAACGTGTCTCAGTATTGCACAACACTGTAAGACATGTCTCAGTACAGCACAACACTGTACAACGTGTCTCAGTACTGCACAACACTGTACGACATGTCTCAGTACTGTGCAACACTGTACAACATGTCTCAGTACTGCACTACACTGTACATGTCTCAGTACTGCACAACACTGTACAAAGTGTCTCAGTACTGCACAACACTTTCAATGTGTCTCAGTACTGCACAACACTGTACAACATGTCTCAGTACTTTACAACATGTCTCAGTACTGTACACATGTCTCAGTACTGTACAACACTGTACAATGTATCTCAGTACTTCACAACACTGTACAACATGTCTCAGTACTGCACAACATTGTACAACATATCTCAGTACTGTACACATGTCTCAGTACTGTACAACACTGTACAATGTATCTCAGTACTGCACAACACTGTACAACGTGTCTCAGTACTGCACAACACTGTACAACATGTCTCAGTACTGCACAACACTGTACAACATGTCTCAGTACTGCACAACACTGTACAATGTATCTCAGTACTGCACAACACTGTACAACATGTCTCAGTACTGCACAACAATGTACAACATGTCTCAGTACAGCACAACACTGTACAACATGTCTCAGTACTGCACAACAATGTACAACATGTCTCAGTACTGTACAACACTGTACAATGTATCTCAGTACTGCACAACACTGTACAACATGTCTCAGTACTGCACAACAATGTACGTGTCTCAGTACTGCACAACACTTACAATGTGTCTAAGTACTTCACAACACTGTACAACATGTCTCAGTACTGCACAATACTGTATGTGTCTCAGTACTGCACAACACTGTAAAACATGTCTCAACACTGTACAAGACTGTACAGCATGTCTCAGTGCTGCACAACACTGTACAACATGTCTAAGTACTGCACAACACTGTACAACATGTCTCAGTACAGCATAATACTGTGCACCATATCTCAGTACAGCACAACACTGTACAACGTGTCTCAGTACTGCACAACACTGTAAGACATGTCTCAGTACAGCACAACACTGTACAACGTGTCTCAGTACTGCACAACACTGTACGACATGTCTCAGTACTGTGCAACACTGTACAACATGTCTCAGTACTGCACAACACTGTACATGTCTCAGTACTGCACAACACTGTACAAAGTGTCTCAGTACTGCACAACACTTTCAATGTGTCTCAGTACTGCACAACACTGTACAACATGTCTCAGTACTGCACAACACTGTACAATGTCTCTCAGTACTGCACAACACTGTACAATGTGCCTTAGTACTGTACAACATGTCTCAGTACTGCACAACACTTTACAACATGTCTCAGTACTTCACAACATGTCTCAGTACTGCCCAACACTGTACAACATGTCTCAGTACTGCACAACACTGTACAACATGTCTCTACTGCACAACACTGTACAACGTGTACCAGTACTGCACAACACTGTACAATGTGTCTCAGTACTGCACAACACTGTACAATGTGCCTCAGTACTGTACAACATGTCTCAGTACTGCACAACACTTTACAACATGTCTCAGTACTTCACAACATGTCTCAGTACTGCCCAACACTGTACAACATGTCTCAGTACTGCACAACACTGTACAACATGTCTCTACTGCACAACACTGTACAACGTGTACCAGTACTGCACAACACTGTACAATGTGTCTCAGTACTGCACAACACTGTACAATGTGCCTCAGTACTGTACAACATGTCTCAGTACTGCACAACACTTTACAACATGTCTCAGTACTTCACAACATGTCTCAGTACTGCCCAACACTGTACAACATGTCTCAGTACTGCACAACACTGTACAACATGTCTCTACTGCACAACACTGTACAAAGTGTCTCAGTACTGCACAACACTGTACAACGTATCTTGGTACTGCACAATACGGTACAACATGTCTAAGTACTGCACAACACTGTACAACATGTCTCAGTACAGCACAACACTGTACAACGTATCTTGGTACTGCACAATACGGTACAACATGTCTAAGTACTGCACAACACTGTGCAACATGTCTCAGTACAGCACAACACTGCCCACCTTGCTGATGTAGTCCTCGATGAGGGTCAACAGTTCAGGAGATTCTTTCTTCAGGAGCTGCAGGACATAACAAAGACAATGATTGCAATTGTGTCTCTTATACCATTATGAACAACACAACTTTCTTTTATGATATGTTTTCTTCTTACACTTCTTCAAAACCCCATCTGGCTCAAAAAGCTGTAAATATTTGAGGAAAAAACAAATTTCTCAATTGTTGACACATAGAATAGTTACACATTAGCAACACTTGGTGTCACTCGATGACTTATTTGACCTACCTCCAACTTTTCCCTTTTAGAGAGTTTTGACAAATCTTTCACAACCTTGCCCTCCTCTTTCGCTTCCTTCTTCTTTGCTGGCTAAACAGACAGAAATATTGATCAGTCACACAAAAAATACCTATACATGGATAATGCTGGAAAAAGAAAACATGGACCGGTTGTACATATCAAATATATTCCTGCAAGAAAGTATTTTATTTCAGCATTGAGGAAAAATAATTTACAATTTTCTAGTTTTTCATTCACAAGTATTTTCAGTTATGGCGATTAAAACTCTTCACAATGTTTGATATGTCGTACAAAAACAGTTGACCTTGAGATGCTGTTTATTTGAATTTGAGTGTGTGAGTGAGTGTGTGAGTGTGTGAGTGTGTGAGTGAGTGAGTGAGTGAGTGAGTGAGTGAGTGGGTGGGTGGGTGGGTGGGTGGGTGGGTGGGAGTGAGTGAGTGAGTGAGTGAGTGAGTGAGTGTGAGAGTATGGTTTTACGCCGCTTTTAGCAATATTCCAGCAATATCACGGCGGGGGACACCAGAAATGGGCTTCACACATTGTACCCATGACAGGAATCGAACCCGGGTCTTCAGCGTGACGAGCGAACGCATTTACCACTAGGCTACCCGACCGCCCCATTTGAATTTGAATTATGTTGTACTCTTCCTGATATTCAACTGTACCAAAGAAACAATGTGGTACAAATGGCATTACAAAGAAACACAATTTCACAAACATTAACTTTGTGTGTTTATTAACACCAGCCTCAGCAATATTCCAGCTATATGATGGGGGCCTGTAAATAATCAAGTCTGGACCAGACAATCCTGTGATCCACGTTGTCAGGGTATAAAGACACGCAATCAACCAAGTCACAGAGTCTGACTACCCAATCCATTAAGTCGCCTGTTACGACCAGCTCAGGTTGCTGGGTAGCATATCTAACCTGTCATTCCAACAGGGTATTAACCTCAAAGACCTCAAGCATTGACTGCATGCTTCGGATGATGCCTGCAGCTTCACATGAGCTATTATTGCTGTAGCAGACCACGATCAACAACCTACAATACAGTCTCACCTTGACCGTGAAGGCGTCGAGTCCAAAGTCCTGGTCGCTCATCTCCTCCGCCATCTTCTTCTGAAGAGCCAGAGCCTCCTTCTCCTCCATTGCAGCGTTTCCCGTCTCCTCATCCGACCCCGACAAATCTGGCATCAATCACAAGACATTTACTCATCAGATCATTTAGGTTGCATGTAGTTTGGTGTTCATGTGTGAATCAGAAGATCATAAGCAGTTGTCCGACCAGAAGATCATAAGCAGTTGTCAAACCAGAAGATCATAAGCAGTTGTCAGACCAGAAGATCATAAGCAGTTGTCATAGACCAGAACATCATAAGCAGTTGTCATAGACCAGAAGATCATAAGCAGTTGTCCGACCGGAAGATCATAAGCAGTTGTCCGACCAGAAGATCATAAGCAGTTGTCAAACCGGAAGATCATAAGCAGTTGTCCGACCAGAAGATCATAAGCAGTTGTCCAACCGGAAGATCATAAGCAGTTGTCCGACCAGAAGATCATAAGCAGTTGTCATAGACCGGAAGATCATAAGCAGTTGTCCAACCGGAAGATCATAAGCAGTTGTCCGACCAGAAGATCATAAGCAGTTGTCCAACCGGAAGATCATAAGCAGTTGTCCGACCAGAAGATCATAAGCAGTTGTCCGACCAGAAGATCATAAGAAGTTGTCCAACCGGAAGATCATAAGCAGTTGTCATAGACCGGAAGATCATAAGCAGTTGTCCGACCAGAAGATCATAACCAGTTGTCCGACCAGAGTATCATAACCAGTTGTCCGACCAGAAGATCATAAGCAGTTGTCCGACCAGAAGATCATAAGCAGTTGTCCGACCAGAAGATCATAAGCAGTTGTCCGACCGGAAGATCATAAGCAGTTGTCCGACCGGAAGATCATAAGCAGTTGTCCGACCAGAAGATCATAAGCAGTTGTCCGACCAGAAGATCATAAGCAGTTGTCAGACCAGAAGATCATAAGCAGTTGTCATAGACCAGAAGATCATAAGCAGTTGTCATAGACCAGAAGAAGCCAAAGTCAGGAGATCATGATAGGAGAACATATACAGTCTTTAATAATCTTTATTCCAAATCAAATGATTATAAACTGAACAATCAATAGAGTGAGTGAGTGAGTTGGGTTTAACGCCGCTTTTAACAATACTCCAGTTATATCGCGGCGTGTCAGCTTAATGTGGGAGGAAAGCCCGAAGTGATGCAGGTCTCAGACGTTTACCACTTCGGTGAAACCCACGAGCACGGGTATGGTGCTGACAAACCTAGAAACATAATCGGGGCAAACCGGGATTCGAACCCACAATCATAGGTTTCTGGCGTGTCAAGGGGACGCAACTCTGCACAGCGAATCGCGGCGCCTTAGACGACTGGGCCACCCGTGCCCCCGAACAATCAATAGAAGATTCCAAGCAGATTAGCAATAACAAGTATGTTCCTCAGATGTGCAAATCTGAAAAATCATATTCGGAACATCTTTGGGGCAAATCCACACTTGGAGCATGGGACTATACCCCTACACTTGACCACTGGATAACACCCCTACACTTGACCACTGGAAAACATCCTACACTTTGACCATTCCATAGCACTCTACACTTTGACCATTGGATAACACCCCTACACTTTGACCATTGGATAACATCCCTACACTTTGACCATTGGATAACACCCCTACACTTGACCATTGGATAACACCCCTACACTTGACCACTGGATAACACCCCTACACTTGACCACTGGATTACACCCCTACACTTGACCACTGGATAACACCCTACACTTTGACCATTCCATAACATTCCTACACTTTGACCCAGGGGTCCGGAAACCGTCATATGCGCCGGACATGTCCGATTGGGAATCTCAAATGTCCGGTTTAAAATATTGCTTACCGGACATTTAATTTTTTCTGTCCGGACATTTTAAAAAGTATTGTCCGGACATTCTTAAATTTTGACCGGACATGATCAACAGTTAGGACTGAGCAGTTTCTGTCTGCAGTTGTAACACAATGAAGATTATCTACACTGACAAGCTTTGTTTGTTTTGATTGCTGTAAATACATCGTACCTACATGATAGTCCAAGCAGTCAATCACTGTAATAGGCAATAAACTGAGTTGACACTGATTAATCGAGGATTAATTACTGAGAACATCTTGTTAATTTGAGAGAAAGGTGTTAACAACTGTACATAAATACCTTGCATCATTGATGTACCTCATTATCCTCACAATGCTACGATACGTAACCTCAGACAAGAAGCGAAAGCGTGACGACAGCCAGTCGACCGATGCAGATCAGTCGAGCGGATCTGCCAAACCCTCAAAGTCTGGACGATCATTTGTAAGTCGTGGCTAACGACTTTCACTTGGTTGACATACAATGAGGATTTGCAGATTTTATTGTTTTCAGTAGCTAGTCGTATATTGAATCTTGATTGACCGCCATTTTGCTTTCTGTGACGATCAATATCATTTTTTATGGTCAATAATTAAGTACAGATGAAAAAAGTATTCAAATAACTATTGCTATCAACGATATTTTAGTATTTGTGATTATATTATCTGTCTTGTTTTTAAAAAATCTTTAGTTTAAAAAAAAACTTTTCCCGTGAGGTCACGTGATAACCAAATATGGGATAATAGTCTCGATCCAAATGTTACAACGCGTACACTTGAGCAGACTCATGAATATAACTCATGAATATTAATTAGACCATTCACTACGTTAACAGATCGTTATTATACAGAAACAAACGTATGTTTTCCATGTATATCTAAAATGATATTATTTGTTATTAATTGTCCAGTGAATTAAACAATTTAAATTGAAACAATTCATAATTCATCATATTATGAATACGTAACAACTTGTAATGTGTGTGAAAAGTCGTCCTAAAATACGCTATTTGAAGGGGGCGTGGCCTAAATGCAAATGACCGATTGGGATTTTAAATTTTCCGGACCCCTGCTTTGACCATTCCATAACATTCCTACACTTGACCATTGGATAACACCCTTACATTTTACCAATGATAACACCCTTACATTTTACCACTCATAACAACCCTAAACTTTTACCATTGGATAACATTCCTACACTTGACTTCTGGAAAAAAATCCTATACTTGACCATTGGATAACATTCCTACACTTGACCATTTGATAACTCCTATTTTGACCACCAGATAACACATTACACATGACCATTGGATAACACCTCTCACTTTGACTATTGGACAATACCCTCACTACACTTGACTATGGGATAACATCAATTGTCTTTTACTGTGAGAAGACATATAGAGATGGTAACAACAAGCAGCATGCTTTGTACTCATGTTAGACTCACCAAACTTGTTGTCAATGATATCAGCATGGTAGAACCGGTTCCGCTTCACTCCCCATGCCTTGCTGTCTGGCAGACCTGTCAAGAACACACATAAAATGAGATATACAGCTAATAATGCCACTGCATATTTATAATAGTCAGATAGGTCAAACTATGAAAAAACAATTATCCTTCACTAGAATCATTTAAATGTTCCTTTTTAACATGAAAAACAGGCATAATATTCATTATGTGGAGAAAAAAAAATTGTTCTAGAAACTTCACATATTATTTTCTTGCTTTGCAAGACACAAATGCTAGACTGATTAATAGGATCCTTAGTACTTGTCTCTATCTAAAACTTGATGTATTCTGTTTTTCAGGGAGATTAGTGAGTGAGTATGGTTTTACGCCGCTTTTAGCAATATTCCAGCAGTATCACGGCGGGGGACACCAGAAATGGGCTTCACACATTGTACCCATGTCGGGAATCAAACCCGGGTCTTCGGCGTGACGAGCGAACGCTTTAACCACTAGGCTACCCAACCGCCCCTTCAGGGAGATTAGCACAGGGCTCTTTATAATAGAAAACAGGAGGCATGAATGCATTGTTTAGAATATTGAGAACCTAGTTCTTGAAATACAGCTATATAAGCCTCTGAAATCTACTTTTGAAGATCACTTGATGAAGCTAACTATGTGACCCGACCATCATCTACTGCTTCCTCCTCCAGGTCACTGTCCATCTTCTTCTGGAGGTGATGTTGACGGAGGCGGCGGAGCTGCGTCTTGTACATTCGGATCTCATCATCGTCATCATCAGAGCTCAGGAGGTCATCATCCGAAACAACATTCATGACCTCCTCCTAAACGACACGAACACAGAAACTTGTCACTGACTGTGCAAGATCAGTGTTGCTCTAACAAAATACTTTCCTTTCCGCCCCCTCAAGATATATAAAAATATATCTCTATCAAAAGTTGAGTAGTATATTTCATATACCGACAGACATGACAGAGTCACTAAAATAAAACAGACCTTTTCAATTTTATATTTTAAGTAATCACTACCAACATTCGAATACGAATACACAGGCATGCACCAACCAATATAAAGCAATCCTGATGGCACATTTTATAAAATCTCATCTCCAACAAAAAGATGTAAATGAATGTTATACTTAGACTGACATACCTCATCAGGTTACTACTTTGCCATATGTACACAAACTCTCATGAATAAATATATAAAAGTTCTTTTGTTCTGCTCTGGAAACAAAACATGTCTGTTTGTTTGGTTGTTGTTTAACACTGCACTCAGCCATGTTCCAGCTAAATGACGGTGGTCTGTAAATAATCGAGTCTGGGCCAGACAATCCAGTGATTGATATCATGAGCATCGATCTATACAATTGGTATACGATGACATGCATCAACCGAGTCAAATATATATCATAAATGGGATGGGTTCACCCAGGGTTTATATTCCTACACGGTTACCAAAGTGAATATAGTGAATAGAAATATGTCATAAGCTTTAATTAATTTTAGCATGATATAATATGACAGTGATTATTACCCAAATGTGTTTCCGTATCATATATATATATCTATATTTGGAATATAAATACATATTACTGTTACCTAAAACAATTGTTATTCCTAATATTTGACATTGATAATACGAAAACACACTCAACAAATAACGTAATCTCAATAAAGGATATGGTTAACTTGACCAACCTCTTCTTCCGAGTCATCCAGGCGTCGGTCCTTATATCCCTCATCAAGGAGCACCTGTCAGAAGAAAAAAAATACACTGATTAGGGATATATACAAATTATGGTCTTCACAAAGCCATGTCAGGATTTCTTTTGGATGGCCGTTTGTCAAAAGTAAGGGTAAGTGACCACTTCAGTCACAAGGCAACCCAACAGAGTGAACTTTTTACACAGCAGTCAGCTAATAGCTGTTCTACAGCTTTCTGTAACTAGTTACAGTATAGACATAGCATGAGCAACGATCCACTCCATCGATGGGTTCGGTGTCATTTCCTATCCTGGCAGTTCCGAATCCCGGTAGTTTCGTTAGTCTCTGGTCATTTTGTCAACTGGCTTTATCAATTAGGTCAATGCTGAAGTCATTGTTACATAAGTAAAGTAGATCAGATACATGCAGCAACTGTCTGTGCAGGAGTTTCTCAAATCTGGCCTGCATGAAGACAGTGGATTCTTTTTAAAGTGGATGTTTGAACTATCCTAATATGAAACTGACAGTTTGCATGTATAGACATGAGCTATGAACGCACCCAATGAGGATTTAGGAATCACAGACACGTTCACGATCATTGTAACATTCCCAATGTGGATCATAACTTGTAGTGAGATGCTATGCTGGTGCATCACGATTTTTACTTCTTGATACAAGTTTCAATCACAATCTCACACATGGTAAAACCTATCAATTCTTGCCTTAAATGCATTCTTTAATAAATGTTACACCAAACACTTATTAATCCATACATTAATGTGTCACCTTTCTACACTTGCAACTTACTGTAATGTTGGTAGATCTAATGGTTGATTTATACTTTAGTGTGACAATATTACAATGCATATTTTATTAATAGCGTTATGCGAGGACAAGTTATCTCCCTTTTTAATGGAAGTAAAACAGAAGCACATGATGTGAGATGAAGAATGTGATGCTGGTGACATGTGTCAGAACTTCGCGATATATCGATTGCAATACATATTGAGCTTGTCAAATGAAACTGTATGTTTGCGACGATGTGTGATGTACTCATGAATCCTCACAATGTTTTTTACAGGACAAACAATGACGGGTCTCAGTAATACATCCATAAAACTGTAGGAAATGTGTTTCGTTCATGGTTACATCCCAAAGAGTGTGGAACATCATGCAGATGTGTGAAATAGTGAAATAGGCTAAAACCTCAAAAACAAGAACCATTACACTTACCTTATTTCTCCCCTCGTGGAAGTCATCAATGTCATCATGGTAGAAGTCCTGAGACTCGGGATCAGGGTCATCATCCGAGTTATACACATTCAGAGGCTTGCCCCCTCTACGTCCACCTTGACCTCTGAATACATCAAGCGTTATCAGTATTACAAATACATACACTGAATGTTGTAGTCATGTTAATTTTTTATCACCAATAATGATCAGATTTTGGTTGGTTAGATTGTTGTTTAATGCTGCACACAGCAATATTCCAGCTATATGACAGCGGTCTGAAAATAATCGCGTCTGGACCAGACAATCCCATGATTAAGATCATGAGCATCGATCCCCGCAAATTGGGACTGATGACATGTATAAACCAAGTCAGCAAGCCTGACCACCCAATCCTGTTAGTCCCCTTTTACCCATGCTTGCCGAAGACCGAAGCTGGTCCGATCTACCACGGATCTTCACGGGTCAATAATGATCAGAAACTAGAAAACCCAATAGAATCCTGTGGATTAACTTGTCCTACATGTATATGTAAAGGAAATTACCATCAATGACCTATGTCAGTATGGCTGTTGGGGTCCTTGCCGTCACAGGTACTACAGAACTGTAACCCAGGAGCCTTTCTATACAATGAAATGTAGCCGAGAGCTTTCATGACTGTTGAACTCCATCGTGGCTCTCAGTAAACACAAATTTACCCCAGGTACCTTCTTGTATACATAAATGCAGCCAAATGCGCCACTATGTACGGCATTGGACGAGTCTATTTTCACTATGTATGAAGCCAGTTTTCGACTGACTAAATTTAGTTGTGTGTGCTATAAACTCAGATGCATGTGCAATATGTACATGAGGTACATTTCTTTAATACCTGTGCCAACAACCTACCCAACAGCGTATGTGTGTTGCAATAGGCCTATATTGTAAACAAATAATTAGGGAACAGGTCAAAATGGCTACACATCACAATGGCCACAGACACCATGGACAACAATGTCAAAGGTATATATAAAGCATACATAGTGTTAGCTTCTATTTGTTTCAGTGTCATGCTCTATTTATTCATTAATCCAAAAGATTGACAATTAACTTTTATCAATAGCAAAACCTGTGTGTGATGTCTTTACTAAGCTTTTGTAACACATACTTCGATACTGTTTTGATTGACCTTTGATCAATACTGAAACCAGGATCCGCTCAACACTTCCACCCTTCTCAGCCCGACAAGTTGCAGTTCTCCAAGTGAGGACTAAGGTAGGCTAATCATTTGCTGAGTAAGCATAATATAATCTATCTGTTAACAGGTCAAAGGGCCGTTACCAATTTCCATGAGTCAGGCCTGGACAGGTTTTATTATTAAATTATTGCAGGTTGGAACAGATGCATCAACAGCCACAAAGGGAAGCGATAACTTGGATTTTACAAGCTTGTTTTTGTAATTATCATTATTATTATTGTTCCAGTTTAGAAGAGCTGCATCAATATCTGCAAAGGGGAACGACAACTTAGATTGTACAAGCTTGTGCTAGCCCTGTTACAGGAAGCCTCCCAAGTTAAACTCCAAGTGAGACACAAGGGCAAACTGTGATGAAACATAAGGAAGACAGCCGCCAGTTCCCAGAAGAGATATTTTTCAAATCTGAATGTCCCAAGTCACAATGACAACAAAAATGAATTCAGACAACTGAACAGAATAACAGGAGATGTGCTTTGAGATGCTGATACATGCCAACTATTAACATGATAAAAGATATTTCTTGAAATAAATAAAGATGTATAACATACAAAATGTATACTTCATAATGTAAACATTGTGGGTTTGTGTGGCCCTTTTGACTTTTTGGTGTGGTCCTTTAGACAAATGTGTTTGTGGACGTTTTGACTACAACCCATTTATTAAAAAGACCCTTTCAACTCACCTTTCAATCAATACTATAATTAACACTTATATGCTGAATAGTCATTATAACAGCACAGTAAATTGGGGGTCAACCTTATTACCCAAAAAAATATCACACATACGAATACGGTAACATACTGGTTATTAATGTAGTCACGTAAATAGGTGATACTTTCAAGAAGATGCCGAATTTTCGTATATCTATATCTCGTATATCTATGTAAATAGTCAGAAAAGGGTGTAAACAGAGACTCTAATATTACATGGTCTCTGATGTTACTGACCACAGGACCACGTAACTGAAGTTCCATAAGTTCACATTCTAGATAAAATAACAATCTCGAGTCCGAACTCTCACTTGTTTGTTTGCTCTTATTATTATTAGTTACGTGGTCCTGTGTACTGACCTAATGAAATTATCTCAAACATTAATTAACTGAAAGAGTATCTTGTTTTACCGTTTTCCCATAGCTGTTGCGATAGGATCACAGGTCGACACGTGCAGTTAAAACCCAATTGAGTCGTCTCCCTTGAATGTTAAACTGGTTCTCTTTGTACGCATTTTACAGTGTATTTAATGTATAATAGACAGAGCACAGTCGTTTCCAAGGGTTCTGGTGCTGGTGGTTTAATTTTGTACTGCAATCCACTTCCATATACAGTTACATTACAATACATTATAATATTTTTAGAAAACACACAATTATTTCAAAGCGACGCTTTTCTCCATTTAAAGATAAAATAATTAAAATTTGGATTGAACAGAATATATGGCTAACAAAATGTAGATCTACGTTGAATGTGTTCATTTCAATGTTTTGTGTGTAGAATGTACGACAAATTCGTTTTTATTTGTGTATACATGTATCATATAATTAATCAATACAATACTGACTCATTTTAGCATAATGATATTTTTTAGTGCATAGGAAGGCAGAGGCGGTGTTTCTAAGTGTGTGTGTGTGTGTGTGTGTGTGTGTGTGTTGAGGCACTAGATCTATTATATGGCCTCTGGTTGAGGGGAGTTGGCGGGGGCCAACTCTGACATATTTGAGTATGAACTTTGTCAAGTGTAAACCGTTTGCTTGTAAGCAAAAAATGTTTTTGTGTGGCTCTCGATAAAGAGGCCTATATATCAGTGTTTGGAGCGTGAACTTGTGCCGTCAGGATCAGTGGCGTGAGTGAAATCGCATGGTTAGTTTTCAATTGTTTACCCGGATAGACTAATTTGATGAGTGAGTGAATGAAAGTTGACGCTATTGTCAGCGATGTTCCAGATGAAGTCTTGCATATATAATCAAAACTGGGACAGACAAAACAGGGGTTGATATTATGAGCACGACTGGTGGAACCACTTTATAACATTCCATTTCAAGTATAGGACTATTAGGTAGTCAAGTGGTCACGTACGATGTGTGAGGCTATTCCTGGTTTCCCCGCTATAAGGTATGCCTATAACATTGCCAAAACAGCGCAAATCTCGCACTCACTCAAGTATAGAATTTTGTTTGATTGTTTGTTGTTTAACGCCGCACTCAGCAATATTCAAGCTATATAACGGCGGTCTGTAAAATAATCGAGTCTGGACCAGACAATCCAGTGATTGACTTCGTGAGCATCGATCAACGTAATTGGGATCGATGACATGTATCAACCAAGTCAGCGAGCCTGACCACCCGATCCCGTTAGTCGCCTTTTACGACAAGCATAGTCGCCTTTTACGACAAGTATGGGTTGCTGAAGACCTATTCTACCCCGGAATCTTCACGGGTCTAATTTAAAGACAGGTATAGCTATCTCTTTTCTTTACCTAGTCCAGATCAGTATATGGCCAGTCAAACCAGACATTCATGCCTTTATGTAAGTCACACCCGTCGACAGTTCATGCAGTAAACAATTACTTATCACCTTGCATTGTAAAATTTGGATCGAAATCTAATAACTTATGTATTAATATTAATATAATAACTAATTTATATTAAGTTAAACACAACAAAACACAATGTGTCTATTTATTTCACATAATCAACAAATAAATAAGCTGAAAAATATTATTTAATATGGGGTAGCTTAGACTATTATTTTTTGTGCAATATATTACTTGATGAGGGTTTGATGAAGATTTTAACAAGTCAATAATATACCGTTAGTGTACACACCATAACAAGCACGTGTTGTTGATGTTGACGTTTTAATATCCGGGTCCTTATCGAGATGGACCAATGACAAGCTTCAATCACTGTATGACGTCATGTTTATGACAAGCTCTCCAACATGGCGGAGAAGGGTCCACAAGTGAAGATTGGGCATTATATATTAGGTGAAACACTTGGTGTTGGCACCTTTGGCAAAGTAAAAAGTGAGTATTTGATGCAAACTTTGCAATTTTAACCAATAAATCATCTGACAATGTCGTGCCTCGATAGCCTTAGTGGAACAAGTCGCGTGCGCCTAGATTTTGTAAACAGCCTTGACTCGCCAGTTCTGTCGATCAATAACCTTGCGGTTACAATGTCGAGAACATGTATACGGTTTCACGTGGGACGCATATTGACGATGGAATCAAATGTCGACATTTTAAGCATTTACTGCAATGATATAGAAACTCTGTTGAATGTCATGGTATAATAGCAGAAGAAAATTTGTGACGTGTTAATTTATTTTGTGCAAATATGTAGGGTAGTAAACTGGCTTGTTTTGAGAAAAACATGTTTACATCTAGGTGTGACATGGGAGAAAAAGTCGACAAGACGAGAAAACACGTAGCTATTGTATTATTTCAGTGTACACGGTGTAGCATGATAATATCCACAAACTGTATTGTATTAATATAACTGTTAGCGCAAAGAGCCTAATGTCATCACTGCATAATATAGGCCACTAATATTCCTAATGCAGACATGTTCTTTCCCAAGTAGAACTGAACATTGAAATGCAATGCATTATAAAGCGATTGTGTACATTGATCATGTTGATGTGTATTTAGTACATCACATTTTCTACCATTAGGAAATTCCAAATTTCCTTACTTTAGTTTAGTGGTTTCTTTAAGTGATTCAGTGACAATTTAGAAACAAGGCCTATATGTCTAGCACCATAACGTTTCCAGTCTAATATTGCTAATGGGAATATATGCCTAATGTTAACCATAAAACTGTAATGTTTATTTGAAATTAAGTTTTAAGCTTGCAGTTCAACATTTCTCAAAGTAAATATAAAACTACTTTACAAAATTTATGAAAATATGATTTCAACCAAGTTTTCTTGTGGTGCAAAAAGTTTCTGTGTAATAGACATGATAGAGTAGAAAGTCATTAGAACCTTTGATTACAGACCTGGGAATGTTGATGCAATAAAGAATATGTCCATAATTTGAATTAATTGTAGCATCAGACTCTATTGATATTATTGCTACAGTGTGAATCTGTCTGAATAATACCTCTAACCCATCATTGAATTTTAACAATTTAGTCTCTATATAATGTGTTCATGTGTGGATAACTACAGCAGTGTAATAATAAAAAATGAACTCTGGCTGATTAGTTTAAGGTAGTCACATGGTAGGTAACATGGTATTATTGCAATCTTCTGAATCATGGGTTCGATCCCAGGCTGGGTCATACCTAATGATGTTAAAAGGTTGAACTTGTTGTTTTCCTACTTTGTGCTCAGCATTACGGAGATAAAACAAGGATTGGTTGGCTCTGAGTTAGTATACTGTGTGTGAGTCTGGTATCCATGTTAAACCTCAACGTGGTGTCTCATTGAGCTAGCACAATAAAGCCAGCATTAGTCTAAACTAGTACAAGCAGCCCCACACACACCTGTGGGGTGATACGGATGTTACATAAGTGCAAGAAAATTGAATACAACGGTAAACCTTGTATTACCTCACCCCAACTATGGCTTGAGTGGTGTGTGACACAATCATTATATGTGTGATGGCCATTATCATCATGATTATGGGTCATTTGTTATCATTCATGGTTGCATTTAAATGCCAAGGCATTTCTATTTAACATCTATATTATGTTGACATATTACATGTTTTATTTACCAATGCTCTTGTCAACAAGTTCGGAGCACAAGGTGAAGTTATTGGTTTTATGAAAAACTATGGGACTGTTTGTATTGTCCAGGAATAATAAGGCAATGCCTGTAGTTGTATGCCTAATATAATTGTACAAGGCTTTGTTGTGACAGTACATCCCAATGTAACATGTCTACAGGACAGCATTTCATAATATGTACACAAGTACCTAAACATGATTGACATATACATTCATAACAGAGGAATTCCATGTTGAATAGAAGTTTGGGGTCTCCTTTGAATTATAATGGGTTTTGGGGTTGTTGTTTTTTATTCATTGAAAAATGAAAAATAAATTACTATGATTACATTAAATGATCAATTGGTGATCAAGGGATACATAATTACGGAGCTCCAAATAAGCATGATAAGCTGACCATTTGTGTAAAATATGCAATCTAAATAATCATAACCCTGTTAAGTTTGAGTTGCTTCTATTCCAATTGCATGAAGAAATCTGACAGCCTCATAGTATAACAAATGTTAGTGATTACCCAATGTAGCTACAAGAATGTCTACAGATCTTTCCTTACTGACTGAATGCAGGCATCACATGTTCATGAACTCTGCTTCAGTGAATGATGCACTGATGTATTTAAAGTATTTGATGCACATAAAGTATTTTCTAAAAAGTTTACAAAACCCAATAGTGTGGATCCGAGACAATAATTTGAATAAAGTACGTGGATTATTTCCAGATTGTCGTGGAGTACACAGCTAGTCACACTGGTCTTTTTGTGTTTCAGTTGCCACACATCACCTAACAGGTCACAAGGTAGCTGTGAAGATTTTAAACAGGCAGAAAATTAAAAGTCTCGATGTTGTCGGGAAAATCAGGAGAGAGATTCAGAATCTCAAACTCTTCAGACATCCTCATATCATCAAACTGTAAGTCCACAAAAAGTGATGTACTGCATAGTTTCAGATGGCTTCATCTTCTAGGACATTGACTATGTTGACAATTGTCCTAAAGATTGATTTCAACTTGTTAATGAATTGATATTAAAGACAGTTGTTAAATCATGAATATGTATTAATGCTGTTTGTCCCCAACTTAATCACTGGTACTGTAACCATGTTGACATGCATTGATGTTCTTGACAGCGTAAACATATTAAAATTAAGTTGCAAGAAACAGACCCAATTTCTGATGAACTCAACCAATTGCTGATTTGACTTTTTGCAGTGGGGAAGTGAGTATCAGTATAAGATCAGTTAGAATTTATTTGTGATTGCCCAGATACCAGGTGATGAGCACCCCAACAGACATCTTCATGGTCATGGAATATGTGGCTGGCGGTGAACTCTTTGATTACATCGTCAAGCATGGCAGGGTAAGTAACACAGTTTCAGTGTTTGGATTGAGTTGTGAACATACCCAATGTACACTTACTCAGTAGCCACCTGATTAGAGGGCAGAAGTCACCCCGAAACATTGTTACAAACAGTAATGAAGTTGTTGTCCATCAAAAAAGTGTCATGTATTCTCGCTCACTGTAGTTGTGATCACGAAAGCAAAGGACATAACCATCAATCATAACAATGTAGAAAGGTCTGAAGACTTTCTTTCCTCCTTACAATATATTAAGTTTCAGTGGGCTAAATAAGTCAATGTGATAATAAGGATCTCAGGAGACAGAGAGAGGGGGTGGGGGGTGGGGGGGGTGGGGGGGGGTGGGGGGGGCGCTGGTGCTATAACCATATCCGTGTAATTATGATTTTGACTCAACAACTGTGCTGTTGTTTTACCTACTGTTCTGCTGGTACTGGTTCAAGATCTCTTACAGCCTATGACAGCACTGGGCCTTTGCTCTTGGGTTTCAGCAAAGTGGCACATCACTAAATGTCTAGAACCTGGGTAGTTTTTATCTCACTGCTAATGACTGCTTTACTAGATATAAATAGAAGATATTTTACATCTGTTGTTTTGTTTCAGCTGAAGGATGTGGAGGCAAGGAGGTTCTTCCAGCAGATTATTTCTGGGGTGGACTACTGTCATCGACACATGGTGGTGCACAGGGATCTCAAACCTGAAAACTTGCTGCTAGATCAGAACACTAACGTTAAAATAGCTGACTTTGGTAGGTACCATTATGTCAGAGAGGCAGCATATAAGGTTTTCAATCATTTTCCAGCATTTCTGATCCTGCTGATTTCACTTGAAATTTGGTAGACATTGTAGATGCCATGTCAAATGCTAATGCAAATAAAGTTTTGTATGCAGGTTTTAAACTTGTTAAAATGATGGTCCTGATGCTATGTTATCCTTGATTGCGAAATTATGAATAGAATAGATTGACAGTTTGAAAAAGGACCAACGATTGTGGTATTATGGTATTTTTCATTAAATGGATCTTATCATTCAGGTTTGTCTAACATGATGCATGATGGAGAATTCCTGCGGACAAGTTGCGGCTCCCCGAATTACGCTGCTCCTGAAGTTATATCAGGAAAGTAAGTCACAAGATCCTCACTAATAATTACCTACAGTTATTTGAATAAAGGAAAATGTGAATCTATTCACTCACTCACTCACTCACTCACTCACTCACTCACTCACTCACTCACTCACTCACTCACTCACTCACTCACTGACTGTAATTAAAACTTTAAATGAAACTGATACATTGTCTCTATCATAACATTTTGAGGAAGCAAACAAGTACAGAAATGTTTGAATGGCCTGATAAAACTGCTGCTTGTCCCAAGTGTAGCCCTTCCCTAAGTATGAAACCGCCATGCACACCATGAAGTGTCTTGCTTTGAATTGAAGTTTAATGTTGTTTCTAACTGATACCATTAGGTGTAGTGTATGATACTCATGATGACATTGCCACTGTGTGTTGGATATGCACTTGTGAATCCAGAGGTTATGATGGTAGGGGTGGGGATTGGGTCATGCTTGCACGCAAGGGCTGGGACGGGTTTGGTGGGAACTGAGTAGGACCCGGGTACCCACAGGACTACCTAGACCCATAGCTAGTACCATGATATATTGTTAAATTATCTAGAACGCTATGGTTACACTACAAGTCACTAATGTTCGCATTTCTTCAGTGTATGCATGACCAGATCGTTTTATATGTGTACAGTCAAACTATTCCCAATTGGACCTTTTTTCCCCATCTCTTAAGACCTACAGCAAGTACCTGGGTAGGGTCGGGTAATAGGGGGATGGGTACCCGGGTAGTAAATTTTGACTCGTCCCACTCCTATTGCACACACCTGTTTTTTCAGACACTTTCATGTGTTATTGTTCACTAGGCTTGGGTTAGTCATTGTATATAGATATATCAAGATCCTGAACATTCCTCTGTATTTAACACTGTTTCCAGGCTGTACGCGGGTCCGGAGGTGGATATCTGGAGCTGTGGTGTTATCCTGTATGCCTTGCTGTGTGGGACGGTACGTGGACTGATGTGTATGTGACATGTGAAGAAACACATGTTGGAGTACCTACCATGAATGTATTTCAATGACAGTACAGTATCATTGCTATGTTGAGGAGGATATTCAAGTGTCAATGGATAATCAGCTTAAACAATAAACATTACATATATTACACCGCTGATGGTTGGGGATTGTTACTGCAAGTAATTAACTGTATCTGACTTTGTTATGTCTTGAGTTGTTTTTATCAATGCCAGTTTTGAACATGTTGAAAGGATAATTTGATGACTGTGCCATTTGAGTAATTAATCTGGTTTGTTTCAGTTACCGTTTGATGATGAACACGTCCCTACATTATTCAGGAAGATCAAATGTAAGTAGAGAATGTTTCTTTGAGCTAAGCATCTTATGGAGTTGATTGCTAGATGAAAACACAAGAAATACTTTCATTTGCCTATTGATTGATACACAGTAATTGAAAGTTTGATAGAAACTGTGGTGTTTTTTAACATATTGTGTTAATGTAAGTATCCTCAAAAGAGCTTACTGTGGTAAGCTTCTAAAACATGTATCACTTGGGCTTTCATCCTACATACAGCTGACACACCATCATACAGTCGAACTGCGTTATCTCAAATGTACCGATCTCTCGAGCCTATTCTCGAGTCGCAACCGCCTCACTATATAAATACATATAAAGTTACCTGCTTATATCAATTTCGAGATAAAAATAAATTGCACTATCTCAAACCTTGGGACTGGGTCCCAACTTTGACTTTACTGTAGAATTTTATACCTTTATCTCGGAAGTTGGCATTGACACACAAACAGTTTTGAGAAGCGTAAGTATATTTAGTGCCTTTCCCCACACATCTTGCATCACTGTAAAGGTACAGAGCAATTTGAACCAATTGGTCCACCAATTATTACGTACTTATCTTTTAATTCAATTGTAATTGTAATCTTTATTGACAAATAAGATATCGTAAGTACATACACTTGAGTAAAAACATGGCGATATTTCCACCTTACATCGAAATGTGCTGATCAAATTGGGATTAAAGGAATTAAAGATGTGTGACGCTATTCACACGATCCAAGTGGATCGAATTGTGATTACTGCCATGCCTACTACATTAACGTACAGTTGTTATTAATCATAGCCATCAAAATACATTTTAATTTGTCATCCCATACACGTTGTGTTTTTGATTTCTTGTGTATGCAATCGTATTGCGTTGTATCTATAATTTGTTTTTCTGTCATTTGATCTGTCCGAATGTTCATGCCTTGTTATCTTGAGCATCCGTATATCTCGAAGTTACAACACGGTCACGCTAGGTTCAAGATAACAGGGTTTGTCTGTAGTGAGTGAGTGAGTTGGGTTTAACACCGCTTTTGACAGTATTCCAGTTATGTCACGGCGTGTCAGCTTAATGTGGGAGGAAAGCCCGAAGTGATGCAGGTCTCAGATGTTTACCACTTCGATGAAACCCACGAGCACGGGTATAGTGCTGACAAACCTAGAAACATAATCGGGGCGAACCAGGATTCGAACCCACAATCATAGGTTTCTGGCATGCCCAAGGGACGCAACTCTGCACAGCAAATTGCTGCGCCTTAGACGACTGTGCCACCTGTGCCCCCTGTTTGTCTGTATAACTAAAGTACTGTTCAAAGCATTTAACACCTATCGGTAACTCGCTCACATGTATAATTTTCAGCTGGCCTATTTGCCATCCCTGAGTATCTCAACAAGGATGTTGTGTCGTTACTGTGCCATATGCTGCAAGTAGACCCTCTCAAGAGAGCAACAATACAAGATATCAGGTGAGTGTGCATCTCTCACAGGAATACAGGCTGAGACAGTTTGTGTAGGCCTATCTATACATGGCTTACAGATAACTGATTAAGTAGAAGTCTAATGAAGGGACATAACTCTTGTTAGCTGATAAGTAGGTTATTAAGATAATGTACACTGTGTTAACTAAAACGTTAAGTTCATGTCAGTAAATTTTTATTACTGACATGTAAAGATTGGGGGGGGGTTAAGGACCAGAAATTCCAATCATTGAACCATTGCTGAATCCTTTGTATTTCCTGACTTATCAATGTAATAATCAACTGTTTACCATTATGTTTTTGGAATTTGTTTAATTCCATCAAAACAAATGAAAAAAACCCATTTTATTAAGTGATTAACACTTTCCCAGTGATCTTGTCATGGTAACATCATCCTGCTTAGATGGTGAAAGGTACCAGTCAGCTTGCAGCATACCAATCAGGTTTTAATTAAGTGTCACAGACTCTTGAGAATAAGTCCTGGGCAGCTGTTGAGCTCAGCAGAGCACATTGGGCATATGAGTTTTTCATGCTTGTTTATTGATGGTGCTAACATTTGCTTCCAGAATTTGTTTGTCATATAATCATTTCTAAACATGTAGGCAATATTATGAATTGTCAAGTTTAAAAAAACAGGCTTCAATTTTATAATTAGCTGCTGCTGTAACTTGAACAACACAATTAGAAGAATCATGCCCTGATACCTAGCTTCCAGGCCAGTGCACTCCAAGCTATCAGCATTCATTATCATTGATTTCATATTATCCAGCAGTAAATCTTGATCCCGGCAGAATGCATAAATACTCTGGCGTTTTCTTCTTCTCTCTAGCATTGCTGGCTTATAGGTCTGTGTTCAGGTGATAATTTGTATGTTTGTATGTCTATGATATTTGAAATGAACTCAGGGATCATGAGTGGTTCAAGAAAGACCTGGCAGGGTACCTGTTTCCATCTCCCAACGACCAGGACGCGTCTATAGTGGACCTGGATGTCATCCGAGAAGTTTGTGATGTAAGTACAGGAGTAACGACACTACTCTCAACACAGTTTAGTAGGCAACTGCAGTCATGTTCAGATTTATCAATATTGGTTTTTGAAACAGTTTGTTCATTCTCTTTCACTTCTCAAGTCCTGAAACTGTGAATCTGGATTGTTTGGAAGAAAACTTAGGCTTTCTTCAAAAAGTGTTCTTCTTATTGTGTTTTAATTTATTGGCATTACTTTTAAGACCTAATGTTAGTATAATAATTTGAACAATAGTTCTAAAATCAGAAGGGTAACTTTGTATTACACAATCCAACCCACACCTGAAATAATGTTTTTAGTCAATTTTCTTACAAGTCCTTTTATCCATAGCTCTCTCTTGGTAATGATTTAAAAAAAAATGTAATCTATCATTTGATAGAAATTCAACGTAGATGAGCTCGATGTGCAGAGAGCCATCCTGAGTGGGGATCCCCATGACCAACTGGCTATAGCCTACAACCTCATCATAGACAACCAGAGGTTTGCTGATGAAAGTAAGTCACTGAAGCATGCATTTAAGATACTATAGTCACTAAAGTCAGATGCATTCAGATATGTTATCAAGATGACTTACAGGTTATTTTGATGAAGACATTGAAGTATAATGAGCACTGTTAAGCTGCTTGAGGTTTTTTTAAGAGTTAAAGTAAAGAAAATATGATCTCATATGATACATGCCTCTTGTATTATTGAAAGAGCGACAATCAGGTAAGTGTATTTGCCAGATTATTGACTGGTTTTAACCTGCTATCATGATTAATTTATTCTTCACATTGTCACTCCACAGCTTCCAAGACAGAGTTGAAAGAATTCTACCTTGCCTCCTCCCCGCCTCCAGAATCATTCCTGGTGAGTTGTTAAATGATACTCTCACTGAGATATTTGGCTCTTAAGTCTGCAGCAAATGCCTGTAAAAATTCCCCAATTGCAATTATTAAACATTTTCCAATTCATGCTGTTATATTTATAACTAATGTTATGGGTTTGTAAGGTGACTTATATTTTCACTGTTAACAGGACTAATATAGACCATTTCTGCATTGAATGCAGTGTTGAAAATTTGATGTTAAAATACCTATGAATTTAGGAAAATTAAACAACAATTTCATTTGGAGCAGTTAGTTTTGTATCCTAGATAAGTCCCTGGTCGGTCGAGAGTCTGACAGCATGTGTCATGCCACTCGTCTGGCTATTGTTCAGTCTTGAGTAACCATGGTAACATTGCTGACTGCAGTATACAACATTAGTCCCTCAATCCATCCTGATGTAACATAAACATTAAACAGCAAGATGCAGCAGCTGTGTGAGTAATTGTCATCTGAGAACTGAAATATAGACATGTTTATTCTTCATTTCCAGGCATCTAGTCCTATGAAACCTCACCCAGAGCGAATGCCAGGTAGGTTACCCTTGTTTTTTACTTGTCAAACTGTGTGTGAAAATTAAATAAGTGAGCATGATGAATAGTTTTAAAGTTCTTAACAGGTATGTGTGCTTTGTACTGTACATCACTTTGTACCTATTTCAGAAATAAAGGATGTGACACACACGTTAGATCCTATCAAAAGTCCCCCGTCAGGACAGAGGCCTGTTCAGCCTGCACCAAAGAAAGCCAAGTGGCATCTGGGTACGTCGGATGCTTCACATGTTCATTCATGCTGGAAAGATCAAAGCATCATGAAATAAACCTAAAACCTCTGTAGATTTAATGAATGTGTATATTGTTAATTCTTTTACTGTCGAAAATCCAGGGTAGAATGTGTCCCCAGCGCCCGATTGCTAGCTGTAAGAGGTGACTAAATTGGGAACCTGTGGTGATTCTCGGTTAGAATTGGTTCCTAATAACCTATGCTGGTCGTAAGATGAGACTTGATGGCTCGGGTGGTCAGGCTAATTATGTCAATTACTGGATTGTCCGGTCCAAACTCGATTATTGTCCCCCGCCGCGCGAAAGCGCGAAGCGGGGGATATAGTATTCACGACCGTCCGTACGTACGTCCGTACGTCCCACCTGTTTGTTGCCGCGGTATCTCAAGAACTAAACACTGGATTGTCTTCATATTTGGAACTATGGTGTATATACAGACTCCGCAGACACCAGTCGGTTTTGGTGACCTTGACCCCATTTTCAAGGTCACAGCAGGTAAATCTGCTTTTGGAGTTGGAAAACGGTGTTGCCACGATATCTCAAGAACTAATTGCAGGATTGTCTTCATGTTTGGAACTATGATGTATATACAAACACTGCAGACACCAGTCGGTTTTGGTGACCTTGATCCCATTTTCAAGGTCACAGCAGGCAAATCTGCTTTTGGAGTTTGAAAACAGTGTTGCCGCGATATCTCAAGAACTAATCTCTGGATTGTTTTCATATTTGGAACTATGGTGTATATACAGACTCCGCAGACACCAGTCGGTTTTGGTGACCTTGACCCCATTTTCAAGGTCACAGCCGGCAAACCTGCTTTTGGAGTTGGAAAACGGTGTTGCCGCGATATCTCAAGAACTAATCGCAGGATTGTCTTAATATTTGGAACTATGGTGTATATACAGGCACCGCAGACACCAGTCGGTTTTGGTGACCTTGACCCCATTTTCATGGTCACAGCAGGCAAATCTGCTTTTGGAGTTGGAAAACGGTGTTGCCGCGATATCTCAAGAACTAATCGCTGGATTGTCTTCATATTTGGTACTATGGTGTATATACAGGCGGGGGACATTTCGTCACTTCTGTGACAAATACTTGTTTACAGGATGTTCTTGTATAGCTTGGATGTTGCTGAGTACATCATTAAACAACACATGCACATAATGTTGAAACTGGCACAAATAAGAAGTGAAAAATTACAGCATGAGTAATTAGATATATTTTATCACCATGGTAATTGTGTCCATTGGTTTTCTTTCAGGTATTCGATCACAAAGCAAGCCACAAGATATTATGCATGAAGTCTTTAGAGCTATGAAGTCATTGAATTTTGTGAGTCTTATTCCTCCATTTTACATGTCTACTGTAATGTGTGTCCCCTCTCTGTGGACATTGTGGAAGTAGAATCATGATCATCTTAATAATATCTCATCATACAATGTGCCGGATAATCACTGTGTCTATAGGAGGACAAAAAGATATGTGTCTAACATGAATCTCTGCTATACTCAGTATTATCAACTTATTTAGCATCAATAGCATTGTGATTATACTGTGATTGCCATTATTTTGGCACCTCCTTATTCCCAAAGCATCCAAACCTGTGAAGATCCGGTGTAGAATAGGTCTTCAGCAACCCATCCTTGCCGTAAAAGGCGACTATGCTTGTCGTAAGAGGCGACTCACGGGATCGGGTGGTCAGGGTCGCTGACTTGGCTGATACATGTCATCGATCCCAATTGTGTGGATCGGTGCTCATGACATTAATCACTGGATTGTCTGGTCCAGACTTGATTATTTACAGACCGCCGTCATATAGCTGGAATATTGCTGAGTGCGGAGTTAAACAACAAATAAACCAACCAACCCAAAACACTCTGTGGGGATTTAAACACATAGTATCCCATGCTTGACTTGATAGACATGGTATGTTGATTGTGTGCCATCATGCCGTGATGCCATAGATCATTGCTCATGCCTTTGTTACTGGTTGCCGTGTTCATGTTCACTTATCACTAATTGAGGGGCGGTCAGGTAGTCTAGTGGTTAAAGCGTTCGATTCCCGACATGGGTACAATGTGTGAAGTCCATTTCTGGTGTCCCCCGCCGTGATATTGCTGGAATATTGCTAAAAGCGGCGTTAAACCATACTCACTCACTCACTATCACTTATTGAAAAAACATTTCCATGGGAAATCTTACTTTTTATGTGTCAGTTCTGTGAGCTGATTGATATGTTTTTTTGTGTTTTATTATGTCCAATCTCTGTTCTGCTTTGAAATCATATGTTATTGCCTTTGAAATAATACAATTATATCATAACATCGTGTCATTTCTATTGTTCAACAGGAATGGAAAATAGTCAACAATTATCATGTCCGAGTTAGAAAGAAGAATGAAATCTCTGGAAAGTTTGTAAGTCAAATATTTAAGTTACAGATGAACATTTGCAATGGAAATGATCGGACTGAAAGTTTGGTGTGGATATGTTTGTAAGATGAGAGTGACAGAGGATATAGTTACTAGGCAATCACCAGATTATCCCGTCAAGACAGAAATATTTTAAGGCTGGAATCATGTTACAGGAATATTGCTGAGTACATTGTTAAGCAACATACAAAACAAAAAAAGTACCGAGTGTCTTGACTTGGGCTAGATATGGAGACTGAGGGGTGCAAGAGTGTTTGGAAGAGCATGAAGTGATATAATTGACCAAACAGAATTGGACAAGTCTATTGGAGTATTAAGACCATGTATGTCCATTTCAGACCAAGATGAGTCTCCAGCTGTATCAGGTTGACCAGAAGAGCTTTCTGCTGGACTTCAAGAGTCTTTCTACCGTACAGACAATGGATGCCATTGAAGCTCTGGAACAGATAACAGACGAGAGGATGGATGTGGATGAGGAGGGAGATGGACAGTGTCACCAGACCCTAGAGTTTTTCGAGATGTGTGCCAATCTCATCACAGCACTTGCTCGATGAGTCACAGACTAATCACTTCACGGGATTGTATACACCGCGTTCCTTCATCATCCATGAATACATATGGCTGCTATGAGGTGTACTTGCTATATTTAACCAACTAATCAAGCAATGGCCAGATTCCAGCCACAAGGAAGCCAGCCTGTGTGTAGACAAATACAACCAAAACAGTATTGTTTCTTGTTTGACAAGTGCCATAGAGGTGTGGCATCTGCTCTACGTGTTGCTTTAATAAGCAGCCTCATTTCGTTAGTTTTCCAACGATAGACATATCACCACTCCACTGCATAGCGTCTATATGTATTCCTGGTTGACGGAGGGACTTTGTGTCTATGTCTGATTGACGATGCAGAACAATTGGCATGGTGCACTGGGAATGGATAAGCTCAGGCTGTGAGTTGCTCAGTAGGTGTTGAAATGAAGAATGGTCAGATACATGTGTACAGAATTGATGGTTATACTCAGAAATGTTCTCGCACAAATAATATGATTATGTTCAACATATGACTGTATGTATGCTTGTATAATATTCGCATCATAGTAGGCCGATTGGGACGAGAGTGTGAGAAGGAAACAAATGAAAACAGAGTTGCTAGTTTGTCAGAAAGATGAGGTGTTGACTGTATAGTATTGACAAGTTGTGTACTCAGTTGTATGAAAATCACAAAGCATAATCAGAAATGATCATTATTCTCATAAAGAGCATGATGCATTTTACAAATACTGAATATACCTGAAGCAGGGATTCAACTGGGTCTATCTAGTTTCAAGGCCAGGGACTCGAGGTAATTTCTTTTGGGGGTCCCATTTTACTGATGCAGTGATGACATATTATTGCACATGCTAAGAAGTCTTAAGCATATTTATAGATGGGGATTTCCCTATTAGATTCATGGAAATCAGCTACTGACACTCTGAACTTGTGTGTATTTCAGACAAGAATAGAAATATCAGTTGCAGCATGCAATCCACAATATTAATTAGACTTAATGGTTCAAACAGCCATATTTTTGGTTTCCAGGAGGACATGGAATGTTAATTATTTGCATCTATTCTCAATTTTGCATCTGATAAAACCCTGTCTGAAGACAACCATTGTTTGTTGTAGATTTGTTTTGAGATATTTATCGTGTTTTTGAAAATTTGAAGTCTGCATAAGATGATGAAAAACTCCATTGAAGTAGGACTCTTGATTGAGGATGACGAACGAGGGAGTTGACTGAATGTTTGTTATCTTGAACACAACTTTACAAAATGTTTGCTTGTACATTTCACATTTGAACATTTTCCTGAAATAAGCTCCAAAGTTTGTTTTGAACAGAAAAAAATTACAATACTGATCTGGCTGATTGTGTTCATATTGTAGTGCAATGTTTGCTGCAGAAGAAGTTGTAATTTGTTATCATCCTGAAAATATGTACAGATTTAATGTAGGTACTTAAAATGATCTCACTGTCTTTGAACAGGCAGCGAAACCGCTGTTGTTAAAATGTAGTGCCTTTTTGTACATGGTCATCTGAAAGTGATTTTTGTGTCACTTAAAAAAGTAGGTAAGCTCTGTGTCTGAAGCAGCTTGTTAGGCATTTGTCATAGTTGAGTCTTCCTTCAACTGTATATATTCAGGAGAGATCTTAAACCTCCTTTTTTGTGTTGAAGTGACAGGTCAGATGTTGAGGGGTTTTCATTGGGTATAAAGAATTTGTTACTAACCATTATAACTTATAAAAAAATATTGAAGGTAACATTACATACACAACTGTATTAATACCAGAAAGTTGTGTATATGTATGCATGTTTCATTGGACAGATATCTGCAATTTCGCTTCTGCTATTTATGCAACATAAGCCAATGCTATTCTTTAATACATGCCTATTGTTTTATTTATGAAGAATATATTTTGTTCAGTATAACCATGTTTGTTTCTGATGTTTTGTTACTGCATATTAAAATGCTGCTGCAAAGATGAAAGTTTTTTAATTTCTTTATGTCTTCAAGAACAGAACAACACATCGGAAATGCTTATATAAGCTTTGAGAAAACTAAGTGTGCCTGATTCCTTTTGTTATAACTAGACCAAAAGGCAGGAGACACAACTTGAAAACATCATCTGAGTTGGTTTCAGACTGATTCCCTAAACTGAACATGCTAAAAGTGTTGAAACAAAATATTGGACAAGATATGTTTTTTAAAGCATATTTTCAACTGTATTTGTCATTTTCAATTTGTTTCTGTTTGGGATTGTACAAAATGTTGGATAGACTTGTCTGTAAGGAGAAAAACCCATTGATCTGGTTGTATGGTCGACATAGACTTGTAGACATTGCCAGTCCCTGCAAGTTTGGATTCAAGTCGTTCAAACATTTTGGTTGTTTGTCAATTCAAGTTTGGATATGTATTTGAATCAGAAAGTTGAGTTTTGACAGTAATTACACAGCAACCATGTCTCAATTTCAAACTTCCAATGTCTATCGGGTATAGTCCCCCTCTAAAACATGTTGAAGTCATATCGGCCATGTGTGATAAAAATATCACTGGCAATATTAGTTATATCTGAAAAAATTGAAATAAGAGTACCGGTAGGTCATTTTATGGCAAGTCAGAACATCTTAATCAGTATAAGATGTGAGGTGGAAATGTTCTACATCCTAGGGTGTACATGTGTGAAGGTGAACAGGGCTGTGATTGGAACTTTCATAAATGGCATCCATGTATCATGTTGTTTGTATGATAATGTTTTTATATGGAATATAGTCAATGTGTCATCTGCCAATTCGTAAATCCAATATCCCTGATATGCTTTTGTTAAATAGGAATTCTTTTCACGCTGGAGTCATCATGTGCAGGTTTGATGTGAAATATATAGATATATGATCAGACCTGTCAATTTGCATTCACAAAAGAAGAATGTGATCTCCCTGCAAAGTTAGTGCCTTTTCATGTATTTTTAAAGGGTGAGTTGAAGATTGAGTTCAAGCATAATCTCAGAGTAAACAAATATGTGACATTGATTATCTTATGAGACCTTTTTGCTAAAGTGAATTAATTTCCAGTTTTAGCATGGAGTGTAATATGTACCTCTTCATGACTTCAGTTTGCCCAAATGTGTGGTTCGGGCCATGAAGGTAGCAAATAATTGTGATCAAATTGTTAGGAATGAATTCTGCATAAATACGGTAGTGTTCATTGTTGTTAGACATCCTTAAACTTTCTTTTGCATATTTATAAAGTTAATATAATTTATCATAAAGAAGCAAGATAAGTTTACTGTTTTTGTTAACTTGTCCTTTTTCTGCCGTTATGTTTAGTATATCATTTGGGTCATAGTTTGCCTGTTATCTGTTGATGCAAATCTGTTATTGACAGTCACTGCTGTGGGAATCATCATGTTCCTAGTTGGAAGAGCTCATTCTTTCAGGACTTGCTGGGTTCTATATTTGTATTTGATACACTGGTTATAATATTGTAAATGCTTTCTTGTGTGGAATCACTGGAATGTATAAATGCTTTGATATCAAGTGCTAGATAGGATAACCAAATAAAGTCTGAAGTTGAGTTCTATCGTCTGTTGTAAATAGTCACAGCAGTCTAACATCAACAGTACTTTCAAACACAGAATGTCACTCATTGCGAGGGAAAGATTTGTTCTAACCACTAACCTGTGTGTTTGACTCTTAAGTGAGGTATGGTAAAAATGGGGTATAACATCACTTTCAAGATTATTTCACCTACATAGCCACGTGCATGCAGATGTGTGTGTGTGTTGCTGCTTTTACTAGTCTGGACTAATTCCGGTTTTAGTGGTAGCTCCGTGAAGATCCGGGTAGAAAATAGGGCTTCAGCTTGCTGTAAGAGGCAATCAACGGGATCAGGTGGTCAGGCTTGCTGACATGGTTGATGCATGACATCATGACCCAACTGCGTAGATCAATGCTCATTATGCCATTCACTGGAGTGTCTATCAATTATTTGCAGACCGCTGTCATATAGCTGAAATATTGCTGAGTGAGGCGTTAAACAACAAACAAACAAATAAATATTTAGTGCTAGCTCATTGAGAGGCCATACCCCATTCAGACACTTTACACTGACTCCAAGCCAGTCAGGCCATGCCTTATCCCCTTCTACATCCGCATCCGTGGTCTTGTGGTAGAGCATCCATCCGGAGAGCGGAAGGTCCGGGGTTTGATCCCCGGCCGCGTCATATTAAAAGACTTTAAAAGATGGTACTTGTTGTTACCCATCTGGCGCTTAGCATTAAGGGGCTAAACAAGGACTGGTCGGCTCGGAGTCAGTATATTGAGTGGGATATTCATGTCCAAACTGCAGCATGGTAGCTCAGTGAGTTAGCACTATAAATCGGCATCAGTTCGGACTAGTACAAGCAGCCACGCAAACGTACATGCACGTCGCTATTATATAATTGCAATAACCTTGGACGCAACATTTAAACCCCATTTCACCTACCCCCACAGTGCCAAGCAAGGTAACAGGAAGTACCATCTATAATGTCTTTCAGTATGACATGACCAAGTAAAGACTCTTAAGTCAACAATATTAGAGCTTGATTGTAGCTGTTGTTGAGCATGGATTGGTTGACAGTCAAGCTGGACAGTGCTGTTCCATGTAAAATCTTCCAGATCAGCACATAGCCTGAATCATGGATACAGAATTATGTACCTTCAGTCAATGTGAAATACCAGTTGATAGTCTGAAATGTGAGCTGCATCACTTCATGTCTGAGTGAAGGGAGTTAACTGACTGTAAAAGTCCAGTTTCCACCCTTGCCGAACTAGGTTGGAATTTCTGGGATTGATCGTAGTGCCACCAATGGCGATTACGATAATCAAGATCTTTTTTGTAATAGAACCTCGTAATGTTACCTCACAAAGTAAAATCACTTGAACTCTTTGATTGACAATATAAAAAGATTTGGAAAACATTTGTTGACGCCCAGTTAACAGTGCACATGCTCTGCAAATCCTGGAATCGACCAAAATCTGCCAAGTTGTTTATGAATGCAATGTTGATTTCATTACGCGACTTTGATTGGACTATGCATCGACTCATTAGTCCAGCCCCCCCAAAAAACTCCATAATTCCAGCCTTGTTCGACAAGTGTGGAAACTCCCTTGCCTCAGGAAGATGTGATTATTCAATGTATTAAATTTCCATTCTATTTTTATAAATACTTTGGACCTGTTTGAAACCACGCATTGTTTTGGAAGCGATGTGCCCATCTCTCTTATCACCAACTTGGCACAGAATGTCTCTCATCTTGAAATCAACAACCAGTCAACATTTGTAGACATTCCCAGTTATAGGTGAGGTGAGGTGAGGTGAAATTGGGTTTAACGTCGCGTCCAAGATTATTACATTTATATAGCGACATGCATGCACGTGTATGTGTGGCTGCTTGTACTAGCCCGGACTGATGCCGATTTATAGTGCTAGCTCACTGAGATACCATGCCGCAGTTTAACATGAATACCCCACTCAGAGCCGACCAGTCCTTGTTTTAGCCCCTTAATGCCGAGCGCCAGACAGAGTAACAACAAGTACAATCTTTTAACGTCTTTTTGTATGACGCGGCCCGGGATCGAACCCTGGACCTTCCGCTCTCCGGGCGGACGCTCTACCACAAGACCACGGAGGCGGTCCATTCCCAGTTATAATGGAGACACGATGAGTGCAGTATTTCAGTGATACAGACACTTGTTTCAATCTGCACCTTGATTGGATGGCTATTTTTTATGTTAAGTCTTTCGAACCAAACTCATAATGAAGCTATTGTGGCAAATGAGTCCAGTTCAATCTCATTAAAATCAGATCTTAGTTCTCGCTCATTGCTGAATAAAGATCTGAGGACATCCCATTACAGGTCACGTCAGAACGACTTTCATCCAACCAATCAGAGCGTCGCTTACCAGATCATGAAATTGACAGTCGGAATGTGTTTTCTAATCATGCAACCACGAAATATTTAACACGGGGTATTCCGAACGACAGTTACGGGTTTTATGATTGTATCAATACAATCTAGGCCATCTATAGCCATTCCAGAATGTTCTTCTTATCAGTTTAATTATTTTAATCAAGAATACGTCAAAATATGTTTCGTAGCGTAGTCGCCAGTTTGAAACTAGTGTCGTAAAGCTTGAGAAAGCTGCCTTCTGATTGGCTAATGTTGTTTTCTTGTCAGTCATTTCATTGGTCGGTCAAAATTTGCGAAAGGTCCTTCTGACGTCACCTGTAATGGGATATCCTCAGATCTTTGTTTAGCGGTAGCTAAAACTAAGATCTGATATTAATGAGATTTGAGTCCAGTTTTTTTATCATATATATAAGGGAGATATAATACACTGGAAAATAAGGAGCTATATCTCCCTGATTCTACAGCTATTTTGAAGGAAAACCATGTGGCCAAAAGTGGCCATGGCTAGCCCTTGGTAGAGCACAACAGTTCATGAAGTACAGAGAACAAAGACATCAAGCAGATATCTTTAAAGAAATAGAAATAGAAACGTAAAATCCATGTAAAAATTGTTTATTTTGTCGTCACTTTGTCAAAAATAAACCTTTACATACTGTTTGCACCTTCATGTCATATTATTGTAAAAATTATAAGCAAAATGGACATTGTTACACCAGGGTTAATCTATCAACTGGATCACTGAAACGCTCAGGAATATTTCCCAAGTTCAAATTTATGCAGGAAAGCATTAGTAGGGTTATCATGTACAGTAGGGTACAGCACATACAGACATCAAGGCAAGAGTGAGTGAGTGAGTGAGTTGGGTTTAACGCCGCTTTTAACAGTATTCCAGTTATATCACGGCGTGTCAGCTTAATGTGGGAGGAAAGCCCGAAGTGATGCAGGTCTCAGACGTTTACCACTTCGGTGAAACCCACGAGCACGGGTATGGTGCTGACAAACCTAGAAACATAATTGGGGCGAACTGGGATTCGAACCCACAATCATAGGTTTCTGGCATGCCCAAGGGACGCAACTCTGCACAGCGAATCGCGGCGCCTTAGACGACTGGGCCACCCGTGCCCCCTCAAGGCAAGAGCCACTGACTTGAACAAGGTGGGGATCTGGACCCAAACCATTGGTGTGCAAATGTTCACACTTTATTACTCGCAGCAATTTCATTGAATGAAAACTGAATGAAAAAATTAGCTACTTCAGTTAATATTTGTTTCATTGTTTTCACGCCAGCAATATTCCAGCTATATGACAGCGACCTGTAAATAATTGAGTCTGGGCCTGATGATACTGTCTGGATGTTGACACACAATCAACAAAGCCACTAAGCTGACCAGCCATTCCAGTTTGGTTGCCTCTTGCTACACGCAACAGAGTCCTGGGGACCTATTCTAACCCGAGATCTAGTAATACCAGGAGTGAAGTCTGGAACTGTGCCTATCCTATCTGGTCATTAACTTCCTTTGGACAAGCTGTACAACTGTGATCCAGCTGGTAGACAAATCCTGATCCAAACATCATGGTTATAAAATATCACATTGTAAACTCTCCCCAATGTTCATTATTTTGTTCTGATATATGTGGAGAAGTGAATGTATGTTACATCATATGTACAGTTGAGTTGTATGAAATGTACAGAAAGAATCTACACTCACACTGGAACTATAGTAACACTCATGCAGACATAATATCAGAATCTCACTGGCTACACACGGAGCTATTAGAAGACAAAAGAGGCGTATAAATATAGAGTAGTTCCAAATACCCTTATTTTCTTACCCCACCTTGCTACCATCATGGGTCATCTGTCCCTAAAAACTTAAATTAAATCTCCCCAAAAGAACTGGCGATTTCCATGTGTCTACCTTTCCAATTTCATTGCGCTCTTTTCAAATATCACCGTCACTGATTCAGGTGGATATTATACATAAACAGAGATGCATGAAATATTGCCCACTAGTACCTACCTTATTTTTGCAAAAACAAAGACAACATAGTGTCTACTATTTCCTTGGAGTCCTGTCATTGGAATCACAACATACATTTTGAAGATCTTAAACAAACATAAAACGTAACTTGTCTATCAAAAAGGCTTATCTGTTTTATATATTACATAGTCAAGGTGACGATCTAGATGTAGACTCAATGCAAGTCCTGTGTGGTATAGGGACTTATCTCTTGGATGAGTGAGTGTGACACTTGGCTACCCGACAGCAAGTCTTACCACACTGACGTGATCCTTGAGTGAGTATGGTTTTAAGCCGGTTTTAGCAATATTCCAGCAATATCACAGCGGGGGACACCAGAATTTGATTCACACATTGTACCCATGTGGGGAATCTAACTCGGGTCTTCGGCATGACAAGCGGATGCTTTAACTACTAGGCTACCCCACCTCCCAACATGTTTGAGTGAGTGAGTGAGTATGATTTTACGCCGCTTTTAGCAATATTCCAGCAATATCACGGCGGGGGACACCAGAAATAGGCTTCACACATTGTACCCATGTCGGGAATCGAACCCGGGTCTTCGGCGTGACGAGCGAACGCTTTAACCACTAGGCTACCCCACCTCCCAACATGTTTGAGTTAACTGAAGCTGTAAGATAGAGGTGAGCACAGTTGTTGCCATATATAGCAGGGATACCTAGGTTTCACTCACTGTACCCATGTTGGGAACTAAACCTTAGTGTTTGGCAAAACAGGCAAACGCTTTAACCACTAGATCAATACACTAACATTTGATTTCTGAAATATTTTAAAGATTTTTATTTGTGAATTATCTATTAAATAGAACATAAAACCTGTGTTTAAAAATTTGAGGGAGTCTAACTGTAGAATAGCAACCTCTTATTTTGATTTGGAACCGAGTGCATTAACCCCCAAAGTTGGAGTCCAAAGTCTTGCTTGGAAATGTTTGGGATATTTTTGTTTGTTTTGGGTACTAGGCCACTACATCAAAATCTATGGACAACTGTGTTTATATAAGCAAGAAATGCAATTGGAATTGTCTATAAATGTATGACAAACAATATCTCGAGATAACCAGGGTGAGCTATTGATCCTATCCAGCTGCTTCCTATTTGACCCTGACACCCAAAAGTTTAATGCCTCACCATGCTCACCACAAAGGCAAAATAGGCTTCTGAGTATTTGCTTTTTCAGTGTTTGGCAGCAGGAAGTGTATCACAGAGGGCCCACTAGTGCAAGGTTGAAACGTAACTCAGAACTAGCCCGGGTGAAGACAAAATGCCCTTGTAATGTTAAAACAATGGTGAAATTGGACATTTAAACTAGCCTGCAGGAATTTGTACTAGCCCCGGGATAGCGGGCTAGTGCTAAGTTCTAACATTGTATGGGACTATATTTACAAGCACAAAACAGTTTCACGATCACTAATATTGGCAAGCATGGTAAAACTATTTATTTTAATGAAATGTAAACAATGTAAACAACATCAATAACATCTATACAGCAACAAATATGCTGGTGAACCTATTACGGAAAAAATGCCATAACAGAGAAGCCATTTACTGCAGTGAGTGAGTGAGTTTGGTTTTACACTGCTTTTTAGCAATATTCCAGCAATATCACAGCTGGGGACACCAAAAAAGGGCTTCACCATTTACTAAATCATACATACAACAGAATTATCATACCTAATAATAAATGATAAAACAACTTACCACATCATGTCTTTTTATCAGATTACAATTAAGGCCACAATTTATATTATTTCTTGGGACCCCAGAACCACATTTAAAAAAAAATAAAAATAATAATTCACAGATCACAGAAAAGTTTACATGATTTCTTAAAAATAATCTTAAAAAAACCCAATTGTACATAATATAACAATGTTACGTTATCAATTTTATATATGTAATAAGACTATCCTTTATCTCTTGTAGACCTATCAGCTTTTTTAATGAAAATAAATATTTAAAGCAACAAACTTGACAGATTAACAATTACTTTCATTACAAAGTATATTCTGACGTCTTTCTGCATATACCCATATTGGAAACTAATTCCTTTTTTTGATCTTTCTGTATTATTTAAATGTCTGGTAATAGATCTTCATAAAAGATTACCTACGTGTACACTCCGTGCTCATAACATACCAGTGGTAATATTGTTTTCAAGATTAGTTGTGTGAGGAGACAACACATTTAAAACCAATCCTTCTTGGAGTGAGTGAGTGAGTTTTGTTTTACGCCGCTTTTAGCAATATTCCAGCAATATCACGGCGGGGGACACCAGAAATGGGCTTCACACATTGTACCCATGTCGGGAATCGAACCCGGGTCTTCGGCGTGACGAGCGAACGCTTTAACCACTAGGCTACCCGACCGCCCCAATCCTTCTTGGAAATATTGCTAGCATGAGCATATTTGACAGTATGGAGGTCAGCAAAAATATCAGTGGGAATGTCAAGGTCAAGGTGTGAGGGGTTGGCGGTGCCAGTAGGATCAGTGACCCTGGTAATACCAAATTATATATTAGCTGGCATATGTCTTATGCATCAGAAAGGATGTCCATAATTTGAAGAGTTTTCTTTTTCTCAAAGGGTAAACCTTGGACATCATGGCGACCATTGCCAAAATGGCCAAGACTTAATGTTTCAGTAAGCCTACGTGTTTGTAAATTGGGCAAAGACAGAGAAAAAAAAGAGTAAAATAAAATACACACCCAAAAAAATTGTTTCTTAGTAAAGTGCTACCTTATGAATCTTGATCATACCATTATCATCTAGACATGCAAACTTCCTGATCAAAGATTCACATCGTTTGTACATGTGAATGTTCCTAACAGAATCATCCGGAACTTCTATACAAACAGGTTATGTTCTGACAGTCTTTCTCTATTGACACAAACAAGTAGCAACAATTACTTTTCTCTTATATCAAATCATTGCAATAACTTCCAACTCGTCCTAATGGACACTTACAGGGTATAATGACATTCATCAACCAAGTCACTAAGTCAGATCACCAGATTGCATAAATCGCCTCTTACAAGCATGGGCTGATGAAGATCAATTCTAACCCAGATCCTTACGACCAGGACACTTATATCGATCAGTATCAATCAGAAAATGCATGATAACCCATGCTTTTCCTTAATCAACAAATACCCTATCAAATTGCCTCCATAAACACTTATACATAACACAAGATGCATGCTTGCCATGCCTTTTCTAAAACAAACATATATAGAATTAATATAATACCTATGGGCAAAGGGAAGCCCAAAATATTAACAATATACACATCTCATGTCATGACGTAACTACAGTATCAGATAGATAAATCACACATTTCATGATTGCAAAATATGAAGCTATTGGGGAGAAGACTTTGATCAAGTAAAACCACCATCGTATTTACACAGTTACACGTCAATCCCACAGCTAAAACACCAATCAACACTCTCACTCAACAATACTTATTGTACTCCAGTAGTAATAGATAGTGCATTGGTAATCTCACTTTATTTGGATATACTAAAAGACCCATAAAGTGCATTGGTATTTCAATAAATACCTAAACCCAATCTTAATGCTCATGTTCTTTTACAGATTTCATCTCCATTGCCATGTGTTTTGTTGCAAGGTTATAATATAGTTGTGCGTAAGATAAAGCATAACTCAGGAAAACTTAGTAAACTTTACATAATTAATATTTTTGCAATAACTGTTTTAACAAAAACAAATGATGTGAGGTAGGTACATGTTATATGACACTACATGGTGATCAAGGGGACATAGAGTATAGAGTTTGTTTGTTTGTTTGTTTAATATTGTTTAACGCTGCCCTCAGCAATATTCCAGCTATATGACAATGGTCTGTAAATAATTGAGCCTGGACCAGACAATCCAGTGATTGACATTATGAGCATTGATCCCCACAAATTGGGATATGATGACATGCATCAGCCATGTCAGTGAGCCTGACCACCCGATCCTGTAAGTCGCCTCTTACGACAAGCAAAGTCGCAATTCACAGCAAGCATGGGTTGCTGAAGACCTACCGGTATTCAAACCCAGATCTCCACATAGAATCTTTCAGTGTACACTCCATGGCACTGGTCTGTACAGGGATCTCAGTGCTACAATTACTGTAATACATGTGAGACGTAGTAATGCCAGTCATAGCTCTGTTATCACCTTGTGAAACAGAGCCCTAGCCTATAAGTATTAGCCTTAAAGGTATTTTCATCACCTGGAAAACACTAAAGGCTTCTAATTATCTGTCTTAATGTGACATTCACTGCTTTTAACAGTATTTCTGTTATAACACGACATGTCAGCTTCCATACCCAAACCAGTTATTATACTGTAAAATATACCCCATCAATGATATATGTATTTGATTTAATTCATTATAACCTTTTTTAACCCATTTTCATTCTTTAAAGGATCTGGTAAAATAGGTAAAAAAAGTTCTCAGTGCAGTGGTATTCATTACCATGGTAATATGGGTGTCATCTTCCCAGTTGATATTTAGAAAACATTTGATTATGTGACAGCATGTTAGGTACTAGAACATGGCTTGGTGTAGTGGTGAGTCAAAACGTTTACTGAAATCGGTGATTTAACCCCAGGAATACATTATCGCTCACACAAAAACTGTCGCTTACATACACACATCTGCCTCCCACACAATCGCTCCTCCTCACATTCATTCTGTGTGTCTTTCTCTCGCTCTCAATACTCTCTTCCTCTCATAACACCTGACTTGCAGCACTCTGACTTAGATAAATAATAGCCCCTACAAAGTTGACCCCCGCGGCAATGATGAAGACGGGGAACCACCGTCCGTGGGACTGAGTCACCAGCTCCGCAGTGAGAGGACCACAGGTGATCCCGGGAATTGTGGCCTGAAAATTAGAGAAGGAATCTAGATGAGTGAGTGAGTGAGTGAGTGACAGGGGTTTAATGCTGCTTTCGGCTTATCAGTTATCACACAGCAAGTCTGGTGGGAAAGCCCGAAATTTGATGCAGGTCTTAGATGTTTACCACATTGGTCAACATAACAGTACAGGGACCCATGAAGATCCGGGGTAGAATAGGTCTTCAGCAACCCACACTTGCCGTAAGAGGCGACTAACTGGATCGGGTGGTCAGGCTCACTGACTTGATTGAAACGTATGATCGATCCCAATTGCCCGGATCGATGCTCATGATATCAATCACTGGATTGTCTGGTCCAGACTCGATTATTTACAGACCGCCATCATATAGCTGGAATATTGCTAAGTGCAGCGTAAAACAACAAACCAACAACCAACAGGTATGGTGCTGACAGACCTTGAACTATAATCTAGGTGGTCTAAGAATTCAAGCTCCAATCATACGTTTCTGGCATGTATAAAGGGCGCAACTCTGCAGAGCGAACTGCAGTGCCTTAGTTGACTTTGCCACCATATCCCCATCAGGATCAATCTCTACATATATGACATATAACATGATTACATTTTAAACATTGAACGTGGTATGAAAGTAGTTGCATTGATCATTTAACCCCATAGGAATTCTGGGTCATAATTGGTCCTAAGCAGCCTATGCCTATCGTAAGAGGTGACAAAATGGATCGGGTGAGGTGAGGTGAAATTGGGTTTTAACGTTGCGTCCAAGATTATTGTACTTATATAGCGACGTAGTGTTTGTACTAGTCCGGACTGATGCCGATTTATAGTGCTAGCCCACTGAGATACCATGCCGCAGTTTAACATGAATATCCCCCTCAGACACAGTATACTGACTCCGAGCCGACCAGTCCTTCTTTTAGCCCCTTAATGCCGAGCGCTAGACAGGGTAACAACAAGTACCATCTTTTAACGTCTTTTGGTATGACGCAGCCGGAGATCGAACCCCGGACCTTCCGCTCTCCGGGCGGACGCTCTACCACTAGACCACGGAGGCGGTCAAATGGATCGGGTAGTCAGGATCGTTGATTTGGTTCATCACATGTCATCGCACCCAGTGGTGTTGGACATTGCCCATAATATCAACAACTGACATGTCTGATCAAGTCTTGATTATATATAGCTGGAATATTGCTGAGAATGGTGTTAAACTTCAAACAAATAAATATGTTTTTAGCAATATTCTAATTTTCAGTGTGTCCTGCAGATATACCTTTCTGGGCCAGGTGGTTGATAGCATGACCAACATCTCATGCTGTCTGTGTACGATGACCCAATCTGCCATGTCACAGAATGTGACCCCCACGTAAGCTGGCTCATGTAACAAACGTGGGGTACATGGGACTACATTGACCTAGACACCCAACAGGGGTGCACTGAAGTTTTTTTATTGAGTGAGGTATAATGGTTCATAATGATGAAGAATGATAGTGAGTAAGTTGGGTTTACCGCTGCTTTACAGTTATATCACGGCGTGTCAGCTTAATGTGGGAGGAAAGCCCAAAGTGATGCATGTCTCAGGCATTTACCACTTTGGTGAAACCCACGAGCTTGGGTATGGTGCTGACAAACCTAGAAACATAATCAGGGCAAACCGGGATTCGAACCCACAACCATAGGTTTTTGGCATGCCCAAGGGACTCAACTCTGCACATCAAATAAGGGTGCCTTAGACCACTGGGCCAACCATGGCCAAGGAAGAATGACAACATACTACATTTACTTACAAGTGTGTTGGATATAGCGAATGTGATGCCCGCATGATTGGGAGCCACTTCAGCATGGTTGCTGAGGTGACCAGAAGAATTGCATGCACTCAGGCCTAAAGATATGGAGACAAAACTGAAAGAAAAAGCAGAGACAACTCACTTTGACACCAGTTAATAAAAAATATATAATATTTCACATTTGGTTAAATTTCTGTTCCTTGAATATTAAACAGGCGAAACAGTGAGACTGAACATTGTTATAAAAGAACAAATTTCTGTCTAATGCTACATTCCTTATAGGTTGGCATGAGATTCATAGAGCAGTGAGCAAGATGAGTCTAACTGTATAGTTATTATGTTCAATAGACATTCAGTGCCACATTCCTGTTTGGAATCACATTTGGTTAATTTTCTGTTCCTTGAATATTAAACAGGCGAAACAGTGAGACTGAACATTGTTATTAAAGAACAAATTTCTGTCTAATGCTACATTCCTTATAGGTTGGCATGAGATTCATAGAGCAGTGAGCAAGATGAGTCTAACTGTATAGTTATTATGTTCAATAGACATTCAGTGCCACATTCCTGTTTGGTAGCCATAATTAAAAATATTTCGGAACAGGTGTGTATGTTATGATGTTTCATCGCATAAATTTGTTTCAATGTAATTGGCACTTCTGGTATCAATCACAGAAAAGAGGAATGTTATTAAGAGCTACTCACAACACAGCTAAGGGAAGGTTATTCACAGCACTGAAAAACAGGATAAATAAGCCGGGTCCAAGTAACCCGATGCTGGTCATCAGGCGCCGCACGGACAACACTGTCCACTTGTGGGCAATGAGAGCATCAGCGAAATGTCCAGCCGCTGCAACAAAATGAGACCACATGAGACAAGCACAATGAGTCCACTGCACCACTCCCACCGTCACCTTGACGATCCTACTAGAGGACAAGCATGGCTTACAGAGAACCTATTCCACCCTGGAAGTACCACGATGAGATCAACATGGCTCACTGAGAACCTATTCCACCCTGGAAGTACCACTACTTACTACCATGGCTTACTGAGAACCTATTTTGCCCTGTACACCCCTGTAGGGGACAAGTATGGAACCTATTCTGTCCTGGAAGAGGTGAGGTGAAATTGTGTATAACGTCGCGTTCAAGATTATAGCACTTATATTGCGACGTGCATACTGGTGTGTGTGTGGCTGCTTGTAGTTCGGACTAATGCCGATTTTATCATGCTAGCCCACCGAGATACCATGTTGCAGTTTAACATGAATACCCCACTCAGACACAGTATACTGACTCCAAGCAAATCAGTCCTTGTTTTAGCCCCTTAACGCTGTGCAGGGTAACAGGGTAACAACAAGTACTATCTTTTAACATCTTTTGGTATGACACGGCCCAGGATCGACCCCCTCTCTCTGAGTAGACGCTCTACCACTAGACTTCGGAGACGGTCTGCCCTGGAAGACCCCAGGTGACAGCATGGGCTACCCACCTACTCCTACTAAAGAGTTCATGATGTAAGGCACTGCCGTGAACATGATGTGGCTCTGGTTGGCTCCCAGGTTGCGGGTCATGTAGGTGGGCAGCCACTGCATGATGATGTAGTTGGACCAGTTCATGCTGAAGTGAGCGATGTAGATCGACCACATGGGCCAGTGACAGATAAACTCCATCCACCGCACGTTCGTGTTGTTGACCTGAAACATACCATGGAACACATTCATTCAGTCGATCATGGATGAGTTTTGCTGTAGGGATACTAAAATATTTCATACTATGTACTGCATACAGCGATACTCATATTATTAGGGACTAGCAACGACCTAAGCTATTGGGCCATAGGCATACACTCAGCATTGCCAGCCGGTTCATGGGCATCAATTACAACATGTCAGAAGGAGACAGGGAAAGACACCACTGGTGCCCTGCTAGTCCACAGCTCATTTCAGATAAGTCGTACATGAAATGTAACTTGATTTTGGGACAAAACAATTAGATTCCTCTAGATTTTTACTAATTTGAGATAGACACATGTGGGAGAAAATACATAACATGGTTTCATCACTGAATTAAGTCAAACAGAAATGTCTCCAGGGATTCAGACCAGTTCATTTCCTGGACTGATTGTCATCGAAAATGCCTTAAAAGATATTTTTAAATTTTGGACATGATACAGAAGAACATCCAATCAAAAAATTGTCAAATTCATGAAAACGTCCTCTTGCAAAATCACTGGTCGTCCAGTCTATGACATTAGCCACTAGTTCGAAGCTCGCCTCTAGTACAATTCTGTTAGGTCCAGCAAGATCAGCTAATAAAATACAAAATGACACTAATATGTACTAAAAATGTATTTTTTAGAGTAAAAATATCATTTATACTTATCCTGACTCATACTTATTACTCATGTGTATAAATCAGGATAAGATAAAATGTGATGCTAACTAACCAGTTTGTGCCAATAGACACAAATGTTTTTGATCTCACCTTAGGTGGCTCTACAAACTCCTCGTCTGATGAACCTCTGGCCTCTTTATAAAGTAACAGCCAGATGAAGGCCCAGATGAAACCTAAAAACCCAAATAAGTAAAACATCCAGGGCCAGGTCAGATGAGGACACACCTGCAGGGAGAAAACAGAGACTCATTAGGACAGAAGTAAGAAATCGAGTGAGTGACTGATGACACACAGTCAGTCAGGTCACTGACAACACACAACCAACCAGGTCACTGACAACACACAACCAACCAGGTCACTGATGACACAATCATCCAGGTCACTGATGACACTCACAACCAGCCAGGTCACTGACAACACACAACCAACCAGGTCACTGATGACACTCACAACCAGCCAGGTCACTGACAACACACAACCAACCAGGTCACTGACAACACACAACCAACCAGGTCACTGACAACACACAACCAACCAGGTCACTGATGACACAATCATCCAGGTCACTGATGACACACACAACCAGCCAGGTCACTGATGACACTCACAACCAGCCAGGTCACTGACAACACACAACCAACCAGGTCACTGATCACACAATCATCCAGGTCACTGATGACACTCACAACCAACCAGGTCACTGACAACACACAATCAGCCAGGTCACTGACAACACAATCAGCCAGGTCACTGACAACACACAATCAGCCAGGTCACTGACAACACACAATCAGCCAGGTCACTGACAACACAATCAGCCAGGTCACTGACAACACACAATCAGCCAGGTCACTGACAACACACAATCAGCCAGGTCACTGACAACACAATCAGCCAGGTCACTGACAACACACAATCAGCCAGGTCACTGACAACACACAATCAGCCAGGTCACTGACAACACAATCAGCCAGGTCACTAATGACACACAACCAGCCAGGTCACTGATGACACACAAACAGCCAGGTCACTGATGACACACAGTCAGTCAGGTCACTGACAACACACAATCAGCCAGGTCACTGACAACACAATCAGCCAGGTCACTGATGACACACAACCATCCAGGTCACTGATGACACACAACCAGCCAGGTCACTGATGACACACACAACCAGCCAGGTCACTGATAACACACACAACTAGCCAGATCGCTGATGACACACACAACCAGCCAGGTCACTGATGATACACAATCATCCAGGTCACTGAACACACAACCAGCCAGGTCACTGATGACACACAACCAGCCAGGTCACTGATAACACACACAACTAGCCAGATCGCTGATGACACACACAACCAGCCAGGTCACTGATGATACACAATCATCCAGGTCACTGAACACACAGTCAGTCAGTCAGGTCACTGATGACACACAACCAGGCAGGTCACAGATGACACACAAACAGCCAGGTCACTGACGACACACAATCAGCCAGGTCACTGACAACACACAATCAGCCAGGTCACTGACGACACACAACCAGCCAGGTCACTGATGACACTCACAACCAGCCAGGTCACTGATGACACACAACCAGCCAGGTCACTGATGATACACACAGTCAGTCAGGTCACTGACGACACGCAACCAGCCAGGTCACTGATGACACTCACAACCAGCCAGGTCACTGATGACACACACAACCAGCCAGGTCACTGATAACACACACAACTAGCCAGGTCACTGATGACACACACAACCAGCCAGGTCACTGATGATACACAATCATCCAGGTCACTGAACACACAACCAGCCAGGTCACTAACAACACAGTCATGAGTCAACCAGGTCACTGATGACACACGGTCAGTCAGGTCACTGATGATACACGGTCAGTCAGGTCATTGATGACACACAATCAGCCAGGTCACTGATGACATACAACCATCCAGGTCACTGATGACACACAATCAGCCAGGTCACTCATGATACACAATCAGTCAGGTCACACATTATATCCACCAGATACCCATGTCATCACCTCTTATAACAAGCAAGGGGTACTGGGGACTTACTGACATCAGAATCACACACAGGTGTGGGAAATCTGAAGAAGTGATAAGAGTCCACAATGGTAAATGAGTCAGTTGTGTTGAAGTTGCTTGAACATTTTACTATAACCAGACATAATTGCCTTGCAAGGACACACTGAAACACTCACCACTGCTGCAATAGTCCCGCCTATGGATCCACATGCTACAAGATAGCCGAATGCCCTCGACCTCTCCTCGCAAGGTATTGCATGGGCAAAGATATGGAAAATAGTTGGTAAACCTGAAAAATATTAATGCATTTAGACAATGTTGCCACTAATATCCTCAATGAAAGTACCCAGCTTTAAATAACTACATGAACATGAAAAGCATTTTGGCAAACTTTTAGGGGGTTGAGAACAATCCATTGTTTATGCTGAGTGGGGAAGTGTAAAAAAAATATGTTTAAATGAAAAACTTGCTACAGTTAGGTAATAAGCTACTTTCCCCTCCCCCAGAGATCATAAGACACTATTTGTCACCATGATGTTGAAATATGATAGTAGTGTGATTTCATAAATATATCTTATATAATCTAGAATGGCTAAAAAACCAACTGTTTTCTGTGAAGTATTATCATGATTATACTAAGTAAAAAACAAAACAAAGAGAAAATGCTAATAACAGGTATGACTATAATCACTGTTGACTTACCTAATCCTTCTCCTAAACCCAGTATCACTCGGGACAAAATCAGAGCATATATTGAGTGAGCAAAAAATGGAACCATGAACGTTGACATTGACCACAGTAGCACTGAGACAACCAGGATCGTCTTGCCGCCATACTTCTTGGCTGCACTGCCTCCCACTACCTGCAGGGAAGAGCTATCACAGTCAGTTGGATGACTTCATGTTTTCACTTTACGTAAGAGTCTGTTTGTTGTTTAACACCGCACTCAAATAAAAGCCACACTCTGCAATCTCCAGATATATAGTCTGGGCCAGTCAATCCAGGGATCGATATTTTGAGCAATGACCCCCACTGTCAAGGTATGATAGCACACCATCAACCAAGTCACCGAGTCTGACCTACTGATCTAATTGGTTGCCGCTTACAACAAGCCATCATCCCAAGGCAAAGGAGTTAACTGACTTTAAAAGTCCAGTTTCCAGCCTTGCTGAACTAGGCTGGAATGAAGGAGTTATATAATGAGTCTATGCATAGTCCAATAAAAGTCCTGTTACAAAATTAACATCCGGTTCATAAATAACATGGCAATGGCCGTGCTGAATTTGTTTGATTGCAGGATTTGTAGAGCATGTGTACCGTCGACTGGGCATTGACAGATATTTTTTTCCAATCCTTTCATGTTTTTAACATAGATGCTCAAGATTTGATGCACTTTCCGAAGTTAAACCTGTTTTATTACAATAAAGATCTTAATTATCGATGAAATCGTCTTGACTGGGTGCCACCATTTTGATTGAAGCAAATGCAAGTGATTCAAGAGGTGGAATCTGATTGATCAGTAGGAGTGACATAGAAGGAACATAACTCGTAATAGCCACAGGTGGCGTTAAGATCGAGCCCATAAATTCCAGCGTAGTCAAGCAAAGGTGGAAACTGGACTTCTAAAGTCAGTTAACATGGTTAACTCCTCTGCCTCAGGAAGATGACAACAAACATTGGTTTCTAACCCAAAATCCCCACTGGGCTGTTTTATGCGAGAAGAAAACATGTTTACTGCTACAGTTATCTGACTTTTTTGTATACATTCTGAATATCTGGAGAGAACAATCTGATATGAAGCATGGAAATGGAAAATAATATCTCTCTCTCTCTCTCTCACACACACACACACTCACACTCACACACACACACACACACACACACACACACACACACACACACACCTCTTTGTGGATTGAAGCATATTTACCTGGCTGCTCATATAACCAACAGCAAATGAACTAAGAACCCATCCTTGTCCATGCAAATCCCACTTGAACTTGTCCGTCATCGGCACGATAGCAATGGGCATAATCACCCTGTCTGCTGAATTGATAAAGTTGGCTAGAGAGCACAGGGCGATTGTCTTCGATGTTTTGGACAACATTTTCCCCAGGGTTCGTGGACTGATGGTGGTTCTCCTTACATTGATGGCACAAACTTACTTCAACATGTGCTGAAAATAAGACAGTTCATCCTGATGAGTACTTACTGAATGTGGCAGTATAATAATAACCCTATTAATTATACTTCACAGAATCTTGGGGTATTTTTAAGACAGGACAACATAAGTCATTTTGAATACGTGTACATTGTATAATGATATGTGTAGCACACGGATCTATGAAATGTACAGTCTGCAGTTCAGTTATGTTATAAGGATATAAATGTACTCCACAACACATGCTCACAGTGTCCGAAATAACTGCCTGCCCACCTGCCCGTGGCTGGTAACTTTTCTGTCGGGCTGCATGAAATTTTCTTCTACCTGGCCGACTGTCTGGCAGCTAATTTTAAGAATTCTTACATTCAGTTTTAAAGATTTTGAAGATTCACAAGTAATTGTTTGCATCATTTCAACTATTATATCACAACGCGATTTTATGACATTTATAATGTCTGAATGTGGGCAGGTAACTTTGAAGTAGGGAAGGTAACACTTATGGGTCACCTGCCCAACTGTATTTTGGGGTGTTGAAATTATTTCAAACACTGTATGCTCATGTGTTGAGGATTTGTTCACAATCATTCAGTTCAACATGTCAAAAACCCACTAAATTATGTTCAAGTTCCAAGGCTACACCAACATACTAAAGTTATTTTTATAGTAAACCTTTGACATGTTAAAGGCTTAAATTTGACATATTGATTTATGATAACTTTCACTTCTATTTGAGCATGTTGAGTTGACCTTATTGTACTATAGTGCTGTGAAAAATTACATTACATATCACAACTATGACTACTGAAGAAGTGAGGTTTGGCACAGCGACATTAGGCTGATATCAAGATACCTAGCTCAGGTGAATAATAATAATAATAATAATAATAATAATAATAATAATAATAATCATCATCATCATCAATTTCAACTTCATAATGAAGCAAGTTGAGTACAGCAGCCACAATTATCTATCATTATGTTTAGTGAATTACATTACAAAACAGTGACTGATATTAAGCACATGATTCTGGGAGTCCTTGTCATATACCTAATGTTAAGATGTGAAGGATCTGTAACAGAAGCCTGACTCAATGCCTAAAGTTCAAACACTGCAAGAGAATATATATAACATGATATAGATTAGGGGTGACTATTGGTCTGGAAATCACTATTGCGATAACTATTGATATTGAAAGAAACTACTGCGATAACTATTGATATTGCAAGCAACTATTGCGATAAATATCGATAGTTTTCAGTGTATCATTTTAGGTGGATTTTAGAGTTGAATTAAACCTTGAAACTGAAGTTTCCTTTGATATGTGATAACCATAACAACAAATAAAAAGTAACGTTTCCGATATGACTGATTTGTTTTTTCTTTACCTTAATAATTTCAGAAAAAGAAACTTCCACATTACCATGTGTAAATTACTACCACTCATGATCAAAAGAAAACAAATTTGAACAGCATTGCATGTATTTTATTGATATGGTAAATACAGTCAAAACTTTTGATATTCCTAAGTGAAACCGATACTATTGATCGGAAACAGATTTAACAATTGATTTATTGACTTTAAGTGCTCACCAATAGCAATATATCGATATTTTGATTTATCGTGACACCCCTAATAAAAATCCCATCATGCCCATATTTTCACATTCCTGAACATTTCAATCTATTTCAATTATACATGATAGTAATTCTTTCCAACTGTCCAGAACATATTATTGACAAATTAGTTCCTTCTATTACTCCAGCACTAATCTTAACAGGATCCAAATTAACCACGAATGAATAATGGACGGTTCAAATAACAATTTCACCACCAAATGTAAAAATATTAATAGGATACTGAAACTCTTTACCCAATGATCTTGTTACGTAGGAGTAAGTACTTCAGAGACAAGTAATTACTGGCTATATCCAATATATTTGATATTTGATGTATCATGTGGCATGTACACAGTGGACTGAAAACGCAATCCTTCAAATGGTAAAATTATCTTTTCCCACACAAATATGTAGAATAACTTCATTTTATTGAGTACATTCATTACTTAATTCTACAAATATAGACTTCTAATCAGTCTTCTAAATTAAAAATGAAACTTAAAGGGTCCCTGTCATTACTCTAATGTAAAACATTACAGACTCTGGGGTCCGTAGATTCAACTACTCCAGGGGCAAACCTCAAGGTCCTTTCTTGTGGGAATGTCCAACTCTGCTAATGTGTCATGGATCACCGTTTACATACTGCTGGAAAAGTTTTAAAGGGAAAAACCATAATCTTGTGCATGTTGTGACGAACAAATTTTATGAAACTAGTTTAATAGCAACATCTTTTGGATACCATAATTTTAACTGAAATTGTGTATCCATACGTTCATACGAATCCTGACACAAAGTGTTGACTATTCTAAAAATATGACACCTCAGCTAGAGAAACTCATGGTATAAAGAGATGGAAACATGGTACATAACGATGCAGACATACTACCCTTGGTAAATTTCAATGGTACCACTGATGAGATAGATCCCATAAGTTTTCGATGGTACCGCTAGCGAGATACACCCCATAACTTTTTAGTAATATCAATTTTGATGGTGTTAATTTTGGTTAAATCCTATTCCAAATATTTCTAGCTTGTCTTGTTTGGCTTTTTGTAGAGGCAATGTTATCATTAAAGCCAAGTGGTTAATTTTACAACAACACTGCTCTTATTTTCAACAATGTTAAGAAATGAGGGACAAATTCCTGTGCACTTTTGCTGAGTGAATAAATAATGAAGCTTTAAAAAAAAGGTGATTGCTGTTTGATATATGTCATAGATGTGGTAGAGACTGGTTGCACAAAACCTTAATGCAGCCTTGGCATAACTTTAATCACTTATTGTGATATTGACAGATATGATACTCAAAAACTAATTTTACTTGTACTGAGGAAATAACATCCCAGCAGGTGATATGTGACAGCTGACAATAGGTGTAGCAGTTGTGAGATGTGGGATTTACACTGATCAAGTCATTGCAACACTCACGTCAGCTGTTGCCCTACAACTGTCAAAAATCAGACCCAAATTCTGACGTGACAGAGGGACATGTGTCTACCTTATCGATAAAAAAACCCTCCCCTGTAACAAAAACATAATTACAATGTTCAAAGTGCATAATTAATGACGTCTATGTATTACCGTGTACTCGTTACATCAAGTTGATCAAGACAATATTACACGCAACAATAGGAAAGATGCATAAATATTTCGACGTGGCATCTGCCAAACTTCACTGCCATGTTGTTACAATGGCCGCTTACATCAATAAATATTGATTAACTATTGGATTCCAGAAACAAACCCAGTGTACCATCGCATATCAGTTTCTTTCGGTAAAAAAAAGGCATAAAAGGTGAATTTAGCACGCAGTTGATAATATTTCACTTCTATTTCGGTTTGTTCATGTTGTAGGCGATGAAGCTTCGTACACGCTATATTATTGGATGACTGGGAACCGTGTGAACCAATAATATTTGCTACCGAAAGGTCAAAGGTCACAAGGCAAGCACTTGCTGGACCTGCGATGTTTGTATTTCTTTTAATGATTAAAGGTCTGTTCTGGATCTATTTGCCCATTATAATGATATCTCCACTTCCTTCCGATCTTATAAGGACTCCCTGTAAGGGATCTCTTTCAACAGATAAGCTACTGACTGTACATATGAAAACAAAGGTGGAAAATAAGGTTTTGGGTTATATATATTTATATATATCATGTGCAAATGTTGAGACATCTTTAAATATCACGCAAAGACATCGACGGAGATGTTTTCGTTGGACGTCAACTAGTGTCACGTGATCACATAAGCTCCGTCCAATGTACACTTAAACCAATCAACTGTAGGTTAACGGCCTCCACAACTTCTTTCTATTTGGTTGCTATCAAGAATATTTATAGCTGTGAGATGTAATTCAGGGATTCACATAGTTGATCTTAGATTTATCTTATCCCTATAGTTTTGTAACCGTTATTTATTTATTTTATTTTTTTCTGGGGGGCGGGGGGGGGGGGGGGCAAAATAATATATTTGTTACTATAGTGAATGATGATGTGAAATTCAGTTATGTTATTTATTAATAATTTATCATATTGCTCTGCACACAACCAAGTCAAGAAACCACCAACATTTTAATCACAATCTCCGAGGGCAACAATTGAACGTTGATGATCAATAAACCTGGTACAGTGACAGTCCTAGACTTTTCCATGATTAGCTGTATGTTGTCTGTTGGTCATCCATCTGTCATTAACCTTACATATTCGGCATATCCTCTGAAACAAGTAGGCCTTTCAAGCTGAAACTTTGTATGTCTCATCCCATCATCCCAGGCTTCTCTAAAAAGAGTCCTCACAGAATTCCGATCTGATTTTAAACATGGACACCATATGGTGGCCATATTGGAAATGTCATCTCTCCCATAACTTAGCTGTTGTTTTGAAATAGTGAAGGAGAGAGACATGGATACATGTATGCACATACTCAGCCATGCAGAAAGTCTATGGCATGCTGAATGACATATGTACCTATTTTTGTCATATTTTAATAAAAAGAATGATCAAGCTGCGACCTTTGCACATCCCTGTTTTTCTAGTGTTATAACAAAATCTTATATGAAATTACAAGGCCATGGAACTGTAACTATTTATGAATAATTCCAGCTATGGTGTTTTTTAAAAGTGCTCAAATAATCCTGATCTGATTTCAACTTAGTGGCTCTATTTTGTTATGACTGCAATCAACTATGACAGTGAATTTTATGTGAATAATGAAGGTAATTTCACAATACACAACCTGTGGCATAAGTATAAACTCCTGATGACAGGATACTTGTTCAAATTGTCTGGCAAGCATATGCAATGATGAGGTCATTTCATGTGTAGAGGACCTTTTACACCACCAGGAGGAAGCCTTCTACACCAGTGGGATCCAGGGACTCCAGCATTGTTGGCAGAAGTGTATGGACCAAGCTGGGGATTATGTTGAAAATAATTTGCAACCAGCTCCGTCAATGCAGTCTGTCATATTTATGCTCTTTTCAGCCACCCCTGGCAAAATGGGGTCTTCTACTAGTCTGAACTTCTGCCAATTTACAGTGCCAGTCCAATGACATGCCACAGTTTGACGTGGATACCCCACTGAGACACAAACTGACCCTGAGCCAACCAGTCCTTGTTTTATCCCTTCAGTGTCAAGCGTCAGGCAGGGTAACAACAATTACCACCCTTGTATGCCTTTCGTTATAACATGACTGAGGCTCTATCCACTGAGACAGTTTGAACAAACTTGGTGAGGTGAGGTGAAATGAGGTTTAACACAATCGAGATTGTTGCACTTATATAGCAATATGTGTGTGTGTGTGTGTGTGTGTGTCCGGACTAATGTTGATTATATAGTGCTAGCCCACTGAGATACCACGCTGCAGATTAACATGAATACCCCACTCAGACAAGTCCTTGTTTTAGCCCCTTAATGCCAAGCGCCAGGCAGTGTAACAACAAGTACCATCTTTTAACATTTTTGGTATAACGTTGCCAGGGATCAAGCCTCCGACCTTCTGCTCTCCGGGCAGATGCTCTACCACAAGACCACAGAGGCAACAAACTTGAAGGCTGTGTAGTGCCATTATCATTCACACAATGTCTTACCACCTGAACCTTATTGTTCTGCTTTAAGTTTCAGCTTCATCAGTCAACTGTTTCAGAGAAAAGCCATTGCACCATAGGATCTTTGATCCAGGTGAGTAAAATTGCCACCAGCATATAGAAATCTGATCAGATGAATGGTTGATGTTGACCATCTTCCCAAGGCAAGGGAGTTAACTGACTATGAAAGTCCAGTTTCCACCATTGCGGAACTAGGCTGGAATTATGGAGTTATATTTTGGATGGAATTTAAAACCCCTTTAATTACAATAAAGATCTTGATAATGGATCAGATCGTCTTGACTGGTGCTACGATCGTGCCCAGACATTCCAGCCCAGTTTGGCAAAGTTAACTCCCTTGCCTAGGGAAGATGGGTGTTGATTGAAAAGGTATCGAAAAAAACAACATAACTATTTCAGAGAAATTGTAACTTCTTTTTTTTCTAAATCCACAAAGTCCCATATATTTTTGACTTTGTACAATGATCATATATATATATACAAAAGAACAATCATTGTAAAAGGAGGTATTTTACCATGTAAACACTACACTGTGCTAGTAAATATACTGAATATAACATATTCAAAACAGCATAATCACCAATGCATCGTATAAACCTGACAGGACAATGCTACATCTATATCATATACACATCCCTGCATCATAACAACAATTATCTACAGTTCAAATGAAGTAAGGGGGTTGTCACAGTTGGCAGTCACTTGATACAACACACAGTCAAAATCTTATCTCAATGCCACATATCATGACTACCAATATCTTAAGCCAGTAAGACAATATTATATATCTATCTACAACACCGATTGTTCATCTAACATTTGAGATGAAAATAATTTCCAATAAGTATCCCAACAATGCATTTAAAAAATTCATCTTACAGAGAATCCAGTCCCAGAAATAACTTATCATGACAAATTTCTCATCTTGAATAACTTCAAATCCGAAGAAAATGTACTCAAGCTTATATTCTTATACTTATATTATATATCCCCAAGGATACTGTATGACTGTAATAGTCAACAGGGCCTCAAACCATCTGGCCTTTCATCACTACTGTAACACAAACTGTAAACTGCTAAAACATATTTCATTTATGCATATACAGTATCAAATCTTACACCAACAAATGTACAATGATCAACTTTTTGTAATGGCCTTTGATGATCACCTGAAAAATACAAATGTCATTCATAAAATTATTCTTCTAAACGTAAACCATAAACCCATTTGAAGGAACCCCAAAACAGAAGGGAATCTTTGATTGGGCAATGGAGAATTAGTGCTACATTCGGATAAGGCTCTTCAACAATTATTGTGCGTAATGGACAGTTTTGTGCGAATAGGATCCAAGACGTTCAACTGAACAAAAAAATAATTGAAGACTCGTAAACTCTTGCTAATTAATATTGTATATTTTAATTACACACATTAAAAAAACTACCCAAAAAACAAACCCTGAAAACTGTTCAAAAAGACATTTCATTACCTGTGTCAACTTCTATATTCAGCTTCCTTGTGCTGGAGTCCAACAATTGTAAGAACTTAACTGTACATCTGTGTATGTACTGATATATTTGGTTACGCCAGTATAATGCATGCATGTTAGATATGAAAGAGGCATATAAGTCATATTTAGAAAAAAATATTTACTAATTACACAAAATGTTTTCATGCTTGCATATATTATCATGAACTGTATAAGATTACACTGATACTGTTAAACACACACTTCATAATTCCACCCAAAAAAACAGCCATAATGCCATCTGTCCCAAAGTCATTGTGGTTCTTAGCATTATGAAATAAATTGCCAAATAAAGGCAAAAAGGCTAAATGTGAATGTTGTTAATATTAACATGTCAGTATCTAGTATGGAATTACAAATAATAGAGTAAAAATCAACAAATGGATTAATATTTCCCATGAGTACAAAAGCATAAGTATACCTTTAGATATGACATGGTACATGGTCTAAAGAAAACAACAAGAAGGTTTGTCAATATCTCTCCATGATGTAATCCATTCTCTATAACATTCACCGGATAGAGAAAGTAAACTCTAGTTACTTACTGCAACAAACTTTACACAAAAACAACTATACTACCTAAAGCTGTCTGTAACAATATCTAACCAGGATCATTAGCACAAATCACTTGTGATTAAAAATATAGTATTTGTCACAATGAATAGCAACATGAATATTAGATGAGTAGAAGATTTGTATAACAAGATAAAAAATGTTTTGACACACATGTTATTGTGAGGTAAGTGTGAAATCACATTTTACTCATAAACAGATCATAATGATCTGTTTATAACTAAATATATAATGTTATTAAAATCAGATATTTTGTTCTGATACGATACCTCTCCGCTTAAAGATCCACCTCCATTGGAACACTAATCAGCACCAGAGCTTTTAATGTCTCAGTATATGCCAAAAAGCATATCTGATTTTTGTATCTTGTAAACAAATATCATTGGGGAGTTCTGATTGCAAAGAACTACAGCCAAGCTATTATCTGCAGTTTCAGAGCGCCATGGCCTCTACACCCAAAAGGATGTACTATCAAGGGTATATGTGCTTTCTGTGGTGGTTTTCCTTTGGTGAGGACAACATTTGTGAATCAAGGTGGTACAGAAATGAAGACGAATTGTGATTGGCTCAAGAACCTATGCTTCTTTCATTTGGATTGGGTGGTCTGAGTTCACTCATGGTTCATCTGAGGCGATTACCTATGGAAATACTCTCTATCTGTAGACTGCATAATTCGTAAGATCCTTCTTCGACAGCTCACAGACTGTGATAGATAATTGTCTGCAGTAATGTTATCTATACATGACAATGTATGCAGTCATACCGTTGGTTTGTTTGTTTGTTCTTTAACGCCGCACTCAGCAATATTCCAGCTATATGATGGCGGTCTGTAAATAATCGAGTCTGGACCAGACAATCTAGTGATTGACATCATGAGCATTGATCCACGCAATGGGGATCGATGACATGCATCAACCAAGTCAGGAGCCTAACCACCCGATCCTGTTAGTCGAAGTCATACTGAACACTATCAGATGGTTAGTTGCTCCATGACAGCGTAATCACTGAATCACAGCGATACATGACATATACCAGCTGTGTCACTCTGCAGCTGTGAACAGTACTTGCTCAGATGACTGTCAGGGTTTTACTGACATAAAATGTTGCGTCCAATATTGATACAAATTATGAATGAATGCAAATAATTTACAGTGAGAGACTGGGCTGAGGGATGCAAAACAGTTTCATTGTTGGAATCAAATGATACTAGATTGCATGTTACATCTAACTTCGATATTTCTATTCTGGTAAGAAATACACGCAAAGTTCAGAGTGTCAGTGGTAGGCTTTCAGCAATCTGAATCCCATCAACAATAGACTGAATATTTCTGAGCATGTCCAATACGACATCTTGGAAATTAAGTGAAGCATTCAACATGTTGTCAGCTTTATTACCGGTATATATAGCTGCTTTCAAATAACTGTAAAACATTTTTTGAATTTCAATGTTTTGCTTCTGGTCTATAAATAAAGAGACAAGTACCAATTAACCGAAATAAATGCAGACATAATTCTGGCATGCAATTTCTTTGATACATAAAACAGAGAAGTAAACAATGTTTTTTTATAGTTTGTTACATCCAGTAGTTTTAACTATCCATGTTTATCAAAAATATGGAGTTTACAAAAGGTTGGGGATTCAAAAACATGATGGAAAATAGAGAAATACTTGGCGAAATATGTTGTAGAGGACTACTGATAATCATAATAATGTAAATGGAATGGTTTCTCAATTCCACAAAATGGAAATGATAACATGATTGAGCACTTAATAAAACAGAAAATAAAATTATCCCTGTTACTTTCATCTACAGGAGTGAGTGAGTTGGGTTTAACGCCGCTTTTAACAGTATTCCAGTTATATCACGGCATGTCAGCTTAATGTGGCATGAAAGCCCCAAGAGATGCAGGTCTCAGATGTTTACCACTTCGGTGAAACCCAAGAGCACGGGTATGGTGCCGACAAACCTAGAAACATAATCGGGGCGAACCGGGATTCTGGCGTACCCGAGGGACGCAACTCTGCACAGCGAATTGCAGCGCCTTAGACGACTTGGCCACCCGTGCCCCTCATCTACAGGAGGTATTACTGTTCTACAATAAACATGGCAGCTATGTAATAAAATGAAATTGTCATTTTGTGTTAACTGCTGAATTCATTATGTCCGCTACATCTCTAGTCAGTGTATTGCCACCAAACACTGAGTAAGAACGTCTATAGTTTATACACTGCTTGTACCACCATCTTGTTTTATGAATATTCTTTCCAAGATGGAGACAACATTATTTTATTTTTTGTCAGGTGAATTTCATTCAAATGTTGATAATTTTGAAATATAAATGTTCTACAAGAGAATGTATATTTTCAATCACAATATTTATAGTTTTTTTCTTATTACTTAAGGGCAGCTTATCCCAGAAAACAAGAAATGGCGTGGCATAACAGTGTGGAGTCTTAACAGATCAGTTTAGTTCAGTTTGAACTCCTTTGCACGCTCTTTGTGTCTGCAAATGGTGACTCATATGCTTCCATGGGTGGACATGTGCAGACCACGTTTTGGTCGCCATATATGTCGTCGATGCGGCCAACAGTGGGCCAGAACTTGGTCTCCGGACGAACAAATTGCTGCAATGAGATATTTTGAAACTAAAGTTTCAACTGGAAATAATTTAGTTACCATACAGTCTTCTAAAGTTGAATTTGAAGATGAAATGCGTGAACATGATTAAGACACTGCATTTAACTTACTCAGGGTTATCAAGAATATGTTATTTCAGAAGAAATCGACAACTTGTAAATTGTGAAATAATTTCAGCTGTTTTCAACACAGTAAACATCTGAACATTTCTACTGGTCATCTTTTTTTAAAACTAGTCTTGGGATAACAGGTTTTTGAATACCCCACTCAGACACAGTATACTAGCTCCGAGCCGATCAGTCCTGGTTCTAGCCAAGCACCAGACAAGGTAACAACAAGTACCATCTTTTAATGTCTTTTGGTATGACATGGCCGGGGATCGAACCCCGGACCTTCCGCTCTCCGGCTGATGCTCTATTACTAGACCATGGAGGCGGTCTGACCAGCATGTGACACTGGGGTCTATTCTCCCCTGGAATCTCCATGGGGTTACAGCAGGAAGATATCTGAGTTGTCTGCAGTTGGTCACAAGACTGACAGAAATAAATCCCTTCAAAGATGGGTGTATGAGGGTGGACTTACTGCAGGGAAGGCTGCCTGTTCCCGGGTGTAGGGGCGGTCCCAGTTGGAGGACATCACATCGGCCTGGGTGTGGGGGGACATCTGAAGTAGACAGTACATTTGTAGTAGCATAACTCCTCATCAATACTTCACAGATTCATGTATTCTTATATTCTTCCATCACCCTTGAATAAATAGGACGTAAATGGTGTAGTGACAATGGGTGACTTTGAAGTCAAGCAATGAAATGTGGCAGTACTGTGCACGAATATTGTGCCCAATATTGAAGCAATGTGTTGATTTGATTGTAGCATATGTTGCATGAGACATATCACCATTTGTGCAATGTAAATGGTCCTTGGTCAGAGCACCGGTTGGTTTCCCTCTTGCTAGAACCAGACTGTGGCTTGATTCCTTCATTAAAAATAGCGACTACACTGCATATCGTCTGATTGTTTATTTACGAGTGATGGAGGAACGTATTCCATATGATAACCGCAAAGTATTGACGATAAACCATACATATACCTGGACAGTATTGGTTGTCCCGCTATCCTATTTCAGCATAACAAATATAATGCATGGTAACTTTCAAATATTTATTAAATATTTTATTGTCCTGCTGTCCCATTTCAGTGTAACTAGCACAATTCATGGTACATTTAAATATTTATCATATTTTTTTAATCAGCTAAGAAAACAAAAAAGACAACAAGTATTTATAAGGGAGTCAAGTGTATGCTGTCTTTATGTCAGACTGCTCGAAGTACACAATGTAAAACTATACCATCTATAATGTTCGTAGATCAGGTTAAATACCTTCAGTGGGTTGACTTTCATGTCTAGTTTGCCAGTCTCGATGTCATGAATTTCCATCCTGATTGCTAAAAACAGAAAGAAGTAAACCATTATTGTCAAGTATGCTTGTCATTGGGCAGACTACAATTGTAAGTCTGGAGTTACCTTCCCTTGGCTTTCAGCCATAAATAAGTCTTGATAGGCTTTTAGAACAAGTTCACCTTAGACCTGTTTAGGAGTTTCAATGGACCAGCATTCATAAAGATACTTTATAATAAAATATTTAGTCAAGTTCACAAAATTTATTGCTGCTTTTTTGGTGAAAGGACACCCATGTATTACTCCATCCAATAACTTGCAACTTTGGGCCCCAGCATGACATGAAGGCTAAAATTAGCATTCTCCAAAATTTTGACAATTAATGCGGTTCCATTTCTTTCTGAGGTCTATTTCTTTTTTAATGTACACACATAATGATATGGCATATTTCTACATAAAAAATGGCAGATCTAGAAAGGACTTCCTGCACCCCTATTTTTCTTCAGACCCCTCATGTGTCATCCAAACTACCTCTCGACATAATAAGCACCCAGGGCGCTCTCAAAATTAGAAATATGGAGCTCTTATTAGAATTATAATATTAGTGAGATAAAAAACAGTGTTGAAAGATTTTTAATTTTGTGGTTTATGCTGACAGCCTGAAATGATATAAAAGAAGATTCTGTGCGTATTATACACGATAGATATATTTTCGAGAATTTAATTGCCCATAATTAAGGGTGCATATCTCACACAAGTGCGTATTATACATGAATAAATAAGTCTTGTGTACATTGATCAATCGGAAAGGGTGCTAATTGGGATTGTTCACAAGCCAATATATCGGCAAATATCGCTGTGGGCGCTTATTAGAATGGGGCGCTTATTACGTCGAATACGGTATGTGAGTCCCTAGATCATTTGATGTTCACTTCCTGATTTGGGTAGTATGCCCCCTCTATTTTCATGTCCCTGGATCCACCTAAGTGTGTATGCCATAAAGAGTACATGGTACTGACCAATGAGAGCGTCACATAGTCGGTCTAGCTCGCCCTTGTCTTCGGACTCTGTTGGCTCAATCATCAGCGTCCCAGCAACCGGCCATGACATGGTCGGAGAGTGGAAGCCTGGGGGTAGTAGTAGCAGTATTACTAGATAATCTTACAAAACAAATACATCAACTTTGTGGTTAACTTCATCATCTCAACACTTTACAGTGAAATACAGAGATTGCCGAGTACAATGAGGCTTTTTAACTGTTCCATATATCATGGGACCATAGCATGACATAAATGAACAAAACCAGTGCTGCTGCCAAGATGCTGAGGGGGATGGAAGAATTGAATTATTTTAACTGAATCTGATGGGTTTATCAAAATGAAGATTAAAATAAACAGAATATTTGGTTAATTTTGATATTTCCACAAATAGTGTAATCAGAAATTCACACAAAGCACCAGGAATTATTGCTTGAAAAGAAATGTCAGATGGTCCTAAAATTGTTCCTCACCAAAAATATGATTTGTTTATTTTGAAAAGTAAATGTCTTAACAATCCTAAATATATCCCAAAGATTATCGCGAGTGACCCCTTCAGATACACACCATAGTCCTGTAGTCTCTTGGCTATGTCCACCACTTCTATGTTGGAATTCTTCTTGAACTCTCGACAGTCAATGATGAATTCATGGGCAACATAGCCTGGAGTCAAAATTTAAATCTTAACATAGAACTACATTGAATTTTACTATCATAGGTGTTAAGAGTAATAATTAATGTTATTGTAACGTAATGTAGTGTAACATATATTTAACTTACAACAATTGTTTGTATTGCATTCAAACCCAATGCCTCTGACATGTCTGAGTGAGTGAATCTTGTTTTATGCATCTTCCCGAGGCAAGGGCGTTAAATTGCTATAAAAGTTCAGTTTCCACCCTTGCTAAACCGGGATGGAATTTCTGGGTTTGAATGTAGCGCCACCTAGCTATTGACCTATCAGATTCCACCTCTGATATCACATGCATTTGCTTCAAACAAAATGGCGGCGCCCGTGAACACGATCCATAATCAAGATCTATATCGTAACATGAAGTCTAACTTCATGAAGTGCATCAAATCATGTGAGCACCTTGATTAAAAACATGAAAAGATTTGGAAAACATCTGCTGGTGCTAAGTAAACGGTGCCCATGTTTTGCAAATCCTGCAATTGACTGAAATCTGCATGGCAGTTTACAAACCGGATGTTGATTTCGTTACATGATTTTGATTGGACAATGCATAGACTAGGTAGTCCAGCCAAAATATGACTCCATAATTCAAGTCTAGTTCGGCAAGGGTGGAAACTGGACTTTGATAGTAAGTTAACTCCCTTGCCTCAGGAAGATGTGCTTATTGCTGCAGTCACCCTGTCAGGACTAGACAAATTAGTGACTGAGAGCACTAGCAATTATCCACACCTTATTTGGCTCAATGATACGCAATCAACTTAGTCACAGGGTCTAGCCATCCAACCTCTGTATTTGGCTCTTATGGGTGGCCCATTCATTGAAGGTGCAGTAATTTGCTGTACAGAGTTGCATCCCCTGGGCACACAGAAACCTGTGATCATGGGTTCAAATCCCAGTTTCTAGGTTTGTCAGAATCATACCTGTACTCATCTGTTTCAATCAAGTGGTAGATATCTTTAAACACATTTAGCTGACGTGCCATGATATAACTGGAATAACGTTTAAAGTGGTGTTAAACACAACTTACTCACTCACTCTCATCAACCACAATCATGCAATACTTGGGATCTACGTTTTCCCTGAATCCCTATGGAGTAGACATTTTGATCAAGAAATCCTTAAAACAAGAAATTTAATTTGTCTGGCCACAGCAGGAAATGCAAATAACATTTTCAGTATCCCTGTATCTGGCAAATAAACCCTCACCTTCATCATTTGTATACAGAGTCTTATAATGGCCATTTAATCTCCGGCTCATGTAGTTGGCGTTGAGGATGGCAACCTCTGAAGCATGGCGCAGGCCCTCCGCCCCCATCATCTTGATGTAGGCCCAGGAGATGGGGAGGATTGCACTGGAGCCAAAGGGGGCTGCTGATACCACGCCAAATGACTGCGCCTCTGGACCGGTAGTGCCATAAGGAGGTATTATGGGATGTGTAGGTAGGTATGGGGCAAGGTGCTTCTTCCTGGAAATAAGAATTATGATATAATGTAAAGGTGGACAAAATATGTATGAACATAACTGACAATCACAATATTATTAATGCGAATTAACATGAATACTTAATTAAATCAAAGTGTGTGCTGGCCCTTGCACCATCCTCAATTATACAAGGTATTATGTCTTCATTCTATTAGGATAAATACCCTGGACATATTTGGTACCATAGCTTCATTTTGTGCCATATTCATATAACGTTTAGAATAGGCGTCCAATCAAATTATTCTCATGAGCAAGAGAAATGCTGAACTAATCTAGAGGTAAAAGTGATGGAGGTTGTGACATCACTTCTCAACCACAGTACAGTAAACCATGTTCATAACAAACATGTTCATAACAAACTGATGGATATTACAAACTGTTTTTTTGGTCCCGGCTATTTGCTGTATAAATGCCATATATATGCTTATAATGAACTATGGTTATTAGAGTCCTTTTGAGTTCATAAAAACTGTATTAGTATAGCGAATGGGTGTTGGGTATTTATCAAAACAGAAAGGAGATATTATTCACTGGATAATCAAGAGTGCATTAACAGTGACACAGACTTCAGGTCACTAACACAGATGTAGAAGGGTTGTACTGACACTCCGATAGGTCCCATTCCTGGTCCCCCTCCTCCGTGGGGGATGCAGAAGGTCTTGTGAAGGTTCAGATGGGACACATCAGAGCCATAGTCACCAGGACGACAGATACCAACCTGGAACATGTTCCCAAGGGTTGATTGATAGCAAGTACCACGACATACATATTGCATTTCATAACTGTTACATACATGGTAAAGAAATATTTTTATTGTGAATTAATGCTTTTTTACACTGCAGTCAACAATATCACAGCTATCTCCAAGCAGCCTGTAAATATTCAAAATTTGGCCAAGTAAACCAATGTTTGATAACATGAGTAAGAAACATAATGGGAATGTTGACATCCTCAGAAGTCATGGAGTACTGGGGACCTATTGGTCCATGGAATCCCTACAGGGAGACAAGCATGGAGTACTGGGGACCTATTTGTCAATGGAATCAACTCAGGGAGACAAGCATGGAGTACTTGGCACCTATTGGTCCATGGAATCCCCACAGGGAGACAGGCATGGAGTAGAGGTGACCTCTTGGTCGCTGGAATCCCCACAGGGAGACAAGCATGGAGTACTTGGCACCTATTGGTCCATGGAATCCCCACAGGGAGACAGGCATGGAGTAGAGGTGACCTCTTGGTCGATGGAATCCCCACAGGGAGACAAGCATGGAGTAGAGGTGACCTCTTGGTCGCTGGAATCCCCACAGGGAGACAAGCATGGAGTAGAGGTGACCTCTTGGTCGATGGAATCCCCACAGGGAGACAAGCATGGAGTAGAGGTGACCTCTTGGTCGATGGAATCCCCACAGGGAGACAAGCATGGAGTAGAGGTGACCTCTTGGTCGCTGGAATCCCCACAGGGAGACAAGCATGGAGAAGAGGTGACCTCTTGGTCGCTGGAATCCCCACAGGGAGACAAGCATGGAGTAGAGGTGACCTGTTGGTCAACTGAATCCCCACAGGGAGACAAGCATGGAATATCCACAGGGAAACAAGCATGGAAAAGTAGTGACCTATTGGTCTATGGAGTTCCCACTGGGAGACAACCATCAAGTAGTTGGGATCTAATCCAGAAGCCCATCATGAATACCTAGAGAACCGTTTCCTTCCCAACAAGCAGCATAGAAGACAGAGGAGTTACCTGTGCATTCATGTTGGCTCCATCCAGATACACCTGGCCCCCGTAGTGGTGGATCATGTCACAGATCACTCTGGAACAACAACGTATTAATATAGTTAAAACATAACACTGCATCAGCAATATTGCAGCCAGCAATAACAACAACAGATAAACAGGTGCCCCGTCATAGGCAACTTGTCATACAGATAAACAGGTGCCCTATCATAGGCAACTTGTCATACAGATAAACAGGTGCCCCGTCATAGGCAACTTGTCATACAGATAAACAGGTGCCCTATCATAGGCAACTTGTCATACAGATAAACAGGTGCCCCGTCATAGGCAACTTGTCATACAGATAAACAGGTGTCCCGTCATAGGCAACTTGTCATTCAGATAAACAGGTGCCCCGTCATAGGCAACTTGTCATACAGATAAACAGGTGCCCCGTCATAGGCAACTTGTCATACAGATAAACAGGTGCCCAATCATAGGCAACTTGTCATACAGATAAACAGGTGCCCCATCATAGGCAACTTGTCATACAGATAAACAGGTGTCCCGTCATAGGCAACTTGTCATTCAGATAAACAGGTGTCCCGTCATAGGCAACTTGTCATACAGATAAAAAGGTGTCCCATCATAGGCAACTTGTCATACAGATAAACAGGTGCCCTATCATAGGCAACTTGTCATTCAGATAAACAGGTGCCCCGTCATAGGCAACTTGTCATTCAGATAAACGGGTGACCTGTCATAGGCAACTTGTCACACAGATAAACAGGTGCCCTGTCATAGGCAACTTGTCATACAGATAAACAGGTGTCCCGTCATAGGCAACTTGTCATTCAGATAAACAGGTGCCCCGTCATAGGCAACTTGTCATACAGATAAAAAGGTGTCCCATCATAGGCAACTTGTCATACAGATAAACAGGTGCCCTATCATAGGCAACTTGTCATTCAGATAAACAGGTGCCCCGTCATAGGCAACTTGTCATACAGATAAAAAGGTGTCCCATCATAGGCAACTTGTCATTCAGATAAACAGGTGCCCCGTCATAGGCAACTTGTCATTCAGATAAACGGGTGACCTGTCATAGGCAACTTGTCACACAGATAAACAGGTGCCCTGTCATAGGCAACTTGTCATACAGATAAACAGGTGTCCCGTCATAGGCAACTTGTCATACAGATAAAAAGGTGTCCCATCATAGGCAACTTGTCATACAGATAAACAGGTGCCCTATTATAGGCAACTTGTCATTCAGATAAACAGGTGCCCCGTCATAGGCAACTTGTCATTCAGATAAACGGGTGACCTGTCATAGGCAACTTGTCACACAGATAAACAGGTGCCCTATCATAGGCAACTTGTCATACAGATAAACAGGTGTCCCGTCATAGGCAACTTGTCATACAGATAAAAAGGTGTCCCATCATAGGCAACTTGTCATACAGATAAACAGGTGCCCTATCATAGGCAACTTGTCATTCAGATAAACAGGTGCCCCGTCATAGGCAACTTGTCATTCAGATAAACGGGTGACCTGTCATAGGCAACTTGTCACACAGATAAACAGGTGCCCTGTCATAGGCAACTTGTCATACAGATAAACAGGTGTCCCGTCATAGGCAACTTGTCATTCAGATAAACAGGTGCCCCGTCATAGGCAACTTGTCATACAGATAAAAAGGTGTCCCATCATAGGCAACTTGTCATACAGATAAACAGGTGCCCTATCATAGGCAACTTGTCATTCAGATAAACAGGTGCCCCGTCATAGGCAACTTGTCATTCAGATAAACGGGTGACCTGTCATAGGCAACTTGTCACACAGATAAACAGGTGCCCTGTCATAGGCAACTTGTCATACAGATAAACAGGTGCCCCGTCATAGGCAACTTGTCACACAGATAATAGGGGACTTGATTCTGTCACGAAAAAGAGTTTCACTCTTCAACATTAGTTGGTATTGTTTATGAGACTGGACTGTGAAGGCATGTACTTAGATCATGCAAATACCATTTTCATCTCATATGTACATGGGTAATCTATTTCAGACTACAGTCAGTTGGAATTTTTAATTAATCTTTCATCATCAACAAGCAAACACAAAGTACATGAGTGGCCCTACTTGTTGTGAGTTGTTACCTGATGTCCTTGTCGAAGACTCCATGTGTTGAGGGGTAGGTGATCATCAGGCAGGCAAGGCTGTCACTGTGCTTCGCAATCTGAAGTTAGGAAGCAACTATTTGATTTTCAAGGGGTGGGGGCAGGATTTTTTCTAAAAATATAATCAAGCCCCTGGTTTACTTAAAGTATTTTTACATATGTCTCCTATTGTTGGAATAAAATATTGTTCCCTTTTCTTGCACATAAGTGCCAAACGAATGCAGTTTGTTATGTGTATTTATTTATATAATAATTGAGTATGTTGGAAAAGTATGTTGGAATGCTCTTAGATGCTATTGACAGTGTACTCCAAGATGATGTTGATGATGTTAAACAGTAAGCTCTTGGATGATGTTAAACAGCATACACTAAGGTGAAGTTAACCAGTATACACTTAGGTGCTACTACCCAGAATGCACTTAGGTGCTGCTACCCAGAATGCACTTATGTGATGGTATCCAGAATGCACTTAGGTGCTGCTACCCAGAGTGCTATTAAGGTGCTGCTACCCAGAATGCACTCAGGAGATGCTAACCAGTATGCACTAAGGTGCTGCTACCCAGAATGCACTCAGGGGATGCTAACCAGTATGCACTCAGGGGAGGCTACCCAGAATGCACTCCGGGGATGCTAACCAGTATGCACTAAGGTGCTGCTACCCAGAATGCACTCAGGAGATGCTAACCAGTATGCACTAAGGTGCTGCTACCCAGAATGCACTCCGGGGATGCTAACCAGTATGCACTCAGGGGAGGCTACCCAGAATGCACTCCGGGGATGCTAACCAGTATGCACTCAGGGGAGGCTACCCAGAATGCACTCCGGGGATGCTAACCAGTATGCACTAAGGTGCTGCTACCCAGAATGCACTCAGGAGATGCTAACCAGTATGCACTAAGGTGCTGCTACCCAGAATGCACTCAGGGGATGCTAACCAGTATGCACTAAGGTGCTGCTACCCAGAATGCACTCAGGGGATGCTAACCAGTATGCACTAAGGTGCTGCTACCCAGAATGCACTCAGGGGATGCTAACCAGTATGCACTAAGGTGCTGCTACCCAGAATGCACTCAGGGGATGCTACCCAGAATGCACTCAGGGGATGCTAACCAGTATGCACTCAGGGGAGGCTACCCAGAATGCACTCAGGGGATGCTAACCAGTATGCACTAAAGTGACACGATGTGGAACAATATGCTCCTGACAATACACACCATATCATCCAAGTGCTTCATGTCCACATGTCCGTCCTTGTCCACGTTGATGGGCTGGATCTTCATGCCGGCCATCTGGGCACTGGCAGGGTTGGTGCCATGGGCCGACACTGGGATCAGACAAACCTGCAAACATACATCACACACGATAGGTGATTGCCTGTGAGTCAGAGAGGAAGGAGTTTATTGTCACATCCTCAACCTAAACAAGGTTGGGGAATCAAACTCTTGACTTTCAGTGAGACAACCCATTACCTTAACTGCTAGGCTAGCCATTTGTACCTCTTCATCTTCCGTTACATGTTTGTAGTTCAATGCCTCAATCGGTAATATTCCAGCAGTCTGTAAATAACTCTGGACCAGGCATCATGAGCACAATTGGTTACAATGACATGGCATCAACCCAGTTACTGAGCCTGACCACCCAATTTAGTAGCCTCTTACAAGCATAGGTTGCTGGGGTCCTCTATTCTTGCCAAGAATCCCTGTAGCGTTCTTCAACTTTGAACATGTATACCTTGCTGTACCCACAATGAAACTTTAATTCTGGCAGTCTGAATGGCACTACAAATGCACTAGCCACTTGGCCAGTGAACAACCTGTGTACCAGGTATCTGTAAATATCCATCTTAAGGATGAAGGATAGAATTTTTATTTTTTGAAATGAGGTGAAATGGGGTTTAACATCACGTTCAAGATATTAAACTAAATTATTATTATAGTTATGTGCATGCACATGTGTGTGCGTGTGAGTGCATCTGTTTGTACTAGTCCAGAATCATGCCGGTTCTTCAGTGCTAGCCCACTGAGATACTATGCCAAAGTTTAATATGAAAACCCAATACTCTGAGCCAACCAGTCCTTGTTTCATCCTATTATTGCTGAGCGCCAGGCAGTGTAACAAGTACCACCTTTTAATGTCTTTTGGTATGATACGGCTGCTGGGGATTGAACCACTAACCTCCTTCTCTCCGGGCAGGTGCTCTAACCAATAGACCACAGAGGCAGTTTTGGAAATGATAGATATATTCTGCCTTTTTTACAGTATTACAGCAGCACACTCACATTTCTCTGAACTTCTCCCTGGTCCTTCAAGTAAGCCATGATAGCCCTGAGACCTGCATACTCTCCTTGTGCTCCACTGCAAAATACACCCAAAAAAATACAATTGTATTCAGATAAAATCACTCAAAAAGGTCAAGATTTATTATCTAACAGACTCACATTATCAATGAGTAAACCTTGCTGATTGTGTGGATGGCTGTTCACATTATCAACACCTGGTTTGCCTGGTCCAAGTTTGATTCCCAAACTTAATTATCATACAAGTGGCTGTGATATTGCTGACTTCAGTTTAAATGTGTTGACTATCTTCCTATGACAAAGTGAGGCACAGGTGGCCCAGTCGTCTAAGGCAACGCAATTCGCTGTGCGGAGTTGTGTCCCTTGAGCATTCCAGAAACCTATGATTGTGGGTTCAAATCCCAGTTCGCCCCGATTATGTTTCTAGGTTTGTCAGCACCATACCCATGCTCGTGGGTTTCACTGAAGCGGTAAACGTCTGAGACCTGCATCGCTTTGGGCTTTCCTCCTACATTAAGCTGACACATCGCGATATAACTGGAATACCGTTGAAAGCGGTGTTAAATCCAACTCACTCACTCCTATGACCAAACATAGCCTGTAGACTTACATTTAGTCCCCACAAATAGTTGGTATTTAAAAATATATATCTACAAAATAAACAATAAAATCCAAAGTATAGCCCAGAACAATGCACAATTGAGGCAATCTAGACTTGAGCCGGATTCATTATTTAATATACTCTCTAGGATACTACAATGAGTATTATGCCGCTTTTATCATATTCCAGTTCTATACCACCTTAGGGCCCAACGACATTAGGGGAATCAAACAGGTTGTGCATGATTGGTGAACACACTAACCACAGGGCTACACATAAGTCATCACGATATATGGAAGGTTACTTCATTTATCAAAGAATGAGACAAGTTTGACCATAAGTATATTCATAAATTTATCAAAAGTAGAATAATCCCTGGGGTAGTACCTGTTTGGCTGAAATGAAATCTTGTCATAGCCTGTGATCTCACACAAGTCAGCCTCAAGTTCTTCGAACATCTGCTGGTAGCCGAGTGTCTGCTCTTGAGGGACAAATGGGTGGATGCAGGCAAACTCCTTCCATGAACAGGGCTGCAATAGAGGAACAATGTGACATGAAGAGGCTGCAACAGCAGAACAACGTGACATGAACAGGGCTGCAATAGAGGAACAATGTGACATGCAGAGGCTGCAATAGAGGAACAATGTGACATGAAGAGGCTGCAACAGCAGAACAACGTGACATGAACAGGGCTGCAATAGAGGAACAACGTGACATGAACAGGGCTGCAATAGAGGAACAACGTGACATGAACAGGGCTGCAATAGAGGAACAACGTGACATGAACAGGGCTGCAATAGAGGAACAACGTGACATGAACAGGGTTGCAATAGAGGAACAACGTGACATGAACAGGGCTGCAATAGAGGAACAACGTGACATGAACAGGGTTGCAATAGAGGAACAACGTGACATGAACAGGGCTGATATAGAGGAACAATGGAACATGAACAGGGCTGCAATAGAGGAACAACGTGACATGAACAGGGTTGCAATAGAGGAACAACGTGACATGAACAGGGTTGCAATAGAGGAACAATGTGACATGAACAGGGCTGCAATTGAGGAACAACGTGACATGAACCAGGCTGCAATAGAGGAACGTGACATGAAAACAGAGGCACCAGATGCAGTTGAACAACGTGAACAGCAACTGTCTGTGGATTCTGAGACAGTGAGCAAAGCACCTTATTTCTCCATCCCACAACCAGTTTGTATACAAGAATTATTGCAACATGTGTCAAATGCTAATTTCACACTGACATGCATACTCCGATATATAATAATAATACTCAAAAAGAAGTTAAGAACCCCCGATTTTGTTTTCATATGACAACAGTTAATCTGTCACGGCCATGACAGACTGACAATAGTCACATGAAACAATTGACCATGACACATTGACTTTAGTCATTTGAAAAGATTGGGTGTTCTTTAACTTAATTTGAGTAATATACATATCAGTTTCTATGTGCTGCTCCCTACACTGACCATCATCTCAGTGGTGCTGTTGAGCTTCATGGTGCAGGACCCAAGGGGGATCATGGAGTGGACGAGGGACAGGTCTTTGTTCTCCAGCTGCTTCATGTAGCGCACGATGTTCGTCTCAGATTGGTACCTGCCACAAGGAGGTAGTCAGTTCAGATTTGGGAACTAAACTACATAATAAGGCACTTCTAGACAATAAATGGAAGTAACATACATTGGAATAAATGAACACACCAAAAATTATGTTGTTATGATATGGTATTATCTTGTTGCTCTGGAAAACTAATTACCGGTATATATGAGTATTATTGTTTAACCTGATCCAGTGGGTGTGATTACAGAAGTTTCAGCAATAGTCCAAGCTTTGCACTATAGGGGACACCAAGAAGAGGTCTTACATTCTACCCAGGGGGAACCAGACCTGGCTCTTAAGTGTGACGATCCAACACTAGCCACTAAGCTAGCCCTGCACTCACATACAAGTGAGTGTTAACTGCCACACCTGGTGATACATTGGAAAGAGCTAGGGGAACAGATTAAGGCTGGGACAGGTAACTCAGGTACTCAGGTTGGGTGGGTCCTGAGTAGGACCCGGGTACCCACAGGACTACCCAGACCCGTGGTTAGTCACTTGATAAATTGCTTCATGACAATAACAATAAAACTCCATGGTTATACTACAAGTCGCTAAATGTTCTTATTTCTTTCTGACTGCGCTGCATTCCTTCTGACAATTACATGTTTGAGTAAAGATAAATAGAGAATACTATACTCATTCTCGTTAGATACCATTTTTACGAAACGAGTGGACTTTCTATGGTATCTGACTGAGCGAAAGCGAGGTCAGATACCATAGAAAGTTCACGAGTTTCGTAAAAATGGTATCTTACGAGAATGAGTGTGGTATTTTATTTATTACCCACGTTAAATATATATTTAAGTGTAAATACATAACAACTTTCGTTCGTTGACAGACCAAACTGAAACCGGTTGCAAAATCTGGTTGCGCATGAATATTGATATATGACCAAATATGGGCATTGTTGACATGTTTATGCATACGCATTAACAACATGCGCCTGCTGTTCTGTTTGCAAACAAACCAGCACCGACGCTCAAGATCCTTTTGGAAGAAAGTCTTCAACTTTAGGTAATTCAAGCGCCATGTTGTTAGTACGCAGGACACCGATAAGAAAATTGAATGTCACATTAGCGCCGCGCTTTGAATATCGGACCAACAGTCACACGCATCACACTGCCGGGGTCCCTTCTGTGCAATCAAAATGGTGATCTATCAGCTGAATTTATATCATGTCCGTACCATTTTGGAAGAGGGAAATCAGACTGTTCACCAAAGACAATCATGTTAACTGAACAAACTCAAATCTGTTTGCATGTCAGTGACAGCTTCGAACGATCGAAGGGCAAGGTCGCCACCAGAATAAGAAAAGACAACCGCGATCCACTCACAGCGTTTTACGCTAGATATAGGGAATGTTACTGTTCACATTTGGGATGTTTGGGGCCACAAAATAAGAAGTCAAGCACACTTCCATGGAGTTTTCGAATGATTTGTATCGGAACTGTGAACTTTAAGTGATCTGGTCGTGCTGTCGTGTTCGTTCATTCATGAACAACACCTCCCGAAACAGCGCCACAAAATACGCTTCAAGGGGGACACCGATGGCACAACTGGATCATCCCAAGTAAGTCTAGATATCTGTACAGATAGTTTAAACAGACTTCATTTCACCACGCCTATCCTTTTACGTTAAATCAAATTGAAAGTTGCGAAAATGGTCGGGTGCGTCACGCTCAAGGGACGCGCTCGATCGGCGGTCGTACATTGTAAATCGATTTATAGATCTAGCTCGATTATATGTCTGTAGCACCTCTATGCATAACTTATATAGAATGCAAACCGAATTTGATGCGTGTGACTATCTTGTTTGGTTTAATAAAGTGTTTGTAAATATCTCTCGTTCTCATGAATTTCTTCAGTTCTGCCTTGTAATCGCAAAATGAATGACGTCTCGCGATTTTTTATGAATGAAAAAAGTAGTCCCGGTGTGACAGAGGTCACGGTTATCCAATCAAAACGAATAAAACAAGGTCAACCTTGTACGACACACGTGTGACGTATTGATTTAGTATCTTACCACCTGTATCTTCACCACGTGGGTAATAAAGCAGTTTTTGACAGGGCTCCTGTTAAACAATACTTAATTTTAAATTTTGTAGCCTGCTTGAGACCTCCAGCGGGTGTCCGGGTAGGGTCGGGTAATAGGGGGCCGGGTACCCGGGTAATACATTTGGACTCGTCCCAGCCCTAGGACAGATGGTAATGACATGTGTATAACCTCTTGAAGACGGAGTGAGTGAGGAAGTCGCTCGTCCTCCGATGATGGCTGTTGTGGAGGCTGGTGTTGGGGTTGGTGCCGAGCAGGTCACTTATCTCCTCCTGGTGTCATGGACAACATGGAAAGTATCCTCGTATTATGGGTGTATGGACGCTTAAGAAACATTTACAGTTTTCTCGCTAATCATATTAACGACTATAAAAATCCTGACTCACTCATGAAAGACAACTTGATCTAAGCCATCATTCATGTACATGCATTTACAATGTTTGTGTTATGCCAGACACCATGTCATAGTTTGAGTCATTGCAATAAACAAGGTTGTCTGAAAATGTTTATTGTCAATGTGAGTGAGTGAGTGAGTGAGTGAGTGAGTGAGTGAGTGAGTGAGTGAGTGAGTGAGTGAGTGAGTGAGTAAGTGAGTGAGTGAGTTTGGTTTAACACCGCTTTTAACAGTATTCCAGTTATATCACGATGTGTCAGCTTAATGTGGGGGGAAAGCCCGAAGTGATGTAAGTCTAAGACATTTACCACTTCGGTGAAACCCACAAGCACGGGTATGGTGCTGACAAACCTAGAAACATAATTGGGGTGAACCGGGATTCGAACCCACAATCATAGGTTTCTGGAATGCCCAAGGGACGCAACTCTGCACAGCGAATCACGGCACCTTAGACGACTGGGCTACCTGTATGATGTCAGAAATTATATAATCTGATGATATACATTTATAAGAACTGACTTCAAAATATTTTTGCATTTATTCAAATATAAAAGAAAAATTGGCGTGCAGTAGATTTACATAAATTGTGCACTCTGGTTTAACTCCATAAATGCAAAAAGATGTTGAAATCACTTCTTAGAAATCTGGTTTATGTCTGCCCAAAAATTGCTTTTTTAGCCAATCAAATACCATGGAATCAACTGGAATTTTTGTATTGTATTACACAATAATATTCAGACAGGAACATTGGATAATTGAAGCCAGTTTACATAAATTCGAGGGACTTCTCTTTGAATTAACCTCATGTTTAATCTTCATCACAAACTTTTCTGACAGTTCATATGAGGAAGTTTGCCTACCGCTGACTTTGGCGACCCAACAACTTGCAGCATGTCAGACAGATCATCTCTCTCCACAGTCTCATCTAAGGATATCCCAACCTAGAACACAACAACAATAACAATAATAATAATCCATTTGTATTGCGCTTTTTCCATGCTGGATATCATGCTCAAAGCATTTTATTACCCCGGCCAATGGATCAGTGTGCCCTCGGTTTTCATTCTCAGCTCCCTGGGGAGTGTACAACCAAATCTGCCTGTGAGGTGTTAGAAAGTTAACTTAGCCAACTCATCCTACCGGGTACCCATCCACTGCTGGGTGAACAGAGGCATCTTGCAAACAAAGTCACTTGCCCACGGAGACACCACATGTGTTACATGTGCTTCAGTGTGGGGCAGGACCGAACCCCTAGAAACTTTTAGGAGCCAAGCTGCCGAACATGGTCACCCATCCAAGAACTCTCTGTGACCAACATTGCTTAACTTTGGGTTTAACATCACATTCAAGATTATTTCACTCATATTGAGACATGCATAAGTGAGCATTTATTAGGCACTGTTTTCCATCCACTATGTGGTTGCCCAAAGCACACTTGTTACCCCAGTCAATGGATCCGTGTGTACTCAACAATCATTCTCAGCTCCATGGGGAGTATACAACCCAAGCTACCTGTGAGGTGCTAGAAGGTTAACAGCCACATTGCCATCTCATCCGACCGGGTACCCATTCACTGCTGGGTGAACGGAGGCATCTTGCAAACAAAGTCACTTGCCCAAGGAGACACCACATGTGTTACATGTGCTTCAGTGTGGGGCAGAAAGCCTAGAAACCCTCTTGAGCCAGGCTGCCAAACGTGGTCACCCATTCAAGGACCCTCCATGCCCACCATAGCTTAACTTTGCCTGATTTGTAACCTGTGTGCTGTGCACAGGACCATATGCCGACACTATCATACACATCAACATTGCAGTCATAGCCAGTGTGACAGTCGCTGGAATAATACAAGCGATAAATCTTCACCGAAATGTCACTACATTTACATCTGTCACCAAATAATCTTTCTAACCCTATATACAGCAAAACCTTGTAAGTCCAGACCCTGTTAATCTGGAAACCCTGCCTCTCAGACGATTACTGGTGGGAACAGCATGATTTAGTAGCAGGAACATAACTGATCGTTATTTTAGAAATTTGCTATCGGAATGATTTCATTTGCTATCGGAATAATTTCATTTGCTATCGGAATGATTTCATTTGCTATCGGAATGATTTCATTCAGATCGCCATTGTCCTGATTAACAGGGTCTCACTGTATAGTGCAAAAGTGACATATTGCATGATGAAAACATTACATATTAGAAAGATGTCTTTGAGTCATATTGTTTTATACACAAAAAACATTTTCTTAAATTGTAAATTTCAAATCAGTGCACATGCATGTTTGTGAATGTTTGAGATTCTGCTATACAACATACATGGCCGTCACTGTAGTATCGAAGATTGATCTGTTTCGCTTCAGCTTTCTCACGAATCAGATCCTGGCCCCGCGAAGGTAGAAATTTGACAGTGTCAAAAAAGGCTTCAGAGGAAAGAGCATGATCTGCCAGCTTGATACCTGAATTACATGGTCGTAGTTTAGAGCAGGGCAGGATGGGAAGAAGAAAAACATAGCAACACAAACAAAATTTCAAACTGATCAATCCCATTAGGATTCAGTCTCACTCCTTGGCATCCATATTGTATGAGGGAGTGATTGAGTGAGTGAGTTGGGTTTAGCGCTGCTTTAAACATTATTCCAGTTATATCAAGGCGTGTCAGCTTAATGTGGGAGGAAACCCTGATGTGATGCAGGTCTTAGACGTTTACCACTTTACCCCCTCTTTCACTACGACCCTGAATATCCCGGGAATCAAACAAGAATCATTTAATGATTTCAAGAAATGATTGACATTTATCTACGAACATGAAAAATTTCCTATTCGGGGTGATTCGGGATATTCGTGGTCGTAGTGAAATGGGGGCATTAGAAGACAGGGCCACCCGTGCCCCCCAGCAATAACCCCATATATTGTGGCAGCTGGCGATATTATCCTTTCCATTAGCCATCATTCAACAATCAGTTATCCAGGGTAATATATCCCCATTGGTTATGATAAATACCCTGGAACCAGTTACTTCCATAGCTTCATTTTGAAAGTCATGTCACCATTCACACAACTCTTATCATTGAATTATCTTGCTCGAGCATGAAATTAACAACCAATCAAAATGCCTCTTCTGGAAGAGAGTTTGGCATAGATTCTTATTCAAAGTTGTCAAGCTTAATATGGAAGAAAAACCCTAAGTAATGCAGGTTTCAGACGTTTAAAATTTGGCGAAACCCACAAGAATGGGTATGTTGCTGACAGATTTAGACACATAGATGGGGCGAACTGTGTATGAGTGAACTTTCAATATATTGAGTCAAATCAAAAGATGGTTATAAATTAACTTTTAGCTAGAAGAGGTGTCTACCCGAGTATAAACATAGGAGGAGCGGTTCCTTATGACATCAGGTGTTCCAAGTGGTAGTTGAGACAGTATGCAATAACATGTGACATCGCCTGTTTCAATCATGAAAGAACAATGTAATTTGATTGGAACTTTACTTTCAGCATCTTGTCATTCGAACCAGACTCAAAACGAAACTATGGTAGCAATGATATCATCTTCCTGATGCAAGGGAGTTAACTGACCAGAAACGGCCAGTTTCCACCCTTGCCAACTATGATCCAATGCTACGATCCAACTATGAAATTCAAGCCTATTTCAGCAAGAGTGGAAACTGGACTTTTATTGTCAGCTAACTTCCTTGCCACGGGAAGATGCAATGATATTTATCATAACAGTATTGAGACATAATATACTAAATAACTGCGCATGTACACAAAAGTACAGCTGAAATGTCATCTTTCCTTGTGAATCATCCATTCAGATATGTATACCATTCAAACTAAAATTGTGATCTCCCCAAACTCTTACAACAAGAATGACACATAACGGACCATGCCTTGTTTTGTTTTTTCCACACTCAGCAATATTCCAGCTATATAACATCCCCATGCTAATGTCTGGACCAGACAAAGCAGTGATTGATATTAAGCTCAACAATCTATGCCAAGGGGGTTGTTGACATGCTATCATCAAATCACTAAGCCTGGACACCGATCCAAAAGTCATATGAGAAACATAGTATGCTGGGACACCAATTCTAATCGAAATCCCAAAGGGTCGTGCAGCAGCATCTCGGTGAAATACTGAGGATGCAGGCCTACCTTCAGCCAGTATGAGTGAACCATGATGCACTCGGCTTCCAATGTGGCGCAGTCCATCAGCTCCATGGTAAACAGCATACATGGCAGACATGTTGGCCAACAGAGCCTGCAGATTACAAAGAATACACTGAGGAAACTATTTGCTGTTCATGAAAACAATTCTTTTTTCATTGTTTACTAATGTATTTTGTCCACTTCACAAACACTCTGAATGGGTAGTACACTGGTGAGTGCATTCACCTGCATTCCTAAATGCGTATCAAATGGATGGCAATACTATAAATCAAAGAAGCAACATGTGAAGAAGGTTGTAGATGTTTACCTCTTTTGTGAAAAGGCATGGGAAACTAAACATCATTCCGAGAATCTTAGATTCAAACCCATGACCTGCAGATCCTGGCACAAAAAAAGGGAAGCAACTCTTCAGATCAAGTTTCAGTGCATCATAAGCAGCTTGGTTCTCTAGACTGGCAATGCCTGGCAGTAGTGTACCCAACCTGTGCTGTGCAGATGTTGCTGGTGGCCTTGTCCCTCCTGATGTGCTGTTCCCGCGTCTGCAGGGCGAGTCTCAGAGCATCACGGCCACTTGAGTCTCTGGGGGAGGAAGGAACCACTAAACTCTGTACATATCATAATAAGGCATACAGTAAAACCTGGTTGACTCAATCCATTTGAGATTATATTATTTCTAATATTGTCACTCAACATTGTCAAACTATGGATTGCTCAACATAGTTGGATAGAATTCAAGATAGAGAGTTGCTCGACAAGAGAACCAATGCTAAGAAAATTGACAAAGGGGGCACCTATTAAAACCATTCACAACAAGTTTGACTTGTTTTCAGAGACCGAGTAGTAGCAAACAAACTTGGTTCAAATGTTGATGAAACTAAAGCTTTTTAATATCTTATTACTTGGCAATTATATGCCCCTTCTACTCTGCTGTACTCTGTAAAACAAATCTGGAATAAACACAGAAAAAGGGGGACTGTCATGTTAATGGTCTTAGTATGGGCACTTATAAGATTACTTTCAGATTGGACCAGAAGATCAGATACGTCAGGGGGAAGTTCGTGGAGCAGAGCGCTTAATACGACAAAGACAGTAATTAGGAAAACAGATCTGTCCACAAGAATATTTCAATCTCCATCCATAGCTAGCTATTTGATCAACCTACCATTAGTTTTCTGTCAAAAGCTATGTAGAACTAATGAATTAATAAGTGCCTAAATTCCGAAAAATAATATGCTTCAAATTAAGAATACTGTCGAACCTTGTTGTGTTGAACTTGGATATGTCAAATTCCCTGTAGTCATGAACACACCTTTCGGTGCTTGTGACTTCCTTCTATATTTATCATCATTTATATTTTGAATCTGTCGAACTGGTTGCATCAAACTGATTTGGGAGTCCCAATTAAGCATATAATTTCCCTAATACTCGACCAGTTTAAAAAAAAAAGTCTACACACCAACAATTGCCAAACTTTTAACTTTCAACTCACTTCACACACAATTGATTAACCTCGCTGCAATTGCTGCAATTACAGCCAGGATGCTTTCTGACAATATGCCTATACCCAATCAAGCCTAATTGGTTTGGTTTGGTTTGTTTGTTGTTTCACGCCGCAATATTCCAGGTAAATGACGTCAGTCTGTAAATAATCCAGCCTGGACCAGACAATTCACATCTTCCCGAGGCAAGTGAGTTAACTGACTATAAAAGTCCAGTTTCCACCCTTGCCGAACTAGGCTGGTATTATGGAGTTACATTTTGGCTGGACTAACAAGTCTATGCATAGTCCAATCAAAATCGCAAACCGAAATCGAAATCCGGTTCGTAAAGTGTCATGCAGATTTCGGTCGACTGCAGGATTTGCAAAGCATGTGCACCACTAACTTGTTGTCAACAGATATTTTCTAAATCTTTTCATGTTTTTAATCAAGGTGCTTGCGCGATTTGATGCACTTCGCGATGGAAGACTCGTTTTATCACAATATAGATCTTGATTATCGATCAGATCATCTTGACTGGGCGCGACCGTTTTGTTTGAAGCAAATGCAAGCGATACGAGAGGTTGAATCTGATTGGTCAATAGGAGAGGCATAGAAAGGACATAACTCGTAATAGCCACTGGTGGCGCTACGATTGAGCCGAGGAATTCCAGCCTAGTTCGACAAGGGTGGAAACTGGACTTTTAAAGTCAGTTAACTCTCTTGCCTCGGGAAGATGGACAATTCAGTGACTGACATCGTAGGCATCGATCCATACAATTGGGATCGATGACATGCATCAACCAAGTCAGCGAGCCTGACCACCCGATCTTCACGGGTCTCAAGCCTAACTAACAAGCACATTAACAAGCACACCTTGCATCAAGGTGCAAGATGATTACTGTTTGCACATCGGTAGCACATTTCTGCTGTTAACATGTGAAAATTGAGGCATGAGGAAAATTATTATGTTAGTGAATCTATTATTCGAGCTATGAATTTTTTAACACTGCCGATCCAGATGGCAACAGTAAAATTAAAGATACACCTTAGATGTCGCCAGCCTCGGCATTGAAATACACCTTGTAATAAAATGTTGCGTCTGGACCTGGTAATTATCTCTCAAAACATGATGTTTGAATTTAGAAAATTCACTTTGATGGTTGTCTCGAACTATGGATAACTGGAACTTTTTTCCAGGTTGCCACGAGTTCGACACAACAAGGTTCGACTGTAGGAGATACTTCGATGACATGTCTTTATTGCAATGTGTACAGATAGAAACAGTAATATTTGCTTCCTGCAAAGTCAGGACCCACAAGGCACTTGGTATATGTTTTCCCAGTCTGTCTCACAGTCCCTGAACCATATGATTTTCCCTTTCACCAAGCCCTTACTGTAATGCTATGGCACAGAACAAAGCAAGTTAGATTTTCAAGTTTCTGGTTCTAACTGGAGCTCCTTTTCATTTTTAATGTAGCTGCTTGTTTCTATTTAAGAAACTAAGCATTAGTCTTGTGTTTTTTAAGCTCACCTGGTAACTCCAATCATCCGGCCAGGCATCATCCTCATGAAGGATCCCTTACAGGCAAAGAAGCCAGCGTGGGGCCCACCATACCCCAGGGGGATGCCGAACCTCTGGGTGGTTCCCACAGCAATGTCCATCTCCAGCTCCCCCGGGGGTCGGAGTATAGTGAGGGCCAGAAGGTCGGTAGCACACACCACCAGGGTCTGACAACAGAGTGAGTGAGTGAGTTGGGTTTTCACCAATTACAGCAATATTCTAGCAATATCACGGTGGGGGACACCAGAAATGGACTTCACACATTATTGTTGCTTGGTTGGTTTGTTGTTTTGCGCTGCACTCAGCAATATTCCAGCTAAATGACGGTGGTCTGTAAATAATCGAGTCTGGATCAGACAATCCAGTGATTGATATCATGAGCATCGATCTACGCAATTGGGATCGATGACATGATTAAATCCAAGTCAGCGAGCCTGACCATCCGATCTCGTTAGTCTCCTGTTACGACAAGCATAGTCACCTTTTATGGCAAACATGGGTTGCTGAAGACCTATTGTGACCCGGATCTTTGCGGGTTCATACATTGTTCCCATGAACTATGTTTATATTGCCATGTTTACGTGAGTAGTGAATGTAGCCTAATTCTACAAGGAGGAAGGGCATACCCCGTGAGCATGAGCAGTTGCAACAAGCTGAGCATAGTCCTCGATGCTGCCGTCTGTGTTGGGATATTGGATGAGGACACCACTGAAATCCTGCCCACTGAAGTCCATCTCTTGCCAGTTGCTTCGTACAATGTCAATTCCCAATGCACTGTCAGAGATGTAGAAATTACAATGTGATTATAGAATAGTTTGGCAGTTATTAATCAAACAGATGGCGTGACAGTATTGACACCAGTGGTAATGTTCAACTATTGGGGTCTGTATAAGAAGTGGTTTGGCGTGGAGTGTGTGATTGCCGAAGCTCAGGCAGGATAACAGCAAGTACTATCTTTTGGAATGACGCAGCTGGGAAATAAACCACCTTCTACTCTCCAGGCAGACACTCTATCCACTAAACCACGAAGTCGGTTGACTGCATTAGTCGTGTCAAGATTTGGTTAAAATCATTGGTGTAACAGAATAATACCCGTACTTATGGGTTTCACAAAGACACTCGCATATTGAGCTATGCTCCTCCATTAATCTCATAAACCATGATACGACTGTAATAATGTTCAACATGCACTTAAGCCAGCTCACTCACTCACAATATAACTGATACACGTCTTACAACAAACTACAGTCAAGTCTCGTTAATCCGACACTTGTTTATCCGACGATCAGCTTTATAATGATGGGAACTGATTAAATCAGTGCTATCTCCACCCGTTAATCCGACAGTCTCGCACTCCGACTCCGACACACCTAATTTGCAACGAATTACCAAAATCAATCATTAATCCGACACAGTGATCAGCATACTCCGTGGTCATCTGCCCGCAAGTACACAGCCCGTGTCATACAGTCATACAGTCCGTAACAGTTGTTTTGGGTTGAGCTTTAGAGGTTGCATGATAAGAAAACATGTTCCGCTAACAATGTAACATAACAATACGAATATTTCATTTTTATTTTTTTATTACGTGTTTGTATCGTTATCTATCGTGTAGTTGTCTAATTTTCGATCACGAACCTTGATACTACTTTATGTCGTTTATCCGACATACTCGTGAATCATATGCATCCGACCATGTCGGATTAACGGGACTTGACTGTACTTACTGTGCCCTGGTTTCCACAACTGCAATATTTTGGGGGTGACATTTGTTGTCAATGTAGAATCGCCTCCTCTTGTTTTGTCTGAAAAACACTTATTATTTGAAAATGTTTCATGATTCAGCTTGACAATAACAGGCCCTATTCATCAACGTGATCCAGTTTAGCAGTCTAACTACTCTTATTTCATAGACTTAGACTTTAATAGGATTATATAAGAACATAACTCCATTAGGCAGGGCGCGCCTATCCTAATAGTGAGTAATAGTGAAACTTGAAATTAAGACAAGAGACGTTATTTGGATGGTTGCGGATGTAGAGGTACACACAACTTACCTGTAGCACACGAACATGGCTTCAGCTGTGGCTGTGACCTCATCCACGCGTTATGCATTTAACAAGGAGAGTACTGTCATGTCACACACAACTTACCTGTAGCACACGAACATGGCTTCAGCTGTGGCTGTGACCTCATCCACGCGTTATGCATTTAACAAGGAGAGTACTGTCATGTCACACACAACTTACCTGTAGCACACGGACATGGCTTCAGCTGTGGCTGTGACCTCATCCACGCGTTATGCATTTAACAAGGAGAGTACTGTCATGTCACACACAACTTACCTGTAGCACACGAACATGGCTTCAGCTGTGGCAATGACCTCATCCACGCGTTATGCATTTAACAAGGAGAGTACTGTCATGTCACACACAACTTACCTGTAGCACACGGACATGGCTTCTGCGGCCGCTGTGGCCTCATCCAGGAGAGAAGCATTCGAGAATGAGAGTGCTGTCATGTCGCACACAACTTACCTGTAGCACACGGACATGGCTTCAGCGGCCGCTGTGGCCTCATCCAGGGGTGAAGTGTTGGAGATGGGGAGTGCTGTCATGTCACACACAACTTACCTGTAGCACACGGACATGGCTTCTGCGGCCTCTGTGGCCTCATCCAGGGGTGAAGTGTTGGAGATGGGGAGTGCTGTCATGTCACACACAACTTACCTGTAGCACACAGACATGGCTTCAGCTGCGGCTGTGGCCTCATCCAGGGGTGAAGTGTTGGAGATGGGGAGTGCTGTCATGTCACACACAACTTACCTGTAGCACACAGACATGGCTTCAGCTGCGGCTGTGGCCTCATCCAGGAGTGAAGCGTTGGAGATGGGGAGTGCTGTCATGTCGCACACAACTTACCTGTAGCACACAGACATGGCTTCAGCTGCGGCTGTAGCCTCATCCAGGAGTGAAGCGTTGGAGATGGGGAGTGCTGTCATGTCACACACCATTGTCTGGTAGTTGAGGAGACTCTCCAGGCGGCCCTGGGCTAGCTCTGCCTGGTAAGGTGTGTACTGGGTCACCCTGTGGGGTGTTGGAGGAAAGAGCATGACTTGAATGGGTAGGTGAGTGAGTGAGTTAATATTTAACATCACTTCAGCAATATTTTAGCCATATCCTGACGAAAAGTTATACATTAAGAATACACCTGTCATCCATGGACAGTAAAATAACTAGAATATCACAGATTAGTGAGTGAGTGAATATGGTTTTACGCCACTTTTAGCAATATTCCAGCAATATCACGGCGGGGGACACCAGAAATAAGCTTCACACATTGTACCCATGTCGGGAATCGAACCCGGATCTTCGGCGTGACGAGGGAATGCTTTAACCGCTAGGCTACACGTCTGCCCCCATATCAGTGATAAATATTTAAAACTAGCATACAACTATAAAAAGAAATCACTTGATGTAACAATACATAATAAAAAAGGGCTATGGATAGCCAGCAGCTGAAGGTAGATCACCGCGCTAGTGTCCATGGGGACTTGCCGTACCTCTGCTACCTGCATGATCCCCAGCCGGATTTACATCATCCCTTCAGGTGTTGGCAAATATGGTCAAATTTAGCCAAAGTGAAATGAACATATATTCTACGATTAAAAATGTGGCAGAAAAAAAATTCCATAAATGACGTGGTCTTACATGCCCTCTTTGGGGGACAATCATTTTACACTACTTCAACCCCCATCAAGGGTACAGCCACTAACAATCTACGGTAAATTAACTAATTTCTTTCTACCAAGTCTAAACAGATAATTTATTATTTACAAAACATATGTTTAAAAATTTATTTAATCATTCTATTTCTTTAAAAAACCACAATAATTAAATTGGAATTAATACAATAAAAAGATCCTTGACTGATGATGATTTGAAATATTTTTCGCTTGTGATGGCAAAATCAACAGTCAAGCAGTACATGCTTGACCGTGATTCTCTCATCTCAAGGGATACAAAATGGAGGATCCTCACCTTACAATAAATGAGTGTATCTGCTGTGGCCAATATGCATTACGACCTCTTCACATCTGGACGGACAACCCAAGTAGGTGTAACCGATAGTTGGTTTAATTTGTGTAATTTATTGAAACCTACTTGGGTGTCCCACTTCTTTTGCATTAGATCTCAGACGTAACATCTGATCACAGGTTTATGATCACTGTATGGAATTAGAAGTGGTGTCACATTTGTTGAGTGCTGCTTTAGCTGCAGCATCAGCCATTGTGTTACCAATGATTCCAACATGGCTGGGTTACCAGCAAAAGACAATGTCATATTGGCCTGTAGCAAGGTTATTATACAATTCAATGATGTCAAGTAAAAGTGGATGCTGACACGAATTATTTTTAATAGCCTGAAGACAGGACAGAGAATCTGAAAAAATTATGAATTGCTTGAATAGACCAAATGTAAACTGTGAGAGATAACCAGACATGTAGTACCACAGATTAACCATATTTAACATTTCCCAGACTGAGATTTCTCCATAACAGTGACTCTTCAGTGTTGAGAAAGTGATATCTCATTGCAAATGTGACATCATGTTGATAGTTCTACTGCAATGGACATGAATTAAAGCTTAAAGCTATCAAAATTTGAACAGTTTTTTTTACTTGCATCATCTGAATTTTCATGAAAGTATTGTTAAAAATAGCTATCTGATCATAATGCCTTGACCAGCAAAGGACTAGCCATTTGAGCGTTTGATGTTCTTCGGTGGGGACTTGTGATTCTTTCATAAACAACAACAATATTTGAAAATGCTGCGAAAAACATAACTGGCACTGCTTAAGAGATTTGTTTTAATCATTGTTAAAACCAAAGATGGCATTGTTATGAGATGAACATATTTATGAATTCGAGTTTTTATTGTAAACTAAGGTGAATATGTAAAAAGACCCGTGAAGATCCGGCGTAGAATAGGTCTTCGGCATCTCATGCTTGCCGTAAAATGTGACTTTGCTTGTCTTAAGAGGCGAATAACAGGATCGGGTGGTCATACTCGCTGACTTGCTTGATGCATGTCATCGATTCCAATTATGTGGATCGATGCTCATGATATCAATCACTGGATTGTCTGGTCCAGACTCGATTATTTACAGACTGCTGTCACATAGCTGGAATATTGCTGAGTGGGGCGTCAAACAACCAACCTGTTACCAACCAACCAAACAAGAATATGTAAAAAAGTCTAAGATTCAGTTTCCTTCTGTATTGAGTCCCACGAACATGCATACTTATGAAAGTATGGTTGTATCAAGTAGAGAAGACACAGACCTACAATAAGGACATACTGAGTGACCTTTCTCTCACTGGAGGGAGCTTATCTACCAGTCAAGATAAGGTCTAGAAGTCAAAGGTAAAAAACTGTTCACCATGTTAATGTGAAAATATCTACAGGTAACATACATGCAATAACTACTTTAAATCTCATTTAGGACATACAAGAAAGGAAGAGCAACACTTCTTGTGCAGCCAAGTCAATCTTATAATGTAGGCATATCATACATAAAGATGTATACCGGTATGGCATAAGACGAGAGCAAATGTCAAATTGCCATTTGTGACGACTCTCATTTACCCTTGGCCAAATAAAAACAATGTTTCAAACAAAACTTTGTAATTCAGTTAGGATTTGTATTTCAAGAGTGTTTATTAAACACTAATCAATATTTTTATTAATCTTTGCTCCTCATTACTGACAGGTAATTAAGTCAGCCAAGTAAGTATGTAACGCAAGAAAATGGAAGCAGTGTTCCAGATCGTAGCAGTGTTCCATATGGAAGCAGTGTTCCAGATCCTAGCAGTGTTCCATATGGAAGCAGTGTTCCAGATTGTAGCAGTGTTCCGTATGGAAGCAGTGTTCCAGATTGTAGCAGTGTTTCAAATGAAAGCAGTGTTGCAAATGGCATCACTGAACATTCAAACCTGCAGCCTGCCATGTCTGCCTAGAGCAAATGTTGAGATAAGCAAGACTTAAAAAAAGAGAGTTTCAAATGTCATGTAAACAGCTTTGCGCTTAACAATTCATAAGCAGGATACAAATTCTCGCTTACAAATTTGAAACCTGAACAAAAGAACGTTCCTGAATGGCTAATATATGGTCTAGATTGTATAGATTCAGTCGTTAAGCCCATAACTATCGTTCAGAATACCCTGTTTTAACGTTTTCGAGGCTGCATGATAAGGAATCACATTCCGACTGTCACTTTCATGATCTGGTAAGCGACGCTCTGATTGGTCGGATGAAAGGTCGTTCTGACGTGACCCCCAAGAACTAAGATCTGATTTTAATGAGTGAGTGAGTGAGTATGGTTTTACGCCGCTTTTAGCAATATTCCAGCAATATCACGGCGGGGGACACCAGAAATGGGCTTCACACATTGTACCCATGTCGGGAATCGAACCCGGGTCTTCGGCGTGACGAGCTAACGCTTGAACCACTAGGCTACCCGACCGCCCCCCCTGATTTTAATGAGACTGGAAATAACTGCCTGCAGGTATTTATATTGAAATGAATACCACTGACCATCCTGGGTTCTCGAAGATGTTCCTCAGTATGGTGTAGGGTGTGTAGGTGTTGTAGTAGCCAATGCCAATGTAGCTGCGCCACACTTGGTTCTTCTCCGCCATCTCAGTCAGTCTCACAATCAGCTCATGCTCACCTGTCGGGGTAAGGGCATGGAGATGGGTCAGCAACAGTTAGTTACCTATATATAGTTTGACCAGAAATTGTTGGGAATTTGTCTTGCCATTTTGGCCCTCAATATTTGCCATATAGAAGGTGCATGTAGAACTTACATAGAACTTATTCTAACTTTGATTTAAGGGAAACAACTCTGTGCATCATATTTGTAAAGTATGACCAGAGTTGTCTTCCTTGGTAAACAAACTAGCAGACGGCAAACAAGGCCATTGTGGAAATGGCAGCTTTGGAAAGAAAGAAAGATTATTTCTGAATTATACAGTTAAGGAACAGATTAGGACAGGTCATTACTGAGAGGACAGACATTTTACTATCAACTGTGTACTGTGTTTAAAAAAATATTGAGAGTGGAGATGGAATTGCTCACAAATATTAGGCATGAAATGGTTAATAGAAGAACAGTTCATGTTTCTAAAGAGACAATAAGAAAGCATTTGCATGCAGTGGATTGGAAGAAATCATGAGGAATTCCATCACCACTCCTAAAACCTGAACAGCAAGAATGATGTTTGAACTGGTGTTTGGAACAAAGAAATTTCAATTGGAACAATGTTACGTTCTCAGATGAAAGTTCAATGTTTACTATATGTTCAATATCCAAACTGTAAAATGTGCACCAAAGGTACAGAAAAAAAACAATTTACCGGTGTCCAAAGTAGTCCTAAATTTTATGTGTCGGGTTGGGTGTCTGTGTTGGGTGTAGTGCTAGGACGAGTCCACATTTACTACCGGGTACCCAAACCCCCATTACCTGACCCTACCCAGGTATCCGCTGTAGGTCTCAAGAGATGGGTACAAAATGTCTGATTGAGAATTGTTTGAATGGAGCCCTGGCAAAAAGTATTTTTCTTTATTCAAACATATAAAAGTCAGAAGGAATGCATGTATTGTCATTAGCGACTTGTAGTGTAACGATATGGAGTTCCAGATAATTTTTGTCATGATTGGTTGGTTGTTTGATTTGTTGTTTAATGCCGCACTCAGCAATATTCCAGCTATATGACGGCAGTCTGTAAATAATCGAGTCTGGACCAGACAATCCAGTGATTGATATCATGAGCATTGATCCAGGCAATTGGGATCGATGACATGCATCAACCAAGCCAGCGAGCCTGACCACCCGATCCCGTTAGTCGCCTTTTACGACAAGCATAGTCGCTTTTTACGGCAAGCATGGGTTGCTGAAGACCTATTCTACCCCGGAATCTTCACGGGTCTTTTGTCATGAAAGAATATATCACGTGACTATAACCACAGGGCCGGGTAGTCCTGTGAGTACCCGGATTCTAATCAGAACCCCCCCGACCTGAGCACCCGAGTACCAGAGTTTCCAGCCCCAGCCCTAGTTAGGGGCCACACCATTATGTGTATTTGAAGGTAACGTGACTAGTGCTGTGTACACTGACATTCTACAGGTAAATATCCTTCCAAAAGCACAGGTCTTGTATGGTGATCAGTAGGTATTCAAGCAAGACAATGATCCAAAACATAGAGAGGAAGCATTCTCACTTATGGTTTGACATGCAACAATTACACACCTGGAATGGCCCAGCTAATGTCTGGACCTGAACCCAATGGAACTTATTTGGGGAATCATGGAGGACAATAAAATCTAACATATGCTATATGAAAGCAGAGGTATTGGGACAGTTTAACTAACGATTTTCTAACTTCCTTGATAAGCAGGATGCCTTGACACATTGAAGCATGTATACTGAACTGCAGAAGAAACATCATTTCATAAAAATAGTTCATGAACGTTTCTGATTGAAATAGCAATGCATTTTTTGGCGGTATCTTGTTTTCTTGACATTAGTCTGTATCCAAATTCCATGTTAAAGGCCAAAAAAGGACACAACTATGGATATAATGGGTTGCCAAAACACAGCTTAACAAACGACCATGCTAAAAAGTCATGAATGCTTTCCAAGAATATAAAAATTCACATACGTTTCCTTGTGCCTTTTCTGATAAACGGCACCCCGATACGAGGATACAACATTCTTGTATCAATACTAGTGTCATGCCAAGACTTATAAAGAATCAGAGAAACCAGGCTTGATGATGACTGCATGCTGGCATCGTTGCTGTAATCTGTAGATGCTTCTCACGTGGACATGAAAATCATTGGCAATCATTCGTGCAGTCTGGCCTAAAGCCTGTTTTCTCTGATTTTACGAAAGTCTTAGCATGTGTCTCTGTACTCATCCTGGCAAACACATACTCTAGAAAAGCTTGTATCAGGCCTTGAAACCTTGTCTGTCATAAAACTTTTATTTTTATTAATGTTATACTCAACCTTATCAGAGAATTCATGAATATTTATGACATATTTTTACATTGACTGATAGTCCTTAGTCATGCTAGTTGGGAGATGAAAATAATTAACATGAAAAACTCACATGTCATATCTACATGATCTAGATATGGTAGAATACTGAATATCACACATGAAATACATGTATATTGGACAAATTATTATCATAATCAATAGTTATGCAGAGCTCTAAAGAACATCACACTATCCCTCAGCTGAAAACATGAGGTTGTCCTGTAATTTCATAAAACAAACATCTTTAGCTTTATCTGATACTTTCTCTATCCTAAAAATGAACATACATACCTAGTTCCTCCTCAAGCCTCAGGTCTCTATTGAGGCGGATATTGGCTTGAACTGTCTTGGTGATAAGCTCAGCCATTGACTGAAATTAACAGACATTCATTCATTCCAAGGAGACAATGAAGTTTTAAGTTATATGTTTGTTTGTTTGTTGTTTAACGCAGCACTTAGCAATATTCAAGCTTATGACGACAGCCGGTAAAAATAATTGAGTCTGGACCAGACAAACAAGTGATCAATATTATGAGCAACAATCTACGTTGCTGGGGTACAAGAACAGACTATCAGTCAAGCCAGCAAGCCTGACCACCAGAACCACATTGCCTCTTAGGACCAGTATGGTGTGCTGGGAACAAATCCTAATCTGGCATCCCTTTTGGCCAGGGTGATGTGAGTTTAAGGGATTAATTACCACTATATGTTGCTGAAGCATTGTGTAAGTCAAGTAACCATTATCAACTGTCAGGTTTGGAACAAAATGATCACTGAATTTGGTGCATTAAGTGCCCTGCCCAAATAAGCACCCATCAAGACAGATCTGTAAGTTACATTGAATAAAAAATACAAAAAAGATACAACTTCAAAACAGAATGACCTTGACTCTCAATTTCAACCAATCACATGATTTAAAAATTGTTCTGGGAGAAAACATGGGTATAAGCTCTCTCAAAATAGTCACATGTAGGTTGGTTCAGTACACAAAAGAAGCAGAACTACCGAATGACTTATCATTCCAGTGACTTTGACCTTCTGTGAAGGTAACTGAAAACATTTCCACTTGAATGCTCCAGCTTAAGGATGATATGTACAAAATGTACTAAAATATACAATTCTTGAGTTACTGTGAATTTGACCTTCAATATCATTTGTGAGTGTTCGAAGAACATTTCACCGGGTTATTCGTCATATAACCACATATCATGTCCCAAATATTGAGTAACAACGGAAATATGGCATATGCTACTCATTGGAAGTAGGTCACTGAGACCTTTCTTCACTTTCGTACATAGTTTTCACATAATATAACAACTACATACATGTCAAACATACATTCACTATGACCTTTAATACAAAGGTAATTCGGGGCGGTCGGGTAGTCTAGTGGTTAATACGTTCGCTTGTCACGTCGAAGACCCGGGTTCGATTCCCGACATGGGTACATTGTGTGAAGCCCATTTCTGGTGTCCCCCGCCGTGATATTGCTGGAATATTGCTAAAAGCGGCGTAAAACCATACTCACCCACTCACAAAGGTAATTCATGGACTTTTTACAATCTCAGCCAAGCCCTAACATGTCTAAGGAAGACATATACAACAAGTTTCATTGACCTACAGCATGTACAGTATAGCCTTCTCAAATTAGGTGATAAGCAAACATTTTGGGTGCTATGACATGTGACTTGAAAAAAAAAAAATGCAGAAAAAGGAAGCAAACGTACTTTATAAATAACCTTCACTTTCACCTTGACCTTACATGGAGGTCACTAACATGTTCCAGACTTGATCAAGGCCTAATGAAGACATGTACAACATTTCCTTGACCTACAGCTCGGCAGTAAACCTTTAATTCAGGTGATGACCTTGAGGACAACCTTGACCCTTGACATATCATATCAATGAGTGAAAAAAATATATTCCCAGGGCCCCGTTCCACAAAGGGACTGTAGTACTATGACTATTGTAAACCTATGTTAAAGTATGAGCACTTTGTGGTACAGGGCCCAAGGCATTAATGGAGATATTCATGATATGAGATCCCTGAAATGTCCTAGAAATCCCTGAGAGGTTTCATAATCGAGTGTGACAAGTCAAATTCAGCCCATTAAAATATTTCTTAAAGGGCAAGTAAAGGAAAAAATCTGATTGCAATTTTGTTGCGAATATCAATCTTCCTAGATAAATTTAGCCAATTTCTGAGAGAGAAAAATTCATAATATTCGTGAAAATGCTGAAATCACACGCTCTGAAATCGGCTTCCAAAACAAACCTATTTCAGGAACTTCAAATGACTTGCAACAAGTGCATGTTAATATGAAATTAGTTGTGCAAGGCAAAATCAGGTTGTTGTGTAGAAAAGTAAAGGCCTAGTCAGAATAAATTTGATTTGACATGCACTTGGTCATGTTGGTGCATGTAGACATAAATCTTAATTTGCATTTTTCAAGTTTAATATAGTTAGATCGAACCCTGTATTTGGGGGCGTGGTTTAAAGCTACCGGCACAGCAGTGACAACTGTTTTCATTGTCTGATATGTTTGCCTTGTCTTATCTATCTTGTGATTCTTAGCCCTTATACATTTATTTCTGTTATTCCTACAAAAATAACAACATTGCATACATTGTTATATGCAATGCGAATAATTAAAATAGCAATAAATGGAAACTAGAGTTTTATTATTAACATCCTGTTTGGGTAGTAAAACACCAGCTGCCCTATTCCACACAATAAATGCCCGTCAGGGATTAATCCCATGAGTAAACAACTGAAGGCATCTTTGGTGTTGTTACTATGGTGACATAAGTTGTGGACACAGTAATGAAATGGATGAGCAGACAGAAAAAAGTCAATACTAAACAATCCGAAGCAGAAGCAGGCAGACTGAGCGTCATCCCAATCGTCATAATCTTTGAAACTGCGCAGGACATCAAACACCGAGAACCCATTTTAACCCCAGAAAGAGGAATCCCCTCTGTGGCAGAATTTTTCGTTTGGGGCACAATTCCGACAGTCATTTTTTACGCTTTTTCCGTGTTTCAAATATAACGTTGGTCAAGCATTTGTGATTAAGTATACCCTAAAGTTTAAAAATCTGCAAAATTGCTATGCAGACTTTACTTGACCTTTTAAGCAATTTTGCAGGTAGGCCTACATCACTGACAGATATAAGAGCTTATTATCTGTATATGTCAACATATTTGTACAAATTTGGAGTTTTCTGTCTCTTATATCGTAGGCCATCGACTTCAATAGGGACAGGTAGGTCAGGCTCTTGACTCGGCTAAATTGTGACCCATATTGCATGGATCATGGCTCTCAGATAATCCTTATCTTTGACTCCATGACTAAGCAAACACCATGAAAATTCGATGGAAGGACTGAAAAGACAGTGTCTTGGCTGTGTTATTGTGCCACGCTGACATAGATAGGTGTTCATGCTTTCAGTGACTTGTTTTATCTGGCACAGATTTATTCGCAGTTACGACAGTAAAATATTGGGACTGCGAAAAACTGCGAAAACAGGATTCACTTACACCTTCATTGCATGCATGTTAGGAATGACACCAGACATCTCTGCATGGGTTACTGCGCTAACCTATAGGCTACCTTGCCAACTTTCAGCACAAGCATTTGATATATTTCCAATAATAATTCAATACATCTGCAGATGTAGACAATATAGTGTGACACAGATAAAGTCGGAGGTCACACCACCACACTGACATGACGGCTATGGAGATTAAACAGTCTTTCCATCAGAACATGTGACACATGGCACAGAATATATATATCCCAGTTGGAATAGGTTAATTCTGGGGCATTCTAACATAGAGCTATTGAGTATTCAATCATGTTGTAATTCACACTGGGTATTCAATATATATTTCCTCCTTTGGGCCCAGACTATTGGGATTATTTAAACTAATGGGTAGACCTTTTTTAAAAAGTATTCTGCTTAAAAAACTGTTTCAGGTGGCTTTGTGTTTGTGTGCTGCACCAAGAAGGACCCATTTCGCATCAGCTAACATCAGCAATACAAGTCCAGTGTTCGAGATGTAGCACTTCTGTGTCTTTGAAATGGAGTTAATGTACATACTGTATGATTACATTTTCATTGTGTTCATTGTAATTTCTGCATTCTGATTAGCTGAATTTGTCACATTATTGCATTCATTTCCCAATGAATGTAAAAAACTAAAAATTCACACGCCCATAGAAGTTGACTTTTTTTATTACAACGGAATGTCTGGGAATCCCAATATTACAGTGAAGGCAATTCTCTTTCTGCTCACGTGTATGGGGTGAGTGAGTATGGTTTTACGCCGCTTTTAGCAATATTCCAGCAATATCACGGCGGGGGACACCAGAAATGGGCTTCACACATTGTACCCATGTCGGGAATCGAACCCGGGTCTTCTGTGTGACGAGCGAACGCTTTAACAACTAGGCTACCCGACCGCCCCTCACGTGTATGGTCATGCACAGGATATTTAGTGAAAGACATGCATATTCATTGTCCAAACTACCCTTTGAGATTTAAGGCTGAGAAGGAATGAAACAGCAAACGTGCAGGCTCGTTCGCTCGCCTGGGTTCCACAAATTTTATGTCTTCGAGTTTCATTTCTAACCCGCATTTTCCCAACTGTGTCTTCCCATTCTCAGGGAACCAATGTTGAATCTGGCGGGAACTGACCAGGTCATTTGAAACAACCGCCTTCTGGACATATTTCTTCCGGTTCATTATGAATCTGCATAAGTGATGCCTGCATTCAATCAGTAAATAAAGATCTCTGAAGACAAACAAATTCATAACCTGAAAAGGCAACATTGAGTAATTACACACACTATTGGGTTTTTAAAATTTATCATGAGTATTTCTATGCAGGAAACTCAAAATCACATGGAAATCTGCTTATCAATGAAGACACATCAGATTCTCTGAAGGATTGGCACGATACAGCTGGAATATTGCTGACTGCAGCATTAAACACCTTTCCTCAGAATGGCTCTCACTTATGCTGTCACTGGGGCCTTGTAATGAACACTGATATTATCCAAAGCAGCTTACTGTATATTCTAATATCACATTAACATTTATTATTATCATGTTCCCCATCATGTTGATAAGGTAGAGTTAAGTCGATGTTATAAAATGCAAGTAGGTGTAAAAATTCAAATTTGAGCAGATTTGAATCTATTGCATTGTACAAAATAATGCTATGAGATGATCTTGTCCATGTGTCACTTTTAAGGCAACTTGGGGTATTGACATCCTCACACTATCGTACCCACAATTACGCCTGTTCTCCGAGGCATTTAGTGGATGTGCTTAACTCAATTGCATTTGTGATTGTGTCCCCTCT